GATGCATAGCTGGGGAATTAAAATATTTCCAGGCTGTAAGATGTTAAGCACAATAAATCTGTCCAGTTCCAATTTCTATTCCTCTCAATGTCCCCACACACCTATCTATCTTCTATGCCCTGTCTGGGATTTTGTCATTCGTGGTCCTGTGTTCTTTCACCCATTGCTTGTTTCAGAGACTGGACAACCATGCAGGATCACAAAGTCAACTGTGCATGCCAAGTTTCCCTCCGCTGATTACCTTGAGATGATTAAAATGCCTTTGCTACTTTTATGATTTGTCAAATGAATCATTCAGAGTCCTGGATCCATGACATCCCATGTCTTGTACTCAGTGCTGAACTAGATGCCAGTTCAACCCTCTTTTGCATCCTAATTCTTCTATTGAGAATGAAATTCGCTCAGGATGTGGTTATACATATCAACAATCTCAGGTCTAAGCACAAGTTCTGGACTAGACAGGGATGCATATGGAGATTGGCAGACAGATGTGTTGGAAGAATGGTAAATAATCCTATTTTTCTTTTGAGGCAGCGTTTCTTTCTGTAGCTTTGGAGCCTGTCCTCAAACTTGCTCCGCAGAACTCACAGTAATCCTCCTGCCTCTCCCTCCCAAGTTGAAATTGGTTTTTTATTCAAGGAGGATGTTGGACAACATGTAAGCCAGTAGGTCAAATATTCTTCTTCTTCTTTTTTTTTTCTTTTGAGACAAGGTTTCTCTTTGTAGTTTTGGTTCCTGTCCTGGAACTAGCTCCTACAGATCAGGCTGGCATTGAACTCAGAGATCTGCCTGCCTCTGGCTCCTAAGTGCTGGAATTAAAGGCATATACCACCATCGCCTGGAAAAATCTTCATTTATTAAGAGCAAGCCATGACATTTATTTTACTTATTTATTTTTAATGAAAATGGTTCCCTCCCCGTCCCCCAGATCCACCTCCACTTCCTTTCAGAAAAAAAGCAAAACGTCCAAGAGACAACAACCAAACATAACATAACAAGATACAATAAGGCAAGATAAAAGTCCTCACATCTAAGTTGGACAAGGCAACTCAATAGGAGGAAAAGAGGCTGGTCTCTCCAAAATCTTTTTTAATTAAATAATATTACTTAAGACTTTGTGAATTTTGTGCCATGTGTTTTAATTTTATTTACCCCCTTCTTGAACTCCTGCCAGATCCACCACCCATGTGTATCCACTCAACTTTGTGTACTGTTTTATCCTGTCAAATCCAGTTTGTGCTACCCTTATAGACTTTGATGTGGGTCCTTCCACTGGAGGATGTTTGATGTATCAGGGACAGTCAAAAAAAAAAAAACCAACAACAACAACAAAAAAACCCCAACTGTCTCAGTGGTCAATAGATTCTTAGTCAAGGGTGGATCCCTGCCATGTCCCTTTAGGCTTGGGTCCTGAAACACTGGCAAGGGTCATCCAAAGAACAAGGAATACCTATACACAGGGACACACGTGCAAAGAAACTGGCACCATGGAGGGAGGACTCTCTAATCATTACCAGCACAACTCAGAAGTCATGCTTATTAGGTACAGTACATGTGGAAGGGTTAGTGTCAGTAGGAGGTCTCTGTAGGTTAGTAGTCTCAGGCTTTCACACCCAGGAGAAGGAAGCTGTAATTGTTAGTCTTTGCACACACTGACCAATGTCTCATAAAGCTTCACACTCAGACTCCTGAGGAAAGATTTTATGAAATATATGGGTAATGTCTTTGCCAATTTACTGTGGACAAATTGGTCTCAGAGTCCTTGATTGGACCTTGATCGTGTCAAAATATACATTCATCCAGTATTTCACTCACTCAGGGCTTTCTCCAATCCTTACAGGAACCCACCTGTGTTCTTCATGCTGGACTTTTGCTTGGCCTGAGTTGGCTGAGGTCTTGTGCACCACTTCTCACCTGCTATGAATGTACAATTGCCTTGAAGTATCCAAAACCATAATTTCCTTGCAGTCATCTGTAAGAAAATTATACCAGTGAACTGTGCAGGATTTTGTTGGTTTGTTTTTTCTCAGCCTACATGTCAGTTCATTTCTAATCCCTGTGCTTATGATTTGTGCTACTAGCCAACTTAAATCTGTTTATGTAATGCAATATGGTCATGCAAGCTGAACTCCCTTATGCTAACCATAGGAGTAAAAATTACTGTGACATCATAAAATGCAAACCTGGGGAACACTACACAGTTGTTATGAGGATCCAGCCAAGTAATATATTTAATCCTCTTTGTTTTTTTTAATTAGTTTGTCTGTGCATGTTAATTCGTGTCCCTAATATCAGCAATCTGAAGACTGAAGTAGGATATTCAGTGTTTTGAGACTAGTCCGAGCAACACAGAAAGCTCTAGGCTAGCCTGACATGTATAGAAAGAAACTGTCTCGAAAGAAAAGATATTGGTATACTTCTGTTTGATACTGTAAATTAATGGTAGAGGAGTTTTCTGGCCATCACAAAAAAAACCCTCCAAAATAAAGAAAACAGAAGTATTTTAAAACTGTTATTTATTTTCGAGACAGATTCTCTATGCAATTCTGACTAACCTAGAACTCAGTATGTAGAAAAGACTGGCGTAGAACTCACAAACCTATGCCTGTCTCTGCCTCCTAGTCCTGGGACTAAAGGTGGGCTTCACTATGCCCGTACCTGAAACTGTCTTTCAAAGTATAATTTACATTCATTAAAAACCCATAAATCAAGCACAGTATTACTATTTTTAAAATATATATAAACTTGAATAAACACCACTTTCATTAAAGTAAGAATACACTACATCCATCGATTTGTGGTGATCGCCAGAAGCAACGACTGTTACAATTTTTTTTTTCGGAAAATTCCAAAATCTTTTTTATTCTTTTTTTAATTTTTATTTTTTCATTCAATTATTTGCACTACCTTCCCTCCTCCCAATCCCCTCCCATTGCTCCCCCACATCTCCTCCTCCCTCTCCTGCCCTGTGGGAAGTCTAAGGCCCTCCCCACTACATCCAGGCCAAGGGAGCTGTGCATCCATATAGACTAGGGTCCCAAAAAGCCAGAACATGCCGTAAAAACAGGTCCCAGTGCCTTTATCAATGGCTTCTCAGTCAGCCCCCATATCAGCCACATTCACAGAGTCCGATTTGATCACATGCTCATTCAGACATGGTCCTGCTGGATTTGCTGAGCTCCCATTAGAACAGGCACGCTGTCTCAGCTGGTGGACCAACCCCTCGCGATCCTGACTTCCTTGCTCATCTTCCTCCTCCTTCTGCCTTTCAACCGGACCTTGGGAGCTCAGTCCATTGCTCTGATGAGGGCCTCTGCCTCTATCTCCATCTATCGTCAGACGAAGATTCTATGGTAATATTCGAGATAATCATCAGCGTGATAGTGGGGCAAGGACCGTTCAGGGCCATACCACCCTGAACATGCCCGATCTCGCCTGCTACAATTTTTGAAGTTATAAATTTCATCCTTGCTCTGTGTCTGGCACACTAAGCTATTCTGGAAGCTTTCTTTCAAGTTAAGTTTAAAAGTGAGAATGTAGATTTCCTCAAGAGCTCAAATAAATAAGCCATGCATGAAATGAATGTATCTCGGTGAGAATGGACTTTTAACACACAGCCTAATTCAATATTGAGTTCAATAAAAATGTCATCTTGTCTGGATTCAGTATCTGTTCCTGAACCTTATGCTTTGAAACTTCCATCGTTCAAGGTCACATTTATTTTATTTAGATTTTCTGTTGGTTGTGTCTTGTTCAAGTATATGCTAGTAAGGGCCGTTATGAGGCAATTTCACACAGTTCAGTGATAAGCCTTGACGAGACTCGTATTAAATAAAATGTGATTGAACATTCTGTGTTTTTAGTCATAAAAAATGTAAAGTGTTCTTGGCCAGAAGTCATGACATATTATCATTGCTTAATTTAAATTGAACCTCGTTTAGTCCCAAAGAAAATCACACAGAGGTCTCCATAAATTATAAGTTGATTGGCCCATTGGCTCAGGCTACTTATTAGCTCTTGTAGCTTATATTAACCCATTTTGCTGATCTATTTTTGCCATATGGCTCAGTACCTTTTTCAGCTGGCAGCTCACATCCTGCTTCCTTGGTGGTCTGTGCAAGACTAGGAGGAATCAGCTTCCTCCTTCCCAGAACTCTCCCATTCTCTCTACTTCCTATCTGGTTTTCCCACCTATACTTCCTGTCTGACCAATCAGCGTTTATTTAAAACATGATTGACAGATTACAGACAATTCTCCCACACCAATAGTACCTGACCAAAACTCAAGAGCAGAAAATAGATAGATTCTTGTACAGATAGTTCGTTAATATTTGGGACTGTACAGTTGAGCTCTTAGCTAGAGCCACAAAATCCTTAAAGGTGTAGAGTACAGCCACATTCTCTCTCATATTTTTTATGCAGAAACATCACATAATAATTTAGGCATTTCTTAACTTTTTCCATTGTGTCTCTTTCAGCTTGAACATAGCCACATGTGTATGAGAGAATCTTATCTGATCTCTTTTCTCATCTTCCCACTAAGATGACCTTATAATTTATCTCTTTGTCTCATACTATTCTCTCTGGTCTTGGATGAATAAGTATCAAGTTTTGACTATCATTAGTAGATGAAAGTTTAAAGTTTTAAGGTAATGTTGAATAATCATGAAAAAGGCAATAGCATTTGTTTTTATAATTTTGACTTTCCCAGCATTATTTTGACATACCATGCTAACAAAAACATCACCAATGTTAAAGGTTGCCTCCCTTTAGGCATACATACAGACAATATTATATAAAGACCAGAAAGGAAGATGATATTAACATAATTCCAACATTTATTTAGTAGTGCTTAATCACATTAAACAATTTAATTACATGATAAAATATACCAGTCTGAAGAAAAGCAATATGGTGTGCTTAAGGTGGATAATTAATTAATAATTAATAGCAATAATTATTGCTATTATTATTGTTGTTATTGTTATTATATTTTATAGCCACAGTCTTTCTTGAGTTCTGGAAAAGAAGAAGAAGTATACTGACTTATGCTTGGGACCTTATTGAATGGGAAGAAGAGGAGGTAAGAAAGATATCAGGAAAGCAGAAGTTAAGGAATCTGGGGAATCACATAAAACTCAGGGCTCTTCAATGCACATACCAGGAAGAGAGTCCATCATTGCATCACACTGATGAGATTTCTCACTTCACGAAGGTATCAGGGGTCAAGGGAGAAGCAGATGTTGCTGAAACTATACTTTTAATGTTTTCTTAGAGTGGATCCATAGAAAATTGTGTTAATTAAAATTCACCAAGAGATTTATTTGCAATATAAGTAGTATTATTATTTTTAAAGTATGTATCTTTGAGCAAGCAATATGAAAGCAGGCTAAGTGTAAGAGTTATGTTCATTGTTGGAAGTTTTTCTTTTTTAATTTGTGGAATTGCTATTTAGGTAACCTCAGTTTCTCCCATAGGAAACACTTCGCCCCCAGTTTGAAGCAAAATATTACAGGATGGAGGTGATAAACCCCATCACAGGGAAACCCGAGCCTCATCAGCCTTCATCCGACAAAGTCACACGCCTTCTTGTGTCTGTCTCAGGAATCTTCTTCATGGTAAAATATAGACATCTGTATAAAAATGTTGTGGGACTCCAGGTTTAGAAGGTTAATTCAACATACCAACTAATTTTGTACTCCTAAAAATGCAAAAGAAAATTACCCTTTTCAGTATCACACACACACATACACACACACACACACACACACACACACACACACACACAAACTGCATATAACTGGAAAGCACAGCCAGTCTTGTGACATTTCCTTGCAGTATCTCAGCATCTCTTTGAATAAAACACTTACTAGAAAAACAGTTACCGTAAGACAGAAATTCTGAGAGTTGGCCTCTACAAGCAAAATATCTGCTTAAAACTAAGCCATCTATATGAAAGAGGATTTTTGGACAGAATTTACACTTTAGTGTGATAACTGTTTTCTGTACTAAAACAGCATAACTATTTCTTATTTCTGTTTTGCTTTCATTTATTCCCTAATTTATTTATTTCACTACATATAGTCTTTGGTTGTTGGGGATGGAAATGAGGCTTTACACATGTTGGGTACATACAATAGCAATGGGTTACTATTTGTTCATTTAATGTAACAGATAAAGTTTGTACGTAGCACAAGAAACATGATGTTTTGAAGTGTACTTACAAATGTGATGCTTAAATCTAGCTAATTAAAAATATGTTGCGCATGGCATTTGTATGTTTAAGTTTAAAGCTTACATTGTTGTCTAACTCTAGTTTAACATCCTTCCTTAACGGGGACAACATAATTTATGGATTTTTTTCCCCAGAAAGAGAATTACGTTCAACGTTTGGAGTATGGATTTGTGGTTTACTTGTCATTTTTTAGTAACACGAAAGACATGGTGTCCTCACTTCTCTCTCCTTGTCCTCCCTGCAGATCTCCTTGGTCATCACAGCGGTGTTTGCCGTTGTAGTGTACCGCCTGGTTGTCATGGAACAATTTGCATCGTTCAAGTGGAACTTCATCAAACAGCACTGGCAGTTCGCTACATCTGCTGCTGCAGTCTGTATCAATTTCATAATCATCATGCTGCTGAATCTTGTAAGCATTTGTGACACTATTCTTCAATAGACGTAAAGACAGTGAGAAAAGATTATTCTTCCTTAGTGTTGAAACATGTGTGTGTGTGTGTGTGTGTGACACCATGCCAGTTTTTATTGTGTTGTTATGGTAGGAAGTAAATTAAGTCAAAAGGACTGTGTGTTGCTGACATGAGCATGACTGCATCAATGAGCCCAATGCTTTAGACCAATCAGAAATGGCAAAGCCTACCTGCTGCTGTGCTCAAGGTCTCAGTGCAAATGTCCATAGTATGTGCAAGGCTTTCTCCCCAAAGATGTTTGCAACCTAAAGACTGATCCCCTACAGACATTGCTCCCGCTGGGACCAGCCTAACCTGCCGTGCTTTTCAACTATATATAATAAACTTGCTCAGCATCTAGGATGCTGTGGCTTGGCTATCTAAAAGCCCAGTTTAATTGATCACAGTATTTCCTCCCAAGTAACTGTGTTTGTTTTCTCTTCATTCCCTTTCCACCCTAATGAGATCAACCTTTCTAGGATGTAGGAATTAACTATCTTTGACTCTACATGATCATTCTTTCAGGTTACTATGTAATAATTTCTAAAAGGAGCATCTTTGTTTCAAAAATCACATGTGTATATGGACTCATAATTGAATGTATATTTATGAAATAACTTCATGATGCCTGGTCTAGTTCTTAAGAGCTTTAGTCAATAAAAAGCAATGTTTTCTGAACATATAAGACACTAATGACAAATTAAAGAGAATTTAATTCTTTGATCAATCCCCTAAAGTAGATTCCATGTCCAGTATATTAAAGAAGAAACTGAGATTCAAACAATTTAAATAAATTGACCCAAATCTCTCTCTCTCTCTCTCTCTCTCTCTCTCTCTCTCTCTCTCTCACACACACACACACACACACACACACAGAGAGAGAGAGAGAGAGAGAGAGAGAGAGAGAGAGAAAGAGAGAGAGAGATTTTGGAGAGAATTTTTATAAATAGCTTAGAAATACTCAAATCATGATATTATATTAAGGAATTTACACTTATATTCAATTGTCCCTGACAATGATATGACAAATTTTACCAGGAAGGACTGGCAAGAAAAGACTTTAGGAGAAAATGAATAGCCACTGTGAGAAATAAGCAAATTTTTCTTTCAGAAGCTACCACTTTTAAAATAAATTCTGTTATTCCATTTCAGTTTTATCTATAATGTTATTGTTATTCAGTTTTATCTATATAGAATGTTATATATATATAAATATATATATATATATAATCCCCAAACAGTCCATAAAATCATATCTGTTACTAAACCAAACAGTGTTCAATAAACATTAAAAAAAACTCAATACTAAATAATTTTTAATTCTGAAAATTAATGTAGAATATATACAAAGAGAGAGCAATATCTGATTTTAAAAATGTGTCTGCTGATGTTCGGTGCTTTTGACCTTCTTTCCAATTCACCTGAATATACAGGATTAGTTTAAGAGCTTAATACAAATAAGGACACACTAAATTGTCAAATATTATTTTATTAAAACATTCATCTGACTATCCAAAGGCTACCTTTTCTTATTTTCAGGTCAAACTCAGTACGTAGCTTTAAAATGTGCTTATGAAGGACTGAGCCTAAGTACAGTTATTCTGCTAGTCTAATGTGCTTTTCAGCTCTAATCTGAATGCACTAAGCTATGAAATGTAGGCATGGGAAAATATTTTAAACCACCAAGCGTTTGTTTTTAAATCGGGAGACTAGGCTCTTTAGGGAATTTAGGGTATCCCACAAACCGTGTGCTGTTCTGGAACATTCTTTCCTTTTTGATCCTATTAGATTATTTGTTGTGAACTTTGTTTCGGAATCCAATGTAAATTATCCCTTTTTTAGTTTAGTGAATGAGACCCTGCTTTATTGAAGCCAGTTTTTCCTTTTTTTTATCTAAAGCCTCTCCTCTCTCTATCCCTTCCACCTCCCTCCCTTCCTCCTTCCCTGTCATGTCAGCGTTCCAACATGAAGAGCCGCTTTCTCTGGTCCAGCACTTTGCTAATTCACACCCCCAATTTTTTGGTTCACAGAGCTTTCTCTGCCTGAAATGTTCTTTTTTTTCTTTTTGTATCCTTGGAGAATATCTCTTCATCACTGAAAATAACAGTTAAGGATCACTTCCTCCGTATAGCTTTTTCTGGGTCCCATATGTAGAACAGAATTATCTCTGTTTTTACCCTTGTCATGAGGTCCTGAACTGCATGGGAATCTCTAGAGCAATTAAACAATATCTTTGTGAACATCGTTTTGCTGTTTGTTTTAATACTTCTTTCCCACCGTTAAAATATTGAGTCCACTTAGCTGAGGCCATAGCTTCTTCTTCCTGTTATTGTTTGTTGGTATATTTTAAGCTAGATCCCCTGGTCTCTTTTTAATACTGGAACTGTGTTTAAAATATATCCTTTGAGCAAGTTGTATGGATTTTATTTTTCAAATATTCTAGTATCCTGCCTGTTGTGTGAACAAGCTAATTTTGTTACTTGCATTGTATTCTCAGCGTCTTTCAAGTTTGCAGCATATATTTTAGTTTAAACTAAACCAAATGCTGTACTTCTGCTGACACAAGCACATTTTTGGAAGTAGTATATCATGGCATCTCTAAATAAATTTTCAACTTAGAAGAAAATATGTTCTACTGTAATCAAAATTTAAACATGATTCCATTATACTAACCATAAAAACAATTTTAGAAGTGTGTCCTAAACACACTAAACTATGTATCAAATAGCCTGCAGAATCTCCTTTGTGGAGTTAGAGAAACTGCATTTAAAACAAACATTCTAAAATACTTTGTTTTATTCAGTCCCTAAAATAACTAATTTGTGAGACATAAAATAATACTGATACATAGCCAATATGAGAAAATACATCTTCAAAAATTAAATCATAAGTAATCCAATTTCAAATATATATCTTAAAATCTGGTAAGATGGAACTTGAAGAAATGGCTGCTTTTTCCTCTCAGTTTATTTTTATGTAATGCATCAACAAAAGTTGCTGGAAAACTGATTCCTTCTAATCTCAGAGTGAATTCTAAAATGACTGTCATGATAAAAAAAATCCTTAGCAACCTGTTTCCCTCCAGGACTCCTCTGGTTTATCAATGGCTAATTTGCTCTGCTATTTATGCCATTATTGTCCTAAGTCTATGCCCATTGTGATGAGACTATCAGTCTCAGGAACTTTGCGTTCATTTTCCCAAGGGATATCCTCAGTCCACATTTTTGCTTGACACGCTCCCTTGCTTCTGAAGGATGCATCATGTTCTTCAAGAGGCTTTTCTACTATAAAGTAATATTTTTAACCTATTTGATTTTGTTTCATTTTGACAAAACAGGGTTTCTCTGGATAGCCTTGGTTGGCATTAGACTCTGTAGACCAAGCCGCTTTTGAGCTCTCAGACATCTGCTTGCCTCTGTCTCCTCAAGGCTGGGATTAAAGGCATGTGCTACCACCCCCTGACTTTCTTTATCTTTTAACATATATGTTGGTCATTTGTGCCTTCCAACTGGAAATTAAGTTCCCTGAAAATATAGACTATGTTTGCATAATTATTATTTACTTCTTCTAAGTTCTACCTAACATATTAGAAATTACTGATGAGCACTTAATAAAATAACTGTATATGAGAAAGAGAAGTTCTGCTTACTGTATATAACATTGGTACATTAAGAAGCTCTCCAATATGGTATCTTGTGCACTATTTAGGGGTTAGAGCCAGAATGATTGTTTGTGGCCCTAATCATTTTTTCTTACCCCAGTTATACAGCCATTTCAAATCATGTAGTTCATTTCATGCAAAGACAACCTACTCTATCAACACAGTTACTAACAAATACCATACATTTGAATGTGTCTAAGTCATGGGTTCTTTCGGCCTTTATAATTGGATTTAGCAACTCATTTTGTGGACTGATTGTGGAGTGTAACGTATGGTGGTACCAATCAGCTGTGTCATTTGGGCATAGACTAGTCAAGTTCTTAATTACCCTGGATAACTTTCTAACCGAAATTTATAACTGTCCTCCAAATGTTATTACCATCTCTTTGGGCATCCAGCTAAAGATATTTCATCATAAAATTTATAGATGTGCCAAGGTTCTATGTGCCAAGAACTAAGACAATGCATATTTGGTGAAAGATGCTCATAAAAGATCATCCTTATTTGCTTTATACTGCACTTCTTACTTAGTATTTTATTCTATCAGGCTATGTGCCATATTCTCAATCTTAGCCTTTTATTCTGTAAGATGAGGTTATTATACTTACTTGAAAGAAATGCTGTTGTATAAATAATATATGGAAAGTACTGGCACAGGTGAAATACTGTAAACAGAAACTATTTTTACAGAATTGGTTTTCAATCTGCATGAGGAAATTCAGTCAGTATTGACAAACAGCGACAGGTCAAATGTTATTTGTAAGCTGATAAAGTCCATCCTGTTAAAAATCCTCAGAGGACCTGATTCTGTCACCTGACTTTATAATGGGAGCATGGAAAAGGCATGGTCTAATGTGGGGCACAGAAAAGGGCAACGTACAATGAGAATAATATGTGCTTACTCATTCCTAGTTCAGATATTTTGTGTGTATACACATATAGAACACTACACACTGTGTTAATAAATATTTCTACTTCGCTAAAAATGTATCCTCTTTGTAGATACTTTTTAGACACTTCTTTGAAGAATGCAAATTCCAGCACTATATAAAATAGAATAATACTTATCTGCACACTCCTTTGCAGGCCTATGAAAAAATTGCATATCTCCTCACTAACTTAGGTAAGTTTGCTCCCTTATTTTACTTGAAGTACATAAATAACACTGTGAATATTAGTTTTTAGAAATTTTGTGTATTTTACCATTTTTATGTCTTCAGTTTTGGAAGGATTTGTAAATCACCAAAGAGAGGTGGGTCTATAAATTGAGCTACATTAGACAACACAAGGTTGCAAAGTAAGTCATCTGAAACTATCCATCAAGACACTAAAAAATTTATTTATCATTACTTGGGAAACTTTTTCCCAGATTTCTCAGTTCTTTGCACACCTTCATGTGTGTGTGATGTGTGTGGAGGAGGGATGTCATAAACATGCTGTGGCCTATGTGTCAAGATCAGTGGAAAACTTCAAGTAATTGATTCCGTCATTCCTTCCATCAAGCAGAGTGGAGGCTCTGGAGTGAGAACACATGGGTGGAAAGCTGTGTTCTGCAGATTATTCTAAGTTAGTTGCAAAGTTGTGATCAATAACCTTGCTTTTGGACACGTCAAATTTGTTGCCTAAAATGAGGATCTCTCTCTCTCTTTCTCTCTCTCTCTCTCTCTCTCTCTCTCTCTCTCTCTCTCTCTCTCTCAGAATATGTGTGTTTGTGTGTGGGAGCGAGGGGGTTGGTTAAGACAATGTTTCTCTATGTAGCGTTGTTTCCTGGAACTTGCTCTGGAGCCTAAGCTGGCTTGCAATTTAAAGATCTGCCTGCTTCTGCTTCCTGAGTTTGGGGATTGCAGGTATGCACCACCACAACCTGGTGAGGATAATATTTTCTAAGAATGTCATTTAATAATACTGATATGAGTTTGACACATAATCCCTGAAGAAAAACAGATAGTGGTTAGCCTCTATAAAGTCTACTTCCTGTTGAATAATACTGTTTCATTTCTTTTTATTAAAATTATTTTTTAAAAAAATCTTTTCTCAAGAAGTCAAATTCTCACCGTTTGATGATGATGATATGATAATTTTATGATAATTTTCATAAGTGACCCCAAAAATTCAATCAAAGAACTTCTATAACTCATAAACACCTTCAGTAATATAGCAGGATGCAAGATAAACCCCCAAAAGTCAGTAGCCCTCCTTTATACACATGATAAATGGGATGAGAAATAAGAGAAACATCACCCATCACAATAGCCACAAATAGCATAAAATATCTCATAGTAACTCTAAGTAAAGTGATATGAGAGTCCCCTCTTTGTGCTGTGATTACCATTAATGAATAAAGACCTATAGCAAGGCAGAATTTAGGTAGGCAGAGAAAGCTAGGCTGAATGCTGGGAGAAAGAAGGGCAGAGTTAGGGGGATGCCATGGAGCCGCTGCCGGAGATAGACATGCTGAAACTTTGCTTGTAGGCCACAACCTCGTGGTGATATGCAGATTAATAGAAATGAGTTAAATTAATGTAAGAGTTAGCCAATAAGAAACAAGAGATAATGGGCCAAGCAGTGATTTAATTAATACAGTTTCTGTGTAATTATTTTGGGTCTAAGCTAGCTGGGCAGCTGGGAACCAACAAGCGCTCTCTCCCTTCTCCAATACCAAAGAAGTAGAAGACCTGTTTGACAAGAACTTTAAATCTTCGAAGAAAGAAATTCAAAAATACATCAGAAAATGGAAAGATCTCCCATGCTCTTAGGTAGGTAGAATTTACATAGTAAAAACGGAAATCTTACCAAAAGCAATCTGCAGATTCAACGCAATGCCCATCTAAATTCTAGCAAAATTCTTCACAGATCTTGAAAAAACAACTCTCAACTTCATATGGAAAAGCAAAAAATCCCAGATAGCCAAAACAGTACTGTACAATAAAGGCGCTTCTGGAGGCATCACAATCTCTGACTTCAAACTCTACTACAGAGCTACAGTACTGAAAACAACCTGGTAATGGCATAAAACAAGACAAAATGACCAATGAAACAGAATTGAAGTCCTGAGTATCAATTCACACACCATGAACACCTGATTTTTGACAAAGATGCAAAAAATATAAAATGGGGATAAAAGCATATTCAAAAAATGGTACTGGCATAACTGGGTATCAACATATAGAAGAATTAAACTAGATCCATATCTATCACCATGCACAAAACTCAAGTTCAAATAAATCAAAGACCTGAATATAAAACCAACCACACCAAACCTCAAAGAAGAGAATGTGGGAAGTATACTTAAACATATTAGCACAGAAGAGTACTTCCTAAATATAACACCAGTAGTGCAGACACTGAGAGAAACAATAAATAAATGGAACCTCCTAAAACTGAGAAACTTCTGTAAAGCAAAGAACATGGTCAACAAAATAAAACAGCAGCCTACAGAATGGCTACTTCATCAACCCTACATTGGACAGAGTGTTAATCTCCAAAATATACAAAGAACTAAAGAAACTGGTCATCAAAAGAACAAATAATCCAACAAAAAATGGGATCTAGACCTAAACAGAGTACTCTCAACAGATGAAAATTGCTGAAAGACACTTAAGGAAGTGTTCAACATTCTTAGCCATCAGAGAAATGTAAACCAAAACAATCTCAGAAGATTCCGTCTTACACCTGTAAGAATGGCCAAGACCAAAAACACTAATAACAGCTTATGCTGGAGAGGATGCAGGGTAAAGGGAATACTCTAGTATTGCTGGTGGGAATGCAAGCTGGCATAGCCCCTTTGTATATCAGTATGGCATTTTCTCAGAAAATTAGGAAACAACCTACCTCAAGATGCAGTAATATCACTTTTGGGTATATAGCCAAGGAACGTTCAATCAAACCACAAGGACATGTGCTCAACTATGTTCATACCAGCATTATTTGTCATAGCCAGAACTTGGAGACAACCTAAATGCCCTTCAACAAAGAATGGATTAAAAAAAAAAAAGATATGGTTCATTTACACAATGGAGTACTATACAACAGGAAAAATGACATCTTAAAATTTGTGGGCAAATTAATGGATCTAGAAAACATCATATTGAGTGAGGTAAATAGTACCCTGAAAGACAAATATAATATGTACTCACTCATACGTGACTTTTAGACATGAAGCAAATAAAAACCAGGCTACAATTCACAACCCCAGAGAACCTAGTCAACCAAGACCCTAAGAGAGGCATACATGGAAATAATCTACATGGGAAGTAGAAAAAGACAAGATCTCCTGAGTAAACTGGGAGCATGGGGATCATGGAAGAGGGAAAGGGGGAGGGGGAAGACAGGAAGGGAGCATAGAAAAATATATAGCTCAATAAAAACAATAAAAAAATAAGAAAGAAACAAAGACACTCCAAAAAAAGTAATTCGTGGTAATAATAGCATTGGTCTATGACTGTGAAATATGATTTCTAATAAACATTTTTCTTTTGTTAAAAACAAAACAAAACAATTTTTTCTCATTTCACATACCTATCCTAGTTCTACTACCTCTCCCGCTCCCTCTTCCCCCACCTTCTCACCACTCTAGCTCCCCCATCCACTCCCAAAAGAAGGTAAAGTAAGGTAAAGGATCAAGGGAAGTCAACACAGTCTGACATATCACTTTGAGGCAGGACCCTTCCACCCTATATCTAGGCTAAGCAAGGTATTCCTCCAAAAAGAATGGGCTCCAACATTCAATTTGAGCGCTAGGGATAAATCCTGGTCCTATATACAAGTGGCCCCACATACTGCCCAAGTCACACAACTGTCACCCACATTCAGTGGGCCAAGTTAGATCTTATGCAAGTTCTTTCATTATTAGTCAAGAGACAATGAGCTCACACTAGCTCAAGACAGTTGTTTCTATGGGTATCAACATTATGGTCATGATCCATTTGCTCATATTATCGCTCCTCCGTCTCTTGGGCTGGTCTCCACCAGCTCGGTCCAATGCTTAGTTGTGCATCACTGCATCTGCTTCCATCAGTTGATATATGAATGTTCTATGATGAAAATTAAGGTAGTCTTCAATCTGATTACACAGGAAGGCCAGTTCAGGTACCCTCTCCACTATTGCTTAGGGTCTTATCTAGGGTCATTCTTTTGGATTCCTGAGGATTTCCCTAGTACCAAGTTTCTGGCCGGTTCCTTTTATCTCTGTATTTTGATGTCTTTCTTATAAAAGACTTTCTGAAATGCTAGTAAATAATGACACTCATTCACTTAAAATTTTGGATTACATTTGTTGTGTGTGTGTGTGTGTGTGTGTGTGTGTGTCTTTTGGAGTCAGTTTTTTGCTCCCACGTTGTGGACTCCAGGAATTGATCCCAGGTGCCTGAACTGGCAGTAAACACAACACAACAAAACAAAAATGATACATGTAGCACACTTAGTGTGTATTGTTGACTGGTTACCAGACCTGTAGAGTGGAAAAGATTCTGTCCTTTGAAAAAACCCAACTGTTAGAATTTTAGATAGTGTTTTAGATTTGACAACTTCCCTTCAGCGTCATGTTTACCTCTGTTCGGCCTACCTTGTTGTCTGCTGACTCAGAAAAATAGCTATGGTTGTCAGAATATACGTGTGTATACATTATCTCTTCTTGGATCCTCCAAGTCATATCTTTATTGATCTGTGATCTGATAAGCATGTCTCAGCATTCTTTTGGGGAAATTTTATTCTTCAACCACTACCTCATGCTCAGACTTCAGTTTTAGGCTCCTCTGCTGATCTAGCTAGTTACTTGATTTCAATTATTTTTTGATTTTTAGGAAACAGACCTGACCATCTGCTAGTTTCTCCTTTGTCCTAGTCTCATTAGGTTTTATGATTCCATATTAATACCTATTTGAATACTTAGTTCTGAGGGATTCAGAAAGGAGTCATCTGAATATGTATATTGCAAATACTTAAAATAGTAAAGAAAGAAATTAAAAAGAAAACAAATAAAAGAATATGGAGGAGAGAAGTTCATTTCTTGACATTCTTATTGGGAGCATAACTTTTAATAGCTGAACAATCTCTCCAGCCCAAGGATCATTTCTTAAACAGTTATATAATAATAGATTTATTTTTCTGCTTCCCTTATTAAAATGAACAAAAGTTATATTCCAAGATTCTGTCTTGCCAATAACTACAATTAGAAAGGAAACACTATAAAGTATTTTTTGCTAGTTCTTTTATTTTAGGTTTTTTGCTTGTTTGTTTTTGTTTTTTGAGTCAGGGTCTCACTATGTGGCACTACCTACCTGAAACTCACTAGTAAACCAGTTTGAACTTAAACTAACAAATATCTACCTGGCCCTGCCTCCAGTGTCTGGGATTAAGGGCATGTGCTAGACTTGGTTCTTTACTTCTTACTATTTTTTCGATGCAGTTTTTGTACTTCATGGACACCTGAGAACCCCTCTAGAGCCAAGTCTCTTGCCACCCCTAAAATGGCTCTCTTAATTAAGATATCTTCTTCCCTGCTCCCACATCTGCCCTTCCTCCATCTCAACCATTCCACTCCCCCAAGCTCTCCCCAATCCGTCCCTTCTACCTTCTCTCTTCCCCTCTCCCCCTCCCCTACCCTACCCCCACTTCCACCCCCATGCTCCCAACTTTTGCCTAGCAATCTTGTCTGCTTACAATTTCCATGAGGATCTATATATATTTTTCTTTGGGTTCATCTTATTATTTAGCTTCTCTAGGATCGCAATTCCGGGAAATAAAGTCAGCCAAGGCATGAAAGTATAGGCTTCCTATTAGCTTGGTTAAACAGTCTCTGTGGATTTCCCCATGATGATTTTGACCCTCCCCCTTGCACATATAACCCTTCCTTCCCCTCTTGGTTCGGACTTCTGGAGATTGGCCTGGTGCTTGGCTGTGGATCTCTGCACCCATGTGATCTAGACTGACAGCTGGCAAGCCTGCATGGAACCACCCAGGCCCTCTGCATGTGTCCAATGATTGTTTAGCTTGGTTTATTTGAGGGGCTCCTGGCAGTGGAACCAAGGTCTTTCTCTGGTTCATGAGCTGGCTTTTTGTACCCCATTTCTCATGGTGGGATGCCTTGTTTCAGCCTTGATGCAAGGAGGGAGGGACTGATCCTGCCTCATTTTAATGTGCCAAGTTTTGTTGACTTCCCATAGGAGGCATTACCCTTTGGGAGAAAAGTATGGGGTGGGGAAGGCTGGAGTGGGGGCGGGAAGAGGGATGGAAGTAAGAACTGAGGTTGGTATGTGAAATGAATAAAAGATTTAAAATAAAAAGAGAAAGAAAGTAAAGGCATAATCAGAAGTCAAAATGTATCATGACGTTACTGTCTTAAAACTCAGAAACCACCTCATACACACCAAACAAAATTTTAAAATAAATTAACATTTTAAGTAACCTAATTTATGACTGCTGATGATCTTAAATAGTACATTTATCACCAGTAGCTAGTTTATTATCAGTAGCTAGATGCATTAAGGGAAAGTTAAGAAATAATTTGGCCATAAATGCATTAAGCAAGAAAACAATATTTATGTTGTCAAAATTTAGAATTCATTTTCTATTCCAAGTTAGATGCTCATTCAAAAGGAGTCAGAATTTGTTCCATGAAATAATATTATAAAATCTTTGTTTTGTTACTTGTAGTCGAGAACCTAGGTTCATATTAAAAGTCATAATCATTAAAGTAAGCCCTTTTTGTTGTACTTAATGTTACATAGCAAGTTATTCCATGTGGTGGTAAGATTGAGGTACATTGCTCAAGTTCAAAGTCAACATCAGAGGCAACTATATCAGGTCATATAAAGATACTAGAAGAAATAATCCATTGGGGATTAGTATAAAGATCTCTCCTGAGAAACCTTCATGTAATCTTAGTCAAAATATATTAAAACAGAATAGTACACTTTGAATCCTCCTTACTTCTCAGAATGATTTTTCCCAATTAAATCTTAACAATCTAGACATTTTGGTCATTCCAAATATGACCTATATGGAGCTTTTATTGATCAAAAGAGATTTTTCCATGCCTGACTCTTCCCATAATAATATTATATATAATATGTTAAATATATAGATATATATAGATATATATTTTTTCATCTATTTCTATTTGGTAATCTGTATACATTCTCTTTTACCTTTTATTTGCAAGACTGAAAAGGTATTAAAAGTTGAACGCTGAGATTTTTTTATTCACCTCATGTATGTCAATATTTTGTGTTTCTTATAGAGTATCCTCGAACAGAATCAGAATGGGAAAACAGCTTTGCCTTGAAGATGTTCCTTTTCCAGTTTGTCAACCTGAACAGTTCTATCTTCTATATTGCATTCTTTTTGGGAAGGTGAGTTAACTTTACACATCCTGCCATTGCCAGGGAGGAAACAAAACACAAACATCTCTGTTGCCAATTTGGTAATAGAAGCAGAGAATTCTTACCTCTGTCTTAGAATATTATGTAATAATTTTTGCATGTTTTCTTACTCTAGTAACCTCTGACAGTTACTACTTGAATTTTGAACAAACACACACAAACATACACACACATGAGAGAGACAGAAAGAGAGAGAAGAAAAACACCATCTGTGAGTTATCATCTAATTATAAATAATTAATATTTAAATTAGAAGAAAATAATTTCAAATATCCCTGAGTTATGATTTCTTGATGTGTAAACCAGGATTTCAATTATTTTTTTCTCCTTCAATCTAAAATTTGAGAAAAATAAGCACAAAATTGAGGAGCCCAGTTTGCTATTTGGTTAGCCATCCATCCACATGGTTCCATGGGAACATTCAGGAGCCAGAAACAATTTGAACAAAACCATTCGGTACATTATGATGATAGTCATTAGCCTGGCCCACACAATATTAAAATTCCTCATGAATCAAAGTATTGAATATCATCAGATTGATGTACCTGCACTTTCTCTACTCATAGGTACTGAGTTTGTGCAGCACTTTCTCCTTTTAAAGTCAGTTACTTTGATGTTGTTTGTGCTCAGCAAATATCAACTGGAGGGGGCAAATAGCACTAGTGAACAATTATGGCTGCCCACACAAGTACTCTGTGTGATGCGTCAGCAGGTGAACTTCACTTAATTGCTAATGAATTCAAACACTCTTTACAGATTCGTAGGCCACCCAGGAAAATACAATAAACTTTTTGAGCGATGGAGACTGGAGGAAGTAAGTAATCCCATGAGAGTGGGTGTGTGAATGGGTATGGATCCAGGCCAGTGACTGTGGGAGGTAATGGGCTGAGGAAGAAAGAGATCCAAGAGTGTTAGAGGCAAATTTTGAGAGAGAAGAGATTTTTTGTGTTCAAAATGGAAGCAGCTACATTAAAAAAAAAAAAAAGATGATGCTTTTAGACTTAAAAAGCAATAAATATACTGGCCTCTTTCCGCATTATTTTTAAATCATGTTTTCTTGTTTGTTTGTTTTCTATTTAAAAGCTCCACAGATATAATCCCATAAGTTTACTCATTTTGGAAAGTATTTTTATCTATTGAGTGAGTTTCCAAATGTAATATGTTAGGGTTGCTGTGATGAATTGAAAATTCAGTCTAAAATAAAACATAAAATAAACATCTGTGCACATGTCCTGAAAGCTCATATTCTTCAGTGATTTACAAAATGTGTGATCCAGAGGAACAAGATGAAGGGGTAGATTCACTGTTCACTCATGAGTCTTCGCGAGGTTGAATGACTGTCCCTCAAAAAGTCAGCACACAGAATGTAGAGCTGCTTTGTCATGCTCTAGCCAACACAAGGATGGGAAAGGATCTAACTAGTCAAGGGATATCTCCCTTTGATTTTGCTTCCTTTGGGGGCAAGCAAGTTGAGAAATACTGGGGGTTTTTTGTCTATGGTTATGATATATTTCTCTATGTGTGCTCTTCCTGTTCACTTTCTGTGCTTATGAATTTATAAACTGATATAATTTGAATCTCACATTTCAAATTGCTTCAAATTTTAATTTTTCCTCAATAGCTCATTTTAGAAAAATATTTATTTAATGAAAATGATAAATCTTTTGTTTTTCTTTTGTTCTTGTTGTTTGCCTGGGACTTTTTTTTGCTGTTGTTGCTGTTAGTTTGATTTGAAAAAGAGTCTCACCACCCACAATGGCTTTGAACTAGCTATGAACCCGATAACTAGTTCAACCCCCTGGCCTTCTAGCCTCAACCTACCAAATGAAGCTACATATTTAATAGCAAAAGGAGACTCTAGATTTATGAAAGCCTATTTTTATAGTTGTGTCTATGTCTGGTCTGTGTTTTCTTGATCAGAATTTTGTTCATTCTCTCGGTCAAAATGATTTTCATGATTCCTTTGTAAAAATCCAATGAATAGATGTTATCTTTAATATGAGGTTATAATATAGAAAGAGTTGAGAAAAGATTGCAGAAAAAATTAAAGGAAGAAATAATTCTTTTCTCTATTAAATAAAAAGTTCATCAAAACCACAGGGAGGTCTCATTTATATTCTTTTCAGATTGTTTTAGAAATTTTCTCTACACATGAATGAAGCCTAAAACTTCCTCAGAATACATGCTTTTCAATAAAAAGCTAGACTCAAATGTTAATTACCCTTGAAATTTGTACTTTGCCCTTTATTCACGACTCAAGAATATCTAGTTATCCATGCTAAATTGGAAGTAGTAATGACTATGTTACCAAATTATTTATAGGTAAGCATTAATTTACAAAATGCAACAAGCACAACCCTAGACTTTGAAAGGATCTTCACAAATTGTTGCTGATACTTATCACTCTTATGGCTTCATCGTTATAGTTGTAGTATTCTGTGGCCAAAAACAGACAAAGGCTGAGTGCCATGATATAGTTCTAAAATCCCAACACTTGAGAAGATGAAAAACGAATATGACAAGTTGGAGACAAATTCTGAATGCATAATGAATGACAAACCTACATAGGCTTTTACTAAGTAAGACTTTGAGGGTGAGGAGGAACACTAAGACCTTTTATAAGCCTTGGATTGCCTGGACTTCTTGGTTTTATTTTTAGTTTATTTTGTTCTGTTTATTCATATGACTGTTAATTAATTTTTGTTGATATTTATGGCCAGGAATTATGCTCACCTCCAACAAAAGCCTGGTCACCTTGGTCATCCCCTTCATAACTTAAGGCTTGCGTCTTTCAAAAGGGATTGACTGAATTAGTTACAAAGCCTAAGGTGGGAACAGAGTGACTATAGCCACAAAGATGCAGACTGATAACCTTTTAGGGGTTATCACTGCCATTAAGGTTGTTCAAATGCGTGCTATTATTCTTTGTTTTTCTTTTTTTTATTTATTTATTAAAAATCTCCACCTCCTCCCCACCTCCCTTTTCTCTCCCCCTCCTCCCCTCCCCCTCCCTCTCTAGTCCTAAGAGAAGTCAGGGTTCCCTGCCCCATGGGAAGTCCAAGGTCCTCCCCACTCTATCCAGGTCTATAAATGTAAACATCCAAATAAACCAGGCTCCCACAAAGTCAGTCCATGCAGTAGAATCAAAACCCAGTGCCATTGTCTTTGGCTTCTCAGTCAGCCTTCATTGCCAGCCACATTCAGAGTGTCCAGTTTGATCACATGCTCCATCACTCCCAGTCTAGCTGGCCTTGGTGAGCTCCCATTAGATCAGTCCCACTGTCTCAGTGGGTGGACGCACCCCACATGGTCCTGACTTCCTTGCTCATGTTCTCCCTCCTTCTGCTCCTCATTTGGACCTTGGGAGCTAAGTCCGGTGCTCCAATGTGGGTCTCTGTCTCTATCCAGGCACTTAAGGTCATGCTCAACCTCCTTAGCAATCAGGGAAATGCAAATCAAAACAACTTTGAGATACCATCTTATACCTGTCAGAATAGCTAAAATCAAAAACACCAATGATAGCCTGTGCTGGAGAGGATTTGGAGTAAGGGGAACACTCATCCATTGTTAGTGGGAATGCAAGCTTGTACAGCCACTTTGGAAATCAGTGTGGCGGTTTCTCAGGAAACTGGGAGTCAACCTCCCTCAGGACCCAGCAATTCCACTCTTGGGAATATACCCAAGAGATGCCCTATCATACTACAAAAGCATTTGTTCAACTATGTGCATAGCAGCACTATTTGTAATAGCCAGAACCTGGAAACAACCTAGATGCCCCTCAATAGAAGAATGGTTAAAGAAGGTGTGGAACATATACACATTAGAGTTTTACTCAGCGGTAAAAGCAATGACATCTTGAATTTTGCATGCAAATGGATGGAAATAGAAAACGCTTTACTGAGTGAGGTAACCCAGACCCAAAAAGAGGAATATGGTATGTACTCACTCATAAGTGAACTCTAGTCATTGAGCCTATAATGCGTGATCCTAGAGAAGCTAAATAAGAAGGTGAACCTGAAGAAAATCATATAGTTATCCTCCTGGATATTGGAAGTAGACAAGATTGCCAGGCAAAAGTTGAGTGCACGGGGGTGTGGGGGTGGATATAAGGGGAGATGGGTAGAGAGAAGGGAGAAGGGGAGGATCTGGGAGAGCTTGGGGGAATGGGATGGGTGGGATGGAGGAAGGGTGGATATGGGAGCAGGGAAGTAAATATCTTAATTAAGGGAGACATTTTAGGGTTTACAGGAGACTATACTCATGAAGTATAGGATATAGTCATAAATTAACAAATGTTTCGTCCTTGAAATCTAATGTCCTATTTGCTAGAATTTCCCACCCAGAGAAAAATCTGGGAATTTCAGCTCCTTCTTTTTTGAAATGGCAAGGAAGAGGTAGCACAGTATTCTCATATGTGAAATTAAATTCAGTTATGCATTTCAAATAAGAGGCACAATTGATAGGAATCAGTATTAAGAAAAATGATACAATTTGTCAAGTTTTATGAAGTAACTATATTGAATTTGTGGCTTTCCCTATAGTTATGTAATATCTCACAAAAATAACATATAAATCCATTATTAAATTGTTTTAAATTGCTGACTTTTATCAAGCACTTACTAAATACTGGTATATTCCAGAAATTTTTATTAAGTGCTCTTTCTATACAATTTCACTAAATCCTCATAGCAATATTATTGCCATATTAATTTTATAGATGAGTGGACAAAAACAGAGAAGCTTCATAATTTACTGAAAGTCACAAAATTGATGAAAGTATGATTCAAATAAAATTAGCATTGCTTCAAAATCTTGCTTTTGTCATTATTTCCAGTCACCATTAGGATGGGATATGAACATAACTTTGGACATACATATTGCTGAGATGACCAATGACTGGTTCACATATTGAGAGGGGTTTAGAGAGAAAATTCTAAAGTAGGTGAAGCAAAGGGACATGGAGTCTGACATTCTTTTCTAGGTCCTAGCTTCCTCAAAGTAGGTATCGTGACTAAAGACACTCAGTCTCCCTACCACCTTCCCCACATACATTCTCACCAAGAATGAGAATCTCATTCTTGCTTAGGCCTTTTGCACATTGATTCATGACTGAATATACATTCTAAGTATGAGATTTTTCTACCAAATGAAGTTTAGAGCGTTTAAAGCACTGGGTTTAGCCATCACAATGTGAATTGTATAAACTAACAAAGGCCATCATTTCTTGTTGTTCTTTATAATAAAGGTAAAGATATTTATAAATTACAAATTTTTCCAGGCTCAATTTTAACAAAATCATTGTTGACTTGTTATTTTGACTTTGACATATCCTTTACAGGAATGATTCAATCATATATCATTCATATCTCTCATGGTTTTCTTTCTCATAATACTGTATGTATGCCAAGCATACATTCCAGCGCAACTGACATATTTGGTAAATAGACTTATCTTTAACATGATGCCTTGTGGGAAGGAGACCAGAGTAATTCTTTCTCAGACTCTGAGCAAATCAATTTGCCCCAAGTCTCTCTACAAAAATAACCACTTTGTTGAGCTGTGATTGTCCCATGTATCTTAGTAATTCAACTTCAAACAGTCTATGGAACACACACATGGTATAAAGTGAGGAAGAAGTCAGGGATCATATGTTCATGTTAGAAGGAGGAGGTGACCTGGAATTATTGAACCTGAGCCCTGCTATGTCATGAGCATGGCCATGGGCAAACCTACTCTTTGGTTCAGATTGTTGAGCTACTGGGCTAGAACAGGAAAAGCAGGCTCTTTTATGTCTTAATTATTCATTCCTTTTGAAGTCCCACTAGTACCAATTTGACAGAAATAGAAACTATGATCAAAGCCATAGGAACCCCCATTTTTATGAGCAGGACATGATCTGATTTCTAAAGATCCAGACCCACATTTTCCACCTGAATTGCCTTTATAGTGTAGTTCAAAGTTGCACATATTGGTTGCAGTAATCACTTAAATCATATTTCTGTGAGAGTGTGTGTGTGTGTGTGTGCGTGCGTGCGTGTGTGTGTGTTTCACACCAATTTATTGAATCCAAACAACTGCAAGAAATTAGCACAGAGAAGAAAATTTTTATAAAAGCCCAGGCAAGGAGACCTATATGATCTAGTGATTTTCAAATCACTTGAGGTTACAAAACTACTGTCGAGAAGAGAAGAAAGTGGGGAGATAAGAAAGACATACAATGCTGTATGCTGATTGCCTTGTTCAGCAGCCCTTGAGAAGAGGGAGGAAATGACACTGGTGATCGCTGTTTGCAACACACTATTGTTAGTTTCTTAGCTTTGAGCTGAAAGCGGAGTAATAGATATCTTACAAAAATGTCTTAATTTTTTCAGAAAAATCTAAAATTATTTGGAAATAGATCCTAGAAACAAAATCATAAACACTGTCTTTTCTTAATACCTTATTGTTTGTAGATGTAGAGTATTTGTTAGCATTCATCATATGTGACCATGAGTGACAGTTGCAAACAGCAAGTACTCACTGATAGCTAACCCAAATTCCACCATGGTTACTGAAAATGTCATCGTACCTGTTTCCATTCTTTTACATGGGAAAATGCGACCCAGATGTAAAGTTTACCTTGTGGTTTAAAGTTGGAGATATTTGAAGCAGCTTGGGACACAGAGGGAGAAGTAGAATCTTTGTGGGGGGAGCAGGAAGCTCATGGCTCTTACTCTTCTATTCTAGTGCCATCCTAGTGGCTGTCTGATAGACCTCTGCCTCCAGATGGGGGTCATCATGTTTTTGAAGCAAATATGGAACAACTTCATGGAGCTGGGATATCCGTGAGCACGCATGCTATCTTTAGATGTGTTTTCTATAGAGTTATGATTTGGGGTTCATGAGCAGTGAGATGAGCGGTCAGCTCCCACTCTGCTCCTTACTAAATGTATGATTTCCTGTAAGGTCAGCCTCTCTGAGCCACAATTTTTACATCTTTAAGAAAAGACAAATCGTTAGATCAACTTCAGGACCAGATGATGGGGTTAAAGGAACTAATGTACGTAGAATACTAGTTCGGTTTGTTAGCTATTTTTACTGATAGTAAAGCAGAATCTTGAAAAGAAAATAAATTCTCTGTTGTTTTTGAGCTATCAAAAGGTATAAGGTGGTAGTAACATTACTATTACTTTCCTTTCCTTCCAAAATGGAACGTTCAAGCAAAGGATGTTGGACAGAACGAAGTTTGACAAACCTTTTATGATGCCTTCTTTGTCTTAACCCTACAAAAATCCTTAGAAGCAAACTGATGCAATAATATTCTGTGAGGACATTTTCATATGAAAGAAAAACTGATGAGCTGATTCATGATAAATACAGATTTACTCATTGATTAATGATATAAAACAGGCTTACTCATCAAAATTTACTTTCATTCTTTTTTTTTATGTCTTCCTATGAATGACCTTCCTGAGCCCCTGACCTAGTGGTGGAGAAGTTCTATTAACACAGCAGCATGCCGAGTATCGGTTAAGCTATGGGGAAACTTAGAGCATGGGTTCAGAATGATCTACTCCCGGTGTGAATTTTTTTCTCTGTTCCCTGCTAATTTTGGTTAGAGTTTATGTCATCTCTCTGATATTTTTTTTCACTTGTGAAACAAGAGATTTGCAAAGATTAAATGAAATGACCCAATATAATTTAAATTTTAAATAACAAAATGCTTTGGAAGAGTATATATTATATACAGATGTGAATATCTAATATATTTGTATAAATATATAGGTACAGGTTATATAACAGACTCAGTGAAATCTCTTCTACATAAAGCCTGCATGAGGAATGAAGGGCTGGAGTCCCTCATGTACTTGCTATGTTCCTTTCTCTCCTTTTCCTATCACTCTAAAATGTCTGGGATAGGAGGCATCATGTAAACACAGCTAAGGAAATGAGACATCAAGTATGGGGCATAAGATTTGACCTGCCATGAGCACTCCATAAATTCCAGCAGGGTGAAATTGTGGCCATTGTAGAACAGAAGTGGATTCTTTGTATCACCATCATATGTGATCTGTAGTGTTCATCGTTCATGTCTGACACTAATTGTAAACATGGCCTCACTCTGATGGTAATCTTGGATCATGGATGTCAAATACTGAACGAAAATAGCAAGATGGAATGGATCACCAAAGCAGTAGTTTTCAGATTTTAAACCACAATTTTCTATGCAGCTAAAACCTTAAGCAAAATCAATACAAATAAAATTTCAATAAGCAGATCTGCGCCCGTTCTAACCTGCCTCCCCTTTCACATCTTTGTGGGATTTCAAGGGCATCCTCCGTGGGATATTGACTGGAGTACTGCTTCTTCCAATGGAATCTGAGTCTCCAACTACCTAAAATTAAGCCTTAGGTCCTATTAACTGATCTGTGAACATTTCTGTCATTCTAGAGTATCTTTTTTCAAAGTCTTAAGTAATTCATTATGCAGAAGCCCATCACAGTACATACCAGGTTTTCTCTAGACTTCGTAGTACCATGGCCATTCTCAGGCCAGTGATAGAGAATTTTCACTTGCTTTCCAGGCCCCAGACAATGATTCATGTAAGCAAATCCATTGCAGATATGTTTCCTTAACTATAGTAGCAGAATGTTATCATGAGTGTTCAAACTTTTCATGTGTTTATAAACTCAAAGAAGTTAAATGACAGGATGAAGGACTCAGGGCTAAAGACAACAGGAAACAGGATTTTTTACAGGGAGGGTAGGAGAAATGAATTTAGCTTAGTCAGTATTGAGGAATGGGTTGGTTTACTGTCAATGAAATAGTATCTAGATGTTTGGAGGACTTTAAAGAGTTCTAGAATGATAGGATCTAGTAACGTTCACTAAATCTTTTTTAATATTACTTTATAATTTAAAGATTTAAAACTTTGTAGAGTTTAGATGTACTTGGTTTACACTCATTGAAAAATTAACACCACTGACTACCTTCACTTCCAAGAATACTTGATATAACAAAAGATTATTTGAAATTCGTTATTTCTTAGTAAGTATATACATTTTCCAGAGATGCTTTACGAACAGTTCACATATCCTTGGTCTGCTCTCTGACGCAGGTTAATCCAAAACTGGTGGTCACGGCATAAAATCAAGCGGGGAATACAGGATGCTTCTATACCACAATGGGAAAATGACTGGAATCTTCAGCCCATGAATATTCATGGACTGATGGACGAGTACTTAGAAATGGGTAAGGAGAGGCTTTTCTGTGCGGCCATGTGGCCTCGTTAATATTGCTTTCTCTAGTTAACATGAGCTTTGGTTTAAGGAAAAAATGGCAATAATGACAATATTCTCCTTTCGCACTGATCATTCTGAAACACAAGTGAACCATATCCTAACAAAATCAGAGGTCCGAAGCACGCCTTGCACACTCTCACAGACGTTACAGTCAAGAAGCCATTCTATCTAGTTAAAACGAGGTTGCTCTCACAATGAAGCCTCTAGTTTTTAAGCTGTATTCTTTTTGAGATACAGTCTTCCTATGTACTTAATACTGATCTTGAACTTGATGAATAACTCAGTCTCACCTTGAACTCAGAATCTTTCTGTTTTCGTATCCTCAGTGATAGGCTTATAGGCATGCATCACCATACCAGGCTGTTGAGTAAATATTTTGATGAAAAATAAAAAAAGCTAGATCAATTCTTCATAAAGAAAAAATAGTATTCTCTCAAGAAAGTCACGGTTATTATAAAATTTTATTAATTCTTTAATATTTTCATACAATATATTTTTGCCATATTCACTCCACAAACTCTTTCCAAATCCATCCTTTCCACATTCTCGAATCCAGTCTGATTTTCTGAAAGAATGTCGTTAATTTATATTAAGAAAACATGGATTCCCAGTCCAGTTGTTGACATATTTTCTGACCTTCAATATCCTGATCTACAAAAAGAGAAGACAGGGTAGTGTACTAGAGATCATTTGTGTCCCCACCAGAGCCTTCAGGAAAATATCTGTCTTTGCCTATATTTTTGATAATTTTCCTCCCCTCTCACCCTTTTCTCCCTTTTTCTCCTACTCCCTTTCTGTTTAATTCCTTTGACATCCTTTTCATATTATATGTGGGCAGGAGGGGGAAAGTGGATGTTAAATATACCCTTATATAGATAGAGTACAAGTTTTTAACATTCCCTAGACATCTACTCTTTACCAAGTTTACTTATCACATAAGAACACAAGTTTCTTCAACTATAAAATTAAGAGTATTTACTGGGCAGAGGTATTATTAAAGGTAACTCATCTAATGCTCCTAACTGGCACAGTGAGGCACTCAGTAGATTTTACTGCGTGTATTTATAACTCCCTAATGTTTCTGTCTCACAGTTTTGCAATTTGGTTTTACCACCATCTTTGTTGCTGCTTTTCCTCTGGCCCCTCTTTTGGCTTTGTTAAACAATATCATAGAAATCAGACTGGACGCATACAAATTTGTAACCCAGTGGAGGAGGCCTCTGCCAGCCCGAGCAACTGACATAGGTAAGACTCAATTTTCCCCCATTTGAAATAGTATGTGCAATATCTCTAATATCTGGAGAGTGTGTGGACTACAATATTTTTAAAAAATGGAGCAAGGGGCTGGAGAGATGACTCATCTGCTCAGAAAGCAATTGTTGCTGTTTCCAAGGACCAGAATTCAGTTCTAATCATGAGCACTGGGTGGCTCACAAGGCAATCGGGTGCTCTTCCCTGCTCTCTGCAGGTGCCCGAGTGTGTGAGCACAAATATACAATTATAATATGACAATTTCATGTTAAAAAATAACTGGTGAACAGAAATGTGGCTCAATAAAAAACTGGAAACAGAATATTCTTTCCAAAATAAAATAAATCAGAGGGTTATTTTTTATCTTGTTCACTTTCATTCACCAGCTTTACTCTTTCTCTTATCAGGTATCTGGCTTGGAATTCTTGAGGGAATTGGCATATTGGCAGTGATCACCAATGCGTTCGTAATTGCTATTACATCTGACTACATCCCACGTTTTGTCTACGAATACAAATATGGCCCTTGTGCAAATCACGTAAAGCAGAATGAGAAGTAAGGTTAAAATTTATATATTTTTTTCAGATCTATTTTAGAGTCACAATTAAAAGGAGAACTTACTGGGAAGTTTTGTTCTGTGACCATTAAAAAGTAATGTTTCTGATTATTTTGTTTATAATGTGTTTATTAGATGAAGGCAACTGGGCCTAAGAACAAAATGTGCTTTCTACAGCAGCTAATTTTAGAGTCTGTTTTTACTTGAAACCGTGTCAAAGTGCTAAGAACACTCTCATACTTCTAGAAAGGCTGAGTTCTAAAGCATGAATAGACTCTTCCGACTCAAACCAGACAAAGCAGTGTTGTTGCTATGCAGACAGGAAAGTGAAGTCCATAAAAAAGGGAACAAAGACAGACAAAAGTGCGAAACAGAACCTGCAAAGTCTGTCATCTTAGAGCCTAGATATTTTCAGTAAGCTTATAGAGCCAGGCATCTGGCTGATGAAGAATCGCCTCCCTTTGTGTGGTTAGTATGTGTTTTTCATTTAAAACTAAAATACATGCTTCAAATAGGGTAGCCTAGCAACCTCTGCAGTACTTACCCTTTTTATTTGGTTTAGTTTGATTATTGACATTTTAATTCAAACATTAATTCAAGCATTTCTTTCAAACCATGAGGGAGGCTGTTTTGCCCACTGTACAATACTTAGCAGAACATGTGGTCTCTAACCAGTTGATTCAATGACAGCTATCTTAATCTGTGTATTCTACTAACAGTAGGTATCTCTGGACTTTGCCCCTGGGGGAAAAAATACCTGGATATAGAAAACCACTTTAGGCAATATTTATTACTTCAAAATGTTACTTTTCAGAAGATGTTAGGGGACAATTCACCTGAAATCTGGCTATAGAGAATGGGACACCCTTAAAATCATTGTACGTGAATATCAGAATTCTGTAAGAAAAAGCAGAAGAGTGAGAGGAGCAATAGGTGTGGATAGAGATCATGGGCCACAACAGATGGAGCATTGCTTTAGGGTAGCATTAACTCTTAACTACTGGCAAGTTGAGCACCGGGAAAGCCCTTGAACACAAGTGTCTCTTCTATTGTGAAGGAGTGGTAATAGAAGCATTGTACTATTGATTTTTTGAACAGGTCTTGAGTCCTTAAGATATTTAAAGGGATTCAATGTTAGACACCTTAAATTTAAATTCTAACTTTTCCATTTCTAGTATGTACATCATCTTTATGATATGGTTGATTCTTAATAGTCTGTATGATTGTGAAATGGTGTCTGAGAATGCACTCAATGTAAATATAAGGTTGTTTCAATACAAATAGTGAAAAACCAAAATGCCGCCTTTTTGTTAATGCAAAATGATCTAGGAGCAGATTTTAAGAACTTGAAAAGTGTAATTCAATCACTTCTCAAACTTTTGGCAAAGATCAAGTGTGGAATACGCAGAATTGCTGTCTGGTATTCCGTGCTGGTAATTCTATTGCCACCTAGTGGTGGTTGAAAATTCTACTGAGTTTACATTTCAGAACCTGCCTGTCCTTTGGACAGCACTTGGCATTTCCACATTCAGTGACCAATTTCAAGTGTAGACCAAATTCAGGCAAATTGACACAGATTTTCTCTGATTTGAACATCATATATCAAGAGGGACACTTGATTACCTAATAATCCGCTAAGCATACTTAGCAGTGAAATTGAGAAAAATATACTCAAATTAGAAATTTTCAGAACAAGTCATGAAGAGACAGACAGTAGTGGATAAAATAATATTGAAAAGGAAATATTTGACTGATGCTACAAGATATAGAATGAACAAGGAATACAGTTGCTATTGTTCTGTTGTGACTAATATTTCGAAGGTAAGAATGTAATAGACACATACTTGAATCCAGATTTTAAAAACCATCTTTCCTAGTAGAGTATTTCTCAACATGTGGTCTGCAAGAATCCCTCAGGGTCTATAAATTTAACACTATATTAAAATTATTTATTGTTTTATTTACAACAGCATTATATAATATTATTTTATGTTGTTTATTGATTTATTGTGTGCATGGGGTTGCCTTGTGAAGGTTAGAAGACTTGTTACGTTATTTTCCTTCTAAGACGTGGGTCCCAGGGATAGAACTCATGTCCTCAGATTTGGCAGCAAGCAGGTTTGTCTGCTAAACCATCTCCCCAGCCCACATTAACACTATGTTCACAGTACACTGAGACTTTATTTTCCCTTCAACTTTTTGCCTTTAGCTTTATGGTGCAACAACAATTGTGGCTAAAGATCTGCATGGATTTATGTAACTCTGACTATTGGCAGCAAATGCCATGATTACTAGCTATATTCTCAACCGCCATGTAACCACCTTAAAAATTACAAAGATAAAAGCAAAGTGTCCTTCAAAAGGCACTAACAATTATTATTTTACAAAATCTACAACTTGCAATCTTCTGTCTAGAAAGTGGCACACTTGGCTACTTACCAAAGAATGACATTTGTCTCCAAGAAAAAACACTCTGTAATTCTCGGAGTTGAAAGACAAAAGTCAGTTCTAACAATAAATAATAATGACCAAACTATGTTTTTTCAGACTCTAGAATTTAGCATCTACCCTTTTAAGACGTAAAGTTAAAAAGAATCACCTGACACTTTTAAGTATTTTATTGTCTATATTCAATGTACATGGTGTTGGGTGATATAAGAACATTTTAATAGAAATACGCAACATATTTAGAGTGTATTCCCTTCATTGCTACATATACTAGTTCCCCTGTATATGTGTGTGTGTGTGTGTGTGTGTGTATAAAATCCCCACTCTCTAGCTAGACAGTTTGACTTCTGTTTTAATGTCACAGTTACATACATAATTTTATGTGTCTGTCTAAAATCTAGAAAACACACATGAGAGAGAGTACGCAAGCTTTGTCTTTCTGGCAGAGACTCAGTTAACTCAATATGATCTGTTAGAATCCGCCTTCCAGTGGATATCGGCACCCGACTCAGGCGCGTGCCTTCCCGAACTCGGGCCCACGAGAATGTACGATTGTCCTGAGGGTTAAAAACAGACACACACAAAAAAGAGACCTTTGCTCATTTACCAAGAGTAAATGGCAACTTTATTAAACTCAAGTCAGGTATTTATACCAGTGGGCAACCGGCATCAAAAGGGCAAGGCCTCCTCCCATCCAGGAGCAGGAAGGAGAATAAAGGCCCCAGTAAAGGAAAACTCCTCCCACCCAGAGGGGGCTGGGGAAACTGGCCTCTGTGGGAGTTTTTCCCCAGGCAGGTGGTCGAGGGTTCAAGGCAATGTCAGACAGGTTAGATGGGCCTTGGCCCTGAGCTTCTTTGAGGCAGGTTGAGAAATTACCATTTTAAAGTAAAATAGATCCCTCAGGCTAATGTACCAGGCTGTAGCAGAACCAAGGACGGAACTAGCAGGAAGCTTAGCTGGTTAACGTAAACATTATTTGCATCCAGTATTTTGGTCTCAAGGATCAGGGAGGACAGGGTTCCACAATGATCCTTTCTTTCTTTTCCTTTCTTTTCTCTCTCTCGCTTTTTTTTGAAATGGGGTTTTTGCATGCAGCCCAGGATATTATGGAACATGATCTGTAGTCCAGGTTAGCCTTGAACTCATGCCACTGCCTCCTGACTGCTAGAATTAAAGGCATGCACTACACCTGGCTAATGACCATCTTTCTAGATGAATAAAAACAATTTCATTATGCATAAATACCTATTTTGCTCACAGTTGAGTATCAAGCACTAAAAATTGTTTATAACAAAGTATAGGTGCACAATAAATATATTAAGTAAATAGATAATAAATAAGTCTAGCTTATAATCAGCCAGTCATGTTGCATGTGTTTGTTTGCAAAGGACAGAGTTTAAATACACAAGTGGCAGGATGATTCATAGACAAAACCACTTTTAAAAAGTAAACGAAGTAAAAGAAAGCAATAGAAAAAATATTGAGAAGAAATAACAGGACAAGAAGATATGAGACAGAAATTAGAACACTGAAGACTTAAAATAGAAGGAATAAATGGCATTTATTCAATCCTGTCACTTATAAAAAAGAAATTGTTGCAGAAATAAATTAATTTTGACTCATATAGCACTGTTGTTTTCTCCTAGTTGCCTAAAGGGATATGTCAACAATAGTTTATCCTTCTTTGACCTGAGTGAACTTGGTATGGGAAAATCTGGCTACTGCAGGTAACTTACATATATATATATATATATATATATATATATATATATATATATATATATATATTTACCTCTCCTGTTTGCTTTTGCCATGTCATCTCTTCCTTTCTACATGTAAAACAGATTATTTAAACTATAATTTTGGAATTCGAGTAATGAAGAACGTTTTGCTATCATTCATGCTTTCCGTTTTTGTGGATTGCAGGTACCGAGACTATAGAGGCCCGCCTTGGAGTTCTAAACCCTATGAGTTCACGCTGCAATACTGGCACATCCTAGCTGCTCGACTGGCCTTCATTATCGTGTTTGAGGTTAGTCGTGGGAGAGGTGACCGTGGATAACAGCTTTGTTGATTGATATGTCAGTCTGATGTCAAGTCTGCACTGACTTCTGAGAAACAACCTTGGTGAGCCTGGGAAAAGGCTCAGATATGGTAAATCAATTATAAAGAGTGTGAAAGAATAATGAGCAAGGGTTGAGTAATGTAGACACAAGTTAATGTGGATCTATACAAAAGAATCAGGGAAAAAGATAAAAAATTGAGGCTTTCTGTTTTAAGATCCTAGTGACTGACCATGCTTAAAGAGAAGGGGGTGGTTTTCATGAGCTGGTAAATGAATCCAAATCTAACCAGACGGATAGAACACTTGATTTTTTCTGAATAATTAACTCAAAATATAATGAATCATGCATATATTTCTTTAAAAGGCACTGGCTGATTTCATGTTTTGCCCAAGATTTTTATTAAAAGTGATTGGAGTTTATCACAGACATGATAGTATTGAATTGTAATCTTCTGAGTTAATTTTGAAGAAACTGAATACAGTATTGTCATCTTGTTTCATAAGTCATGATACAGTGAAGAATTTAGCACTGAGGTGTATTAAACACCTCCTCTGAGATACCACTGAGTCGATCAAAAACTTTATATGTTTTCTATTACCAAAAAAAGACAGTCATACCTAAAAGTTTTGGAACAAAATTTTTGTTTTGTTCTTATTGTTTTGTTTGTTTGTTTGTTTTTTGAAAAACTGCCTCATGTATTCATGGTTTCAAACTTGCTATTTAGCCAGGGTTGGTCTTAAACTCCTTATCCTTCTGTGTGTGTCTCCCAAGAACTAGAATTACAGTCATGAACCACCACATCTGATTCCTATGAATCTTGGGTAGAATCCAGGGCTTTGTGAATGCCAGACAAACATTCTACCCACTAAATGTTGAAAATCTTTTTTAAAGACAATTATTCATTCTAAGTGGTTTCCAAATATGAATTAAAAGTTTATAATGAAATATCTGAAAATGAAATGCTTGCTGCTAAAGGTTATAGCAAGGACTAAAATTCTCTGATTTAATGACTCTCAGAGTCAATAAAAATATCCTCCTGAATGAAACTTTCTACTTCATTGCAGGTAATATAAGAGTTTAACCCATATTTGCAATCCAAAATTTCAATGAGATGTCTCTTATATCTCATTTTAAAAGATACATATTTTCTATTTTCTCAGAAGTCAAGCGAACAAAGTTTATCAGACACATCACTTCAGAGTGACCTTTCATGGATCCTTGTGAGACCCTCTTCATTTTCCTTCCTTCATTCCCCATTACTGATCCCATAACTCCCAATCAACCTCTGTAAATTCCTTACACTTGTTATTTTTTTAAGTGTTATTGCTTGTCTATGTTTAAAAATATAGTATCATTTTGAATGTTCTATTTTTTCAAATATCTTCAATTATTTTGTTCCTTAAACCTTTTTGTATCTTCCTTATTTTACTTTGACTCCGGAAAGAATTCTTAATGAGCACCACTTGTGCTTAGAACACATCTGCTAAATCTGACCTGTAATCAGAAAGCACAATAAAATATTAATTGTCATATATTAGACTGTACTAAATCATGGCATATATTTTTATTTTTATTCCAACCAATAATTATGAAGAATAGTATTGAAATTTTTAATCATGATATTTTTAAATGATCAGGAAAGAAAAGTCCCAATTGTGTAGGGGAAAATATGTATTGCTTTATTACTATCTGTGTTGGAATGCAGTTTCTTGGGACTCACAAGCAAGTACAGCTAAAAGTACAACGAATTCTTCCTTTTCTCATAAAAAGGTATTGTCCACTAAAAGCCCTTTATATAGAAGTATTGTTTTAACAGGCTATACTAACCCTACAAATAACACACTGTTCCTTCTCTTTTCTGAGAAATGGAAAGACCTATCATTCTCATAGGATACGTATGACAGTAGGAAGTACTATTTGAGTAGGACTCACACTGTGCCAAGCACTCTTTTAAGCTCTTCAATTGTGTGTTTACTTGATTCATTTAAGAGGTAGTATTGTCATCACTATCATAGACACAGGATGTAGAAGATTTGATCAAGGGTCAACATTTACCGAGTGTTCGTAGAATAAAGGCTTAATTGGTCTCATTCAAATTCTGAGCATTTACTTACAGGTATAATGCCTTTGAAGTTACATCTTACTTGTTCAAGTTTAACACTAATGTCTGGTGTGGTGGCACACATCATTAGTCCTAGCACATGTGGACAGAGGCAGGTGGATTTCTATCAGCTGTTCTTCAAAGAAAGTCCTAGGCCAGGATGGCAAGAAATAAAGAGCAGAATTATTTCACAAAACTAACAAAAAATAACAAACCCCCACAGTGGTTGGTTTATTTTCAAAACATAAACAATGAAAATTTTACCAGAATTACTTAACACAGATCAAATATTTCATAGTAGTTATACTAATAGTGAACTTATAGACTGGATTTTTTTGAAAAATAAATTCATTGCTGTTGAATATAATCACTGGCTCACATGTTTATGGAGCATGTATTTTGATCTGTTGAAAATACATTTTTCCTAAAATAGCCTTTCATATTTATGTCTATTGTTGTGTATTACAGTACTATTAAATAGCAAGTAAGAATTTTGAACAAAGAATTTAAGATGTTTTTTATGAAGTGATATCATTATACAGCATTAAAAAGAGGAAACAATTCTTGGTGTCTAATTAATATCCTACAGTGGCAGTCAGTAATGTTTGTATTCTTCATGTAACCGTTGAAAACAATATTCCAAATGTTGCACATTAAGTTTGGATGTTCAATTTTAAGACAAATGCATCATTGTTCATGACTTTTCTGTTTAACAATGAGTGTTTTTGAAACCTTTGAAAACATAGTTTTACTCTTAACTTACAGCACCTCGTTTTCGGGATTAAGTCATTCATTGCATACCTGATTCCAGATATACCAAAAGGCCTTCGTGAGCGCATACGGCGAGAGAAATACTTAGTCCAAGAAATGATGTATGAGGCTGAGTTGGAACATTTGCAGCAACAGCGGAGAAAAAGTGGACAGCCTATTCACCATGAATGGCCTTAGACTGTGCCTGTAACCCAAAAGGGGAGGTACCATTAGTGTGGGAATGAGACGCTTGAAATGTAGATGGGATCCAAGAGGAAGGCACACTTGGCAAAACTATATGTATAAAATACTACTTGGAAATACATCACAGCAGCCTCTGGGATTTGGAATGCTCAGACTTCTAAGGAAAGAAAGATGTGTGACCTCCAAAGGGATGCAAGTGAAATGGCAGGGAGCCAGGCTCTTGATGCTCAGAGCAAGCCCTCAGGGGAGTTCTGGGTTTCCAGTCCACCCAGTTCAATCAGCTGCAGAGCAAATAGAAAATGTGGTTGCGAAATTTTCAGAGGCAGATTTCCACGTAAATGTTAACAAACTGGTCATCCTAATCAGATTCTAGGACGGTCACTTGAGTTCATAGACTCACAAGAAGTGAGTGAGATCAGAACTCCATGTCCCTTCAGCTCACAGGCTAGTGGAGTTGTTTTTGTGCTCTAGCCTTGCGATAATGGGTTATGCACATGGCATCTGTGCTGCTCTGTGTTAACTATGCACTTAAACAGTTGAACATCACCATAGTAGTCAAACCAAAATAAAAAAAATCCAAGATCCAAGAAGAACACCGTTGGAATAATTCTATTACATTGGCTGTGTTTAAGTTTGCTTTATCACTCAGAGCCAAGTGCACTGCCCATCTTTATTAATGAATGCCAATTGATCCACTTTAAATATTTGAATGCCTATTATTTTATCATTTAGACATGACTAGCTTGTACTTTACTGAAGAAGTCTGTCTTATATTCTATTCCATGTGCCCCTCGCTGAATTATTACTCATCTCACAGAACATCATGTTGAAACTGTGTAAATATGTCTATGTCCCCTCAGTGTTTGCACTTTTGCATTGTGTAACGCAAGTTCCAGCTTATGGAGCTTCATGACCAGTTACGCAGGATGCTACTGTAATCTGTTCATTCAGGAAATCCAAAGCCAAATGTTCTGCAGCACTTAGGTTTCTTCTATAATGTGCACTATCAATTATGAGCTAGTGAAACAATGCATGCGTGTAGTGTATTATTTGCATAAAATACCTTTCTGAGTTTCACTTTTTAATCATGGAATGGAAGTTTCTGGGTTTTGTTTTGTTTTTGATCAGCTGATTTCATTTAATTTCAAAACTCTCTAGAAACAAAGTTGAATCAATTGTGAAGACCATAATTTAATTTGTTGTAGAATCCTTATTTGAATGTCAATTTTGTCCACACATTGATGGAGTACAAATGAAGGGGTATTCAAGCAAAAGAAGTTCAGAAGAGGTATAAATTAAGGAGGCAGAATAGAAGGAAAGGTAAGGGGTGAAGTAGATGGGTTTATGATAAAAAAAAATCAATATACTTTCCCTTGATAAACAGGATGGTCCAAGCTTTTATCTCTTGAGAGTAATGTGGGAAATCACACAAAAAACACACATATACACATACACAAAAAGAGAGCATGATTTGTTTAGTTTGGTTCAATTGAGCAACACAGAAATATTAACAAAATTCAAAATATTGAATTAGGCAACTCAGAACTAAAACTACTTTACACATATTATTGAATCTCTATCAAGGAAATTAGTTTCAGTTACTGGAAGTATGCTGTCCTATTTCTAACACTTATAAAAGCTTTGTTGTCTTGATTATGGTTTGTTTTATAGTTTCTACCAAGGACATTCACTTTTCTACTTTTCCTATAATTCTAGGTCAGGTATATGTCCTGGGACTCTAATATGTGGGAATGTAGTTCAGTGGTAGTGTATGTTTAGCATGCACAGGCACACATATACTCAACTCTTAGCCCCTTAAATAAAGAAAGAAATAATAAATTAGAGATACGTTGTAAATTTCTACACAAATCCTTGCTCCTGGGACTCTTCCATTGCAAATATAATGGTTAATTCTACAAACTTTCCAAAAGAGATTTCAGCCCCTCTATTTTAGATCATTTGTGCTCCTTTTTATGTATTAATTAAGTATATACACATGCCTGAGCATAATATTTTGTTTACCTAACATTTACATCTTTTCCAAATTAGGGACGCAAGACAGACATATGATTTACAGGAGGACAAACAATAACAGCTGTTTCCTTAAAAGTTCTTTTTCTAGGGTTTTCTACAGTCCATTGGGATTTAAGTCATACTGATTGATAAGAACAGAGAATGATATTTTAATAAAAGTTGTAGTATATTAATTTAGAAATTGCCTTCCCTGATATTTTTGAAACAGATATGAGAAAACAGAGAACCAAAAGAATTGTCTGAAATGTTTGTTTTGTGAACAGTTGCAGGGCAATCAACCTTGTTTCTATTGTAACTGACAGTAAAATGCAGACAGCGCCTCACAGTGTGTTAACTTTAGATCACTCTGCTGAAGTAGAGAGAAATGTTTTATACGTGCTTTTCATATGAATATAAATTATTTCTCAAAGATTTATAGCACACACTATTCTCAGGAATCTGTATGATGTGAATGCTGCTCATATATTTTCATATTCTCACTTGTTATCTTTTTATGCTAATAATTAATGGATACATGCATGAGGTCTGCCTTGACAAGTTGTGCAAGTCATTTTAAGTCTTAACTGTACTAGTTCTCAATTGTCTGAGCCTATGTAGGCACTTTTAGATGAGACACTGCTGCCTGGCTGCATGATGAGATTCAACTTGGATGCTAAATGATTCTTGGCACAATATAGTATATAATGGAATGAATAGAAATTTTTTCACTAAATAAATTATCATTTTTACTATAATCTGCACATTACAGCTCAATCTGCTTGTTCTTTAAATATTAAATTGGCACTTGCTGAATGGGTATGGGCTGGAAAAATTGCACATTCTTTGGCCTCTCAAAGCAAAAGTTCCATTATTCTTGGGGAAACTCACCACGTTCAGACTGTCTCCTGATATTTTCATCTTAAAGTCATTCGCAGTACTGAGGAGATGGTTCAGTGGGCCAAGTGTTTGCTGTACAAGCTTGGTGACCTGAGTCTGGATCATCCACAGTTACATAAGAAGCCAAGTAAGATATGTCTGTGACCCCAACTCTAGGGAGGCAGAAGTAAGTAGGATGATCCAAGAAGTCCAGGCAATGTGGCTATTTGGTGAGCTCCAGATTTAATGAGAGACCCTTTCTTAAGAGACCAGGTAGAAATGAATAGAAAACACTAGACACTGCCTTCTGGGCTACACACACAGTCATAAACATATATGTAAAGACACACAAACATCCACACACTTCACAGAAAGGAATAAATTTATGCTAGAAGCAGTAGAGAAAATAGAATTGGTCATATGATGAAGAAGGATGCTTAAAAGATATTCCACACTAGGTCAGAATTGAGAATAATAGAAGATTATTTATTTAGGGGTAGGCTCACAAATCAATATCCTCTGCTGGAACGGAGAACAGCAACCGAATCCCACAGCTGGAAAAGAGGCCAGAAGCCTGCTTTTCATCAGCATAAATAGTATAAAAGGCCACGACCGAGAGGGCAGGTACCTTAAAGGCTACTGGCTGTAGAATTTCCTCCAGCAATATGAGAGTAAATAGGCTTCTGTCACACCCAATCACTTTCTTTCTTCACATACATGCTGCCTTTCCCAATTACTATTAAAATTACCCAGGGCAAATAAATCTTTAAGAAAACGTATTTGAAAAGATGGCTCAGAAGATAAGAGCACTTGATGTGCTTGCACAAGATTCCAATTTGGTTCCCAGCACTCATTTGATCATGTAACCCATCTATAACTACAATTCCAAGAGATCAGTGCCCTTATTCATTTTTAGGGGCATGAGGCACACATGTTGTATTCAAATGTACATGCATACAAACCAGGCATATACAAAACACAATAATTAATATTCTTTTAGGGAAGAAAGGCTTTATTTTAGTCTATGGGTCCATGGGGAAAGAGTCCTCATGGCAACAAAGGCATAGTAGCAAGCAAGATACTAACTGGTTACATTTTTCATTCATACACAGGAAGCAGAGTGAGGTGACGGCAAATGGGTTGATGCTATAAACCTTCAAAGCCCACCCCCAGTGGCATACTTTGCTCAACAAGATTCTACCTCCTACAGATTCCATAACCTCCACAAACAGCACTACCAAAAGGGGAATAAGTGATCAGACACATTCAGACCACCAGAACATGCAAGATGGTTGGGGTAGTTTGAATGTATATTGACCTCCATAATATTATAGGGAGTGACACTACTAGGAGGTGCGACTTTGTTGTAGTGGGTAGGTCCTTGTTGGAGGAAGTCTGTCACTGTGGTGGCTCTGGGGTTTCCTCTGCTCAGGATATCATCCAATGTCTCCATTGACTTCTTGTTGCCTGCAAGATGTAGCACTCTCAGCTCTAGCACCATATCTCCCAGCGAGACACCACGGTCCCTTCAATGAAGATAATGGACTAACCCTCTGAGTTAGTGAGCCACCCCAATTAAATGGTTATCCTTGTAAGAGTTGCCATGGTCATGATGTCTCCTCACAGCAATAAAAACCCTAATACAACTGTTTAATCGTGTGAACCAAGGAATTGAGGATTTGAACGCTGCTTTGACAATCCATTGTGGGAATGACCAGCACAATCTCCCTGGAATGGGATAGGAAATTAGGCACAAAAGCAGTGCAAGTCAAGGTAGAAGATTCTTAACCAATAGCCAAGAATCATCAACTTACCCATTTTTGGTTTTAGAGTTGATGGTTCAGCTTGAAAATCAGTGCAGTTTATTGAATAACTTAACTGATACAGCTGCATAGATTAATTGGTCAACTAGGGGCAAGTTTAAAAAAAATGTCATCAGATGTGTATACTCCATTTTTCCCAAATTACATGATCATGGTGACTTCCAAACAGTATTCTGTTTCATATAAAGAGTCAATTAACATCTTGCTAATTTTTATCCCATAAACACTTCTGTTCAAAATGAAGTGTGCCAACATTGCAAAGTCTAAAGGAAGGATTAATTGAGCTTTAGCTTGAATTATTGATCAGCCCAAGTTCCTGATTAAGTTGCTTCAGCATTTCTTGACCCTAAGTGTCAACCCTTCTTAACAGAGGACAGTCAGCATGCAGCTTTTCCTTATGACTTTCTTTTAAGAAAGCGCGGCACAATTTTAGAGCCTATGTGCCCTGACTTCTTCCACTCATTTTTCCAGTTTAAATCTCTGCATGTAAAAAATAACAGTAATTTTATTTCTGTTTTTAATTTAATTTATAAGAAATTTATAATATATAAGAAATTCTTATATATTATATATTTCTTATATATTATATATTATTTATTTATTTATATATTTATTTCTGAAAACACAAAATTCCTAAATTGCTGGTTGGAAAAGAAAACATAGGAGATATACTTGGAAAATTTCTCAGAATTATAATTGTGGTGTGAATAGCCAGCCATATAAATGAGTCTTACGGTCTGTCTCTATTCTACCTAATGCTACTAGTTAAAGACCTTAGGCCAAATTGACTATTTTTTGAAACAAGACACTATTTTTCTTGGTGTCTTTTCTAAGTGAGAAACAAGGGATTGAATGAGCAGAAAGGAAAACAAACCCAATTGCAAAGTTTTAGTGGATGCAATACTCTGGAGATGATGCGGGCAATGTGGAAATATCTGACCTAGGTAGAAAAGCAAGGATTCTTGACAGCTTCCATTGTGAATGTATCTTTCTTTTTCTTTCGATCCAGATAGCAAGCAAGTTCAGTTCATCTTTAAACACTTAAAAACTAATAAGATTCTTTTTTATCCTGTGTATTTGTGTTTCTGTGTGTACATATTTGAAGGCCCATATAATCCAAATGCTACATACTTTATCAAAGCTATTGAAAAGAATGACCTTGTAGATAGTCTTCTGAAACTTATTGTAGCATCTCTTAGCAGGTCCATCTCAGTCTCTAAAGTTTACAGGAAGGTTTTCAAAGTAGTAGACCACCTTGCACCCTACTCATGGGAAATATTCCGGAGATCATTTCAATGTTTTTCTTTCTGAATTTATTTTTAAAGGAAATAATTTAAATAATCTTAGTTATACATCATTCCCAGAGACTTTCTTTTTTTAAAATTATTTATTTATTTATGTTATGTATACAATATTCTGTCTGTGTGTATGCCTACAGGCCAGAAGAGGGCACCAGACCCCATTACATATGGTTGTGAGCCACCATGTGGTTGCTGGGAATTGAACTCAGGACCTTTGGAAGAGCAGGCAATGCTCTTAACCTCTGAGCCATCTCTCCAGCCCGCCCCCCAGAGACTTTCTTTAAAATTAAATAGGATGTAAACAAGATATCAAACTTAGAAGTATTTCAGAAATCATGAACAAAAAAACTGTGTTAAATTTTAGAAATATCAAGGTATCTCATTAAATTTCCTATTGATAAGCATATGTATCATTGCACATTTTTCTTCTGTAAGTAAGATACTTTTGTGGAAACCTGAAACTTCAAATAATGGTTATATTTCTACTAGGCAGCCCCATACTAATAAGTGTAAATCTATTCTGGTAATTCAAATACCAAAAAATATTCTAAAAAACTGAAAAGTACCATTTTGAGTGTTTGTCAGTCACATGTTTCCAAATTTTCACTGACTTGTTGAGGAGTTTAAATTGTGGCATTCAATCTTCCCACAAACTACAAATAAAAATACCCAACAGTGATTTTCTACCAATCAAAAGTTACAATTGAGTTTTGAAGGCTCTAGTATTTCAATAGGCACCCTTGGTGATAACCAAAGAATTGCAGTTATTTGAAATGGATTAGGTCACAAGGTTTTTAATATTGGGAAAGGAGGTTAAATTTTCATTAAATATACTTTACAATATTTAGATTATAAGCACATGGAATCTGTAAATATACAAATGGACACAGTAAAAATCAGTGTAATCTTTTAAGATAATTTATCACTAAAACAACGGGTGAAGGAAAACTCATATTTTTCTGCTATGTTTATTTTTTATATTCTAAGATTATAATACTATCAAAGCATTTCAATAATGCTCAGTTTTAAATACTGTGTGAAAGTGTCACAGCCTATGGGACTTTTTCTATCCCTACTGCAACACTGTTTGTTACCCCTTATAGTCATAAATGGTACAATTACTCAACTAAAGCTGTTTGAATTAAGCAAAAACAAATCCCACTCTCCTACTGCTGATTTAAGATTCACCTTTTCTTCAGTGTGCTGAGTTAACTTAGCTTGAGATATTTGCTCAAAACTGAAAATTACAAATACAAGGCTTAATAAACCACAATTTATTTTGTTTTCAGTAAAAAACTTATGGCTCTTTAAGATGGGGTTGATCTCACTTTTAGGCATGTAAGACTTTTAACAATGTTTTTATGAATAACATAAAAAATTAGTGTTTGGAAATCAGGACATTATTTTTGCTTTGCAATTATGTTTGCCTCATTAGTTCTATTTTTTTTACAGAACCCTAGTGATACATGTACTAAATGAATATCTTCAAAGAGAAACAATGAAACAACTACATAAAATGACCATCATTTTCGTCAAACACTACACAATGTAATTATTGAATTCTCTGAATGCACCAGTGACTGGGTTAAGTTCTCATAATAATCCTATTAAATAAAAGTAGTTCCTATTCATTTTAATTGGCAAATAAACTAATATTTTGAAGACTCCCCAAATGACCAGGATAATTTGAGTCTAAGTTATTTAAATCAGATACCTCATGTCAGCCAACAACCTACAGTTTTTGCTCCAAATCTTAACACGGAGCATGTCAGTCATCTAAATGAGGTTAGTGAGATCAAGTAAAAGAGACAACCTCATTCTCAACAATGCCTACAATTATGCCTAAGAAGCACAAAGGCCAGCATCTAATTTACCACTCCTCTCACTTCCAGAAACTCATCACTCACAGTGCAATGAATTGAGACGTCTCTGAACATGCAGGAGCCCCAAGTTCAAACTACTCTGATGATAGTGGCCCTGTAACACCATTCCAAGCTGCAGTTTCTAGAGTAATGGATGGAAAGGAAGGAATGCTGGGACTAGCTGAGCTTACTGACTTTGCACATTGTAGTTTTCCTCTACTTCATCACACAATTAATACAACTTCCACCCTGTGTAGTATGTTTACTGTTTCCCATTACTTTCATCTCTCTACCTAAAAACGTATTTGTTTGAATGACCAAAAGGGAACTTCTACTCAGAATTCAAAACATCTTCATATCTACTTGTGCCCTATTGTTTGTTATACAAGGAGAAACTAAGCTGTTTCTGTAATAAAATGGTTTCATATAATTTTAATTGTGTACTTTTGATAATATTATAAAAAGTATAGACTGAAAAAAGAACAGATATTTTAAATATAGCTATAAGGAAAGTATTTATCTAGTGAGGTAGCCTGAGTATAACTTTTAGCAAAGTGAAAAAATCTGAAATATTTTGCTTTTGTGAAATTCCATGTGAAAGTTTGCAACCCTAAAATGGCTTCCAAATCAATCACCTGTATGTTATTATGAACACACACATAGGCATGCAAACATATCCTATAAACATTTATAAGAATTTATTTTCTTCTTCCATCAAAGTTTCACTGAATCCTCATTTGTCAAACAACCTTTTACTTTGTAATCCCCTCTTCTCCAGAGTTTTGAAGTTATTCTCCAGAATTAAAGTTGCATAGTGTTTACATCTGATGCAGTGACTTCAGCTTGCACATGTGACATGGATTGGTTTTGTGAATAATGAATAAGACCTCATGATTAATGATCTCTGCTCTGAATAGTGAGCTCCTTGCAAGGTTTCTTTACAATATGCAGGCTTACCTCACACCTATAAAGGGTGATTTCCTTTTTATTCAGCTTGGAGATTAGACCCTCGACTTCTGGGTAAGCACAGAGGTTTTTGGTTTGTTTGTTTGTTTTTTTTTTTTTACTAAAAAAAGTTTGAATTCTTTACTATGTGTTGGTGTGTGTGTCTCTATGTGTCTCTGTCACATGGATGTGAATGCCAATGAAGGTCACAGATACCAGATTCTCTGGAGCTGGAATTATAGGCATCCATAGGCTACTCAACTTGAGTGTTGGTAAATTACCACATGTCTTCTGACTACTGAGCTATCTTTCTATCTCGGAATTTATTATTTTAAAGTGACATACATGATGAAGAAACACTTCCTCAAGAGCACAAAGCAAATAGTGTATTTATGTATGGTTTACCCACTGGGAAGACTGATTTTTCTTGTCCTATACTCCATACAATTATCCTTAAAGTTTAATCATAACAGCTTTAGCAGCAGGAACACTAACAGAGCACATAAAAAAAAAAGCAGTGTGAGGATACTAGCAGAAGTTAAATGTTCTGGCTGTGGCCCCATGGATAACATAAATACATGCATCTGTCTACATATATGTAAGACATGTGGTTGGAGATGACGTCATCCCTGTTGTATCAGCCATGTCAGAGAAAGATTGAATATGCAAATTCCCATTTATGTTTTGTCTCTACCTCCTCCACAATATTTTGGTGGTTAAAACTTTGAAATGTGGACTAAGGTCAGTAGTCAGGTAGGTATTTTGAAGGAACAAGACCCTGTGCTTAGTTTTCAGCACCAAAACCAAACATAAACCTATAAACAAACAACAAAGCCTGAGATTTAATCTGACAGGAAGCAAAAAGACAAAGGCTCCTTGCATTATGATAAAACTCAGTTCTATATTGGTTATGTAGCATCAGGCACTTCTGGCCTGGGCTGATCTTTTCTCACCTGAATTTGGGGCTTTCCAAAGAAAACCCTGAGAAACGGTCTTATCATTTCCATAAGTATAAATAGGTGTTGGACAACTTTATTTCTGAAATATTCTGTACACAATTCTATAACAGGAAGAAGTGACATGGAATATGTGTGTTGTATGTGGTGTGTGTGTGTGTGTGTGTGTGGTTGGTGTGTGTGAGAGAGAGAAGGAGAAGGGGGTTGAGAGTATTATCAGCTGCATGAATTTTCTTAGAAATGAGTGGTCTTCTCCTTCACACTGTTGCTTTTGTCCTTGGGGTTGTAGCCTGGAATCTGGGCCAGGCTCTCTTGCTTGAGTCCATTCTGTAGGGCAGATTCAACCCCCTCTTTCCAGGCACTGCCACTGTCAAGGTAATCCTGAGAAATGTGGAAAGACGCATGTTAAAAGGCAGTCTTGACAGGTTTAAAACCAACTCAAGGTATGTTGTGTAACTGCTGCACGTTTATGAAGGATGAACAAGATGGCTCTGCATTCATTTCTTCTTTCCTTCAACAGCTTTCACAATCCTTCCACTGTTCAAAACATCCAAAACCATATCCTACTCTCTCCTGAGGAGACTCAGTACTGCCTAGCTCTTCTGTAGTTCCTCCGCTTGCTTCATTGTCAGTCAGTGTAGTTTACGTAGAGCCCAGGCTGCTCCTTAGAGGTTCTGCTTGATGAGAACGCAACTCTCAGAAGTCTCTAGTGGTCTAGCATAACTGTACCTCTGGGGCATAAAGAAGCTAAGGTAGTTGGTTGCATTTTGGTACATCTTTGACTATAATTTTCCACCAAAATTTATAGTTGTTATGATTTGAATATGAAGTGTTTCTCAGTTTCACTTCAGCTGGTGGTGCTGTGGAGAAGATTGTGACTCTAGGAAGTGGGGCCCTAGACTTCGAAAGAACGAAGTCACTAGACGCTTTCCTTATGGGCAATACGTTTCTCAGACCCCTGCCTATATTCCCTTTCCTTCTGTTTCGTTTCCACTGTGAGATAAACAGACTCCTCCTTCATATGTCTCAATTAACCTCCCAATCTGTCCAAATGAATGAAAGAAAGCAATCACGGGTGAATTTTTTGAAACGGTGTATTCAAACCAAAACAAACAACAATAAAAACCCCAAACTCCTCCTTTGAGACAGTCTGTCAGGAATTTTGGTAGGAGATAACAGGCAAAAATAACTACTCTAATATCCTAGAGAATTAGAAAGTTGTGTCTATGTCATTCTGTTTTATCTTCTTCTTTAGTTCTCAAGTAATGAAAGCTAAACAAAAGGAAAATGAGACTTTGAACCAGGGGTAGACCCAAGGCAGTCCGACTCTCAAACTCATCATCTCACCTATCACATTGGACTGTGTGTTGTATTTTATTCTCTTCCTAAACTGTACTTTTCTCTATTTTTTCCGGAACTCAACTCTCCAGGATTGAAAGACTCTTTGGAAACTAATCACTTGTTGTGTAACATTCCAGTCATGAGGCATATTTACCTATCAATACACACACTTGGAAGATCATATTTACCTATCAATACACACACTTAGAAGATCATATTTACCTATCAATACACACACTGAGAAGATCATATTTACCTATCAATACACACACTTGGAAGATCATCAGCTCCAGGGACTCTGGAGGCAAAATCTATATCCTTTCAAGCTGTTGACATTTACTGCCTTCCATCCTTACAGCCCTTTCCCTCTCAGTTGTTGCAAGGGGGAGGAAGCGCACTCTCAAAAGCTGAAGGGCACTCCCAGTGGTGGAGTGGAGCAAGAGCACCCACCCCTCCCTCTAAACCAAAACCTGTTTTAAGAGGCTCATGCATCCACTCACCTGCTCTGTTTTCTGCTCGTGCTGAACTCCACACCAGCACAGAGCTTTGTATTTCTTAGACCAAAAGCAAAATAGATTGCAAACTGGTCTTATTAAAAGTGGATCAACATCTTCGCCTCTTTGTTTGCCTATTAAGAAAAGGGAGATGGATTGAATGGCTTCAGCCCTGCAAGCTTTCCATTTCAGCATGAGCATATCAACTTGAGGATGGGTTATTTCTTAACAAAGCCAAAAAAAAAAAAAACAAGCTTCAGAAGTGAATCTATAGAAATCGGTAGACTGTTGTTGAGAGTTAGCAGTTACAAATTCAAAAGTGGTCAGGTCCAGAAAGTTCAGGCCCACCCGACTGGAAGGTCCCCAGAAGGGAGTACAGGACACCTCCCGCTCCTGCTGCAGGGGCTTCTTTGTTCCACACGACCTGCCCCACCCACCCACCCAAATTCGCCCTTTAGTCTGCAGGGTCCTTGGACTTCCAGGAGTCCCTATTCCTGTGCTGAGGATATCCATCCAGATGGGTGAGTGTGTGCCATCCCAGGGAACGGAGCACAGGGCCCCTCAAGCTCCTGCTGCAGGGGCTTCTTTGTTCCACACGACCCTGCCTCCCCGAAGTCTGCCCTATTGTCTGTGAAGTCCTTGGCCCAGGAACAGTTCCTGCTCCTGCACTGAGGAGATCCACCCAGAGAGTCAGTCACAGCAAAGATTGGATACCAAGACTGTCCTGGCTGCATTTGAAGAAAGAGTTTTACACCTGACTTCTCAATGGAAACCATGAAAGCCAAAAGGTCTTGGATAGATGTGCTGCAGACACTAAGAGACCATGGATGCAAGCCCAGACTACTATACCCAGCAAAGCTTGCATCCACCATCGATGGAGAAAATAAGATATTTCAGGACAAAAACAGATTTAAACCATTCGTAGCCACAAACCCAGCCTTACAGAAAGTACTAGAAGGAAAATCACAAACCAAGGAAGCCAACAACAGCCATAATAACACAAGCATCTGACAACCCTCAATCAGCACAACTCAAAGAAGGGAAACACACAAACATTACCACAAGAAAAAATAACTGGAATTAACAACCACTGGTCATTAGTATCACTTAATAACAAAGGACTCAATTCACCTATAAAGAGGCACATGTTAAGAGAATGGATATGAAAACAGGATCCAACATTCTGCTGTTCACAAGAAACACACCCCAACCTCAAAGACAGACACTACCTCCGAGTAAAGGGTTGGGAAAAGGTTTTCCAAACAAATGAACCTAAGAAACAAGCAGGTGTTGCTATACTAATATCTAACAAAATTGATTTCAAACCAAAATAAATCAGAAGAGTTGGTGGACACTTTATACACATAACAGGAACAATTCATCAGGAGGAAGTCTCAATCCTGAATATCTATGCCCCTAATATAAAAGCACCCATGTGTGTAAAAGAAACATTACTAGAACGCAAAGCATACATCCCACACTTTAATAGTAGGAGACTTCAATACTCCTCTCTCACCAATGGACAGGTCAGACAGACAGAAACTTAACAGAGAAATAAGAGAACTAACAGATGTAATGAACCAAATGGACTTAACAGACATCTATAAAACATTCCACCCAAACTGAAAAGAATATACCTTCTTTCAGCATCTCATGGAGCCTCAAAAATTGATCACATAATAGGTAACAAAACAAACATCCACAGATACGAAAAAATTTTAGTAACCGCCTGTGTACTATCAGAACACCATAAAATAAAGTTAGAATTCAACAACAATTCTACCCCCAGAAAGCCTACAAACTCATGGAAACTGAACAGTCAACTATTGAACCACCCCTTGGTCAAGAAAGAAATAAAGAAATTAAAATCTTCCTTGAATTCAGTGAAAAAAGAGACACAACATACCCAAACCTATGGGACACTATGAACACAGTGCTAAGAGGAAAGTTCATAGCACTAAGTGCCCATATAAAGAAAATGGAGAACAGAACTCACATTAATGATTTAACAGCACACTTGTAAACTCTAGAAAAAAAAAGAAGCAGACTCACCCAGGAGGAGGAGAAGACTGGAAATAATCAAATTGAGGGCTGAAAACAACAAAATAGATATAGAAAACAATTCAAAGAATCAATGGAATAAAAAGCGAGTTCTTGGAGAAAATCAACAAGATTGACAAACCCCTATCCAAACTAATCAAATGGCAGAGAGAGAACACGCAAATCAATAAGATCAGAAATGAAAAGGGAGACATAGCCACAGACACAGAGGAAATTCAGAGAATCATTAAATCTTACTACAAAAGCCTGTATGCCACAAAATTGGGAAATGTGAAAGAAATTGACATTTTTAGATAAGTACCATATAACAAAATTAAATCAAGACTAGGTGAACAATTTAAATAGACCTGAAAGTCATGAGGAATTAGAAGCTGTCATCAAAAACCTCCCTACCAAAAAAAGCCCAGGACCAGATGGTTTCAATGCAGAATTCTACCAGAACTTCCAAAAAGAGCTGATACCTATACTCCTTAATGTGTTTCACAAAATAGAAACAGAAGAGTCAAGCCAAACTCTTTTTATGAAGCTACAGTTACCCTGATACCAAAACCACACAAAGACTCTACCAAGATAGAGAATTACAGACCACTCTCACACAAGAGCATAGATGCAAAAATTCTCAATAAAATACTGGCAAACCGAATCCAAGAACAAATTAGAAAAATCATCCATTATGATCAAGTCGGCTTCATCCCAGAGATGCAGGGCTGGTTCAACATGCGAAAATTTATCAATGTAATCCATCATATAAATAAACTGAAAAAAAAATATGATCATTTCATTAGATGCTGAAAAAGCATTTGACAAAATTTAACAGCCCTTTATGAGAAAGGTCTTGGAGAGAATAGGGATACAAGGTTCATACCTAAATATTATAAAATCTATATACAGCAAGCCGACAGCTAACATCAAATTAAATGAAGAGAAACTAAAATCAGGAACAAGACAAGGCTGTCCACTCTCTCCATACCTCTTCAATATAGCGCTTGAACTTCTAGCAAAAGCAATAAGACAACATAAGAAGATCAAGGGGATTCGAATTGGAAAGGAAGTCAAACTTTTTTTATTTGCAGTTGATATGATAGTGTACATAAGCAACCCCAAAAACTCTACCAAAGAACTCCTACCCTGATAAACACCTTTAGTAATGTGGCAGGATAAAAGATGAACTCAAAAAAATTAGTAGCCCTCCTATACATAAAGGATACAGAAGCTGAGAGGGAAATCAGAGAAGCATCACCTTTCATAATAGTCACAAATAGAATAAAGTATCTTGGGGTAACTCTAACCAAGGAACTGAAAGATTTATTTGACAAGAACTTTAAGTCTGTGAAGAAAAAAATTGAAGAGCGTACCAGAAAATGGAAGGATCTCCCATGCTCTTGGATTTGGAGGATCAATATAGTAAAAATGGCAATTCTACCAAAAGCAATCTATAGATTCAATGCAATACCCATCAAAATCCCAGCAAAATTCTTCACAGACATTGAGAGAACAATAATCAACTTTATATGGAAAAATAAAAAAAAAAACCCAGGATACCAAAACAATTGTATACAATAAAAGTACTTCCAGAGGCATTATCATCCCTTACTTCAAACTCTATTACAGAGATGCAGTAATGAAAATAGCTTGGTATTGGCATAAAAACAGAGATGTTGACAAATGGAATCAAATCGAAGACCCAGATATTATTCCACAAACCTATGATTACCTGATTTTCGACAAAGGAGCTAAAATTATACAATGGAAGAAAGAAAGCATCTTTAACAAATGGTGTTGGCATAATTGGATGTCACCTGTAGAAGAATGAAAATAGATCCATATCCATCACCATGCACAAAACTGAAGTCTAAATGGGTTAAAGACCTCAATATAAATCTAACCATGCTGAACCTGATAGACAAGAAAGTGGGAAGTAGTCTGCAACACATGGTCACAGGAGATCACTTCCTACGTATAAACCCAGTAGCACAGACAATACGAGCAACAATGAATAAATGGGACCTCCTGAAACTGGGAAGCTTCTGTAAAGCAAAGGACACTGTCATTAAGACAAAAAGGCAACCTACTGAATGGGAGAATATCTTCATCAATCCCACACCAGACAAATGTCTGATCTCCAAAATAAACAACTCAAGAAACAAGACATTAAAACTCTAATTAACCCAATTAAAAATGGGGTACTGAACTGAACAGAGAATTCTCAACAGAAGAAGTTCAAATGGCCAAAAGATACTTAAGGTCATACTCAACCTCCGTAGCAATCAGGGAAATGCAAATCAAAACAACTTTGAGATACCATCTTACACTTGTCAGAATGGCTAAAATCAAAAACACCAATGATAGCCTATGCTGGAGAAGATGTGGAGTAAGGGAAACACTCATCCATTGCTGGTGGGAATGCAAACTTGTGCAACTACTTTGGAAATCAGTGTGGCTGTTTCTCAGGAAATTGGGAGTCAACCTACCTCAGGACCCAGCAATTTTACTCTTGGGAATATACCAGAGATGCCCAATCATACTACAAAAGCATTTGTTCAACTATGTTCATAGCAACCTATTTGTAATAGCCAGAACCTGGAAACAACCTAGATACCCCTCAATAGAAGAATGGAGAAAAAGGTGCGGCACATATATACATGAGAGTTCTACCCTGCAGTAAAAAGCAATGACATCTTGAATTTTGCATGCAAATGGATTGAAATAAAAACACTTTACTGAGTGAGATAACCCAGACCCGAAAAGATGAATATGGTATGTACTGACTCATAAGTGGACTTTAGCCATAAACAAAGAACTTTGAGTGTATAATTCATGATCCTAGGAAAGCTAAATAAGAAGGTGACTCCAAAGAAAAACATATATTTATCCTCCTGGATATTGAAAGTAGACAAGATCACCAGACAAAAGTTGGGAGCATGGGGATGGGGGTTAGTGGGGTGAAGGGAAATTGGGGAGAGAGAAAGGAGAGCCATTTTAGGGTTGACAAGAGAGTTGGCTCTAGAGGGGTTCTCAGGTGTCCAAGGAAATGTCCCCAGCTAGGTCCTTAAGCAGCAGAGAAGAGGTTGTCTGAACTGGCCTTATCCCATAGCCACACTGATGAATATCTTGCATATCACCATAGAACCTTCATCTGGCGATGGATGGAGATAGAGACAGAGACCCACATCAGAGCACTGGAATGTGCTCCCAAGGTCCAGATGAAGAGAAGAAGGAGGGAGAACATGAGCAATGAAGTCAGGACCACGAGGGGTGTGTCCACCCACTGAGACAGTGTGACTGATCTAATGGGAGCTCACTGAGGCCAGGTGGACTGGGACTGAACGAGCATGTGATCTGTCCGGACTCTCTGAATGTGGCTGACAATGAGGGCTGACCGAGAAGTCAATGATAAGGGCACTGGGTTTTGATTCTACCTCATGTACTGGCTTTTTGCGAACCTAATCTGTTTGGATGCACACCTTCCTAGACCTTGATGGAGTGAGGAGGGCCTTGGACTTCCCACAGGGCAGGGCACCCTGACTTCTCATAAAACTGGAGAGGGAGGGGGAGGAGGAATGGGGGAAGTGCTAAGGAAATGGAAGTAGGTGGAAATTTTTAATAAATAAATAAATATAGAAAAAGGAAAGATTAGGACTATAAAGTTAAATGGTAATAACATATTCATTTGAAAATATTCCTCTAGTAGTAAATATGTAGGAAGTATATTTTTCTTCCTCAATTTTATCTAAATCATATATTTGCAGGATCATCTATGCTGGTATTTATAAAATTAGAAAGATCATTTTTATTGTTTCTTTCTCTTTCATTACAGCATCAACATCTTCTACAGTTCTGCCTGCCAATCTAGACTGTCTTCCCATTTCATTTCTGATCTTTAAAAATACCATTTCCATCCTTTTAAATCCTACTGAGGAACAAGTAAGACTGATATTTTTACTAAGATGTAAAGGCTAATGTGGCCATCATTCTGAAATTTTTGCAAGTTTTCTGGCCAGTCAAACTAGTGCAATTACCCTGTCCCACAGAATGCAGGTAAGTATGAGAGCCAATCTACCCAGAGGTCCCTGGAAGAAGCATTGTTGTAAGAGTTAAACACATTGATCAGATTCCTTCTATGGGACTGATGTTATGTCTCACTAAAATTTTGTGCCTGTCCATTATTTTCAAATTCAAATAACATGTTCCACAGTATTATATCAGTCTGTCAAAAGTATTTTACTTAATAGAATTTTAATTAAATTGATATTTGTTAATTAGTGCCTTAGATAGAACATGTTTATTTGGCTCATGTATTGTTGATAAAGAACTTTATATTCTGCATCAAAGAATTTAATTCAAAACCAACCATAGATATTTATCTGCATTAATGTTTATGTATTCCCATAGAGGCCAGAAAAGGATATCAGGTACTCTAGAACTGAAATTATAGACATCCGTGAGCTGCAGTGTGGGTGGTGGGAATTGAACTTGGGTCCTCTGGAAGAGCAACCTTTGCTTATAATCACATCATCTATCTCTCCAGCCCCTACTATCAATACTTTTATTGCAACTTTGGTTCCCTTTCCTCTGAACAAAAGCAATTTTGTACCAAGGTTTGACCCTATGAGAACAGTGTAAAGCATGATTTATATATACTTCATCCCCTACTTTTCCCCATTGTAGTCACCATGCACAGTACATAAACTTCAAAGCCCTACAATAAAGCCCTACAAAGATAGGATTATGTTGGAAGTCAGGTGAAAAACACTTAATATTAATCTTCCTTTATAAATGATGCTACAAAGAACTTTTATACACAGGTATGGTGGTGGAGTATGTTTCAAAACATCTTACCTTTTTTCTGATTGTTAAACAGACACACAGACGGACAAACACACAACGAGAGAGAGAGACAGAGACAGAGAGAGAGGGGGGACAGACAGAGAGGAACAGAGAAAGAGATCAACTTAGAAACTTGAGACAATATGTGAATCTCTTATAGAAGAGGACTTTTGTGGTAGACTCAGAAGCAAATTTGTGAGGCTACCACGTAGTCAACAACTTCATGAAATAACCCCCCAAAGAGAGGACTCCAGATAACCCACCTGTCAGGAAGCTGATGAGTAGTCCAGCAGCTATACATCCCAGAAAGCCCACAGCACTAAAGTAAAGGTAGGAGAGTGAGTACCACGTGTCAGCAAGGGCAGGTCTGTAAAGAAAATTAGCACAGAACATCAACTCTGTTCATCATTCAAAAATAAAAACTCATGACTTAGGATACAATTGCTTCGCGGCACACTCTGGGTTCTGGCATCTCTTAAAACTCTAAATCTTAATACTTGATTATTTAATGAAAAAAAATTAGTAGCTAGCTCTTCTTTTCATTCAGGATTTACATATATATATATAGAGAGAGAGAGAAAGACAGAAAGACAGATAGACAGACAGAGAGACAGACAGACAGATAGATAGATGGATAGATAGAGAAATTTTTCAATGAGGGCAATGTCTTTCATTCCTTTTCTGTTATTTACTATTCAATTGTTAATTAACTCCAGAGTCAGTGGAAAGAATGTGAAAGACACTTGTCTCTGTGTATGAACTGACAGATCTCGAAAGGGACTTTTCAGTACTATTCATGGAATAGCAGCAGAAGTTTGTAGACGACACAAAAATGCAGCCTTCATATACCGTCCACTAAGATCATGACTCCTGATCTGTCCTTCCATCCTCCAGGAAAGCATTTAAACTCTTGTTTACCTAAATGCAGAGGAAGAGCGATCTGCAGAACTCCGTTTAGCCTTGCACAGTACCCTTCATTGCCAAGCACTTTCAGATGAGCAAGAACTAGTTCATCAAATTATCTCTGACAGAGGTCTCTCTTCTTATTTTCTGACCTACTTTGGGACTTAGTACAATTTTTAAAGTCAACATACCTGCTGGCAAGCTCTGGACCTACTGTTGCTGTTATATTTGATTGGACACACTGCTCTATTGATAGAGGTAAGGGTAACGTCTTAGACACTGGTGCAGGGTAAATAAAAGACCCGATGGCCACCCAAAATGACAGTGTGATTCCAGCAATGAGGCCTCCTAGTGCACCCTTGGAGAAAAAGAGAACATAATAAGAAATTAAACAAAGCTTTTTTGCAAAAATATTAGTATAAAGTGTAATGTGCTGCAGAAATTCTAATTGTTCATCTCAAATCTTGGCCACGCGCACTGGAAACACCTCCAACTGTCTTCATTTCAACTCTCAGAAAGCAGATATATTTACTTAGTTGTTTACTTACTTACTTATTCATTCACTTATTTTAAGTGCTAGGTATGGATTCTAGGGTCTTGTGCATGCTAGGCCCGTTCTTTGTCACTGAATCATAACCTCCAGTCCTATGAAATGATTTTAAGTAAGTTGTACCTTGAGTGACAATTTTTCTGCCTTTGTTTTGTTCCTTCTTTTTATTTGAGAATAAGGAGAAACCTCAATCTATCCAATGAAAGAGTCTCAGAAGCTATGGAACTCTTTAAGCAATGTAGTTATTTTTTATTGACAGATAATGTACAGAAAGTCTGACTGCTATTCCACAAATTAAGAGATTCTTGCCTGTTTACTCTTTCAATGTTGACTAACCACCAATTGGTGTGCTTTTTCCTGGGAATGGCTATTTCTCCCACTTTCGCTAGTTGAGGTCTTTGTGGTCCTTCCCTTGTCCCCATTGGCATGTCTACTACTGTTGTCATTATATTATGTTTTCCACTAAGAACTTACATAGATAGCGCATAGATACAGGCTTTTGACTGTTTGGTTTTAGTGACTAGGTGTTACCTCAAATTATAATCAAACACCATAATATTTTCATAAACCCAAATACTACAGAAGTGATTCTGACTGTGCTCCCTTTATAAGACAGAAGAATGTTTAACAAATTGACAAAAATATATTCTAAATGGTTTTAGAATAAAATGTACAATAGCAAATTTTTATATGATGCCTACATAGCACAGAGTCTACCTACATCTATCTGAAGTCATAGCAAAGGAAGTACCAGAAGTAATAGTATTTCTGGCTTGTCCATTCTATTATTAATCATTCAGCATATGATCATTTAAGGCTGCCTCCTCCTTTATTTGTCTTTTGCTTCTAAACAGGTTTCAGTGTAGTCTCATATATGAGGGCCTACGTGCCAATTAATTTCATACCTATGTATATGTGTATGTTTGTAAAATAAAAATACAGATAACATAATTCTTTGGATTTTTTTTCTGGCAAAAACAAACAGCTTTCCCAAGCAGAGGTGAAAAGAGATAGAAAATGAAAGAACCTTATTTGAAGTGAGCTTATGAAGAAAAACTACATAATCCTTACCTTCCAGTTCACAAAAGGGAACACAATACCAAGCGTGAACAAACCTAGCATCGGTCCCCCACACATGCCAAGGATGCTGAGGGCAGCCTGTAGAAAAAAGCAAACCAGGTTAGCCTAACAATTCCTCTGCGTCTGTAGCTTACCCTGACATCACCATCCCTTCCTCAAACCTTGAATGAACTTGAACTCCATTCTTTAACTATGTATTTTCCTTAAAAAAAAGCTCTGTGTGTATACATGTATGCGTGTATATATATATGTGTGTATATGTGTGTGTGTGTATACACACACACAATTAAATGTGCATATCTCTATGCATATGCTTAGAAAATATCAATCCAGGTAACTTACCTTTATTGGAGCTACTTTAACTTGTTGAAACACCAAAAGGACTTTTTTTCTTTTCACTTGCCTAACACACACAATCCCTGGGTCTAATTTCCAGCAAAGTAGACGTTATTTTGCTTGTTGGTTAAGGAATTTACTGAATCGATGCATCTATAGCTTATTTGTCATATCCTAGGTGGCTCATCAGCTCTTTAACTTGGTTTGAAATTTTCCATCATTTAGATTGCAACAATTATCTGGATCCAACCCTTGCACCCCACCGATATCACTTCTGAGGCAATGAAGAATTTTTCAGTATTTGGAACACTTTAGAGAGGCCATCAGGCACCCCATATCTCCTCCTTTTTATTTCTCTTTACATTTATGGATCTTTTCTTTTGGATATTGACAAATTTTTTTTAATAAAGCATTTCAATATCTCTTATCCCTTAAATGACTGATCCAAATGAACTGGCTTAGAGTTTATGGAATATCTATAGTATAAACATAAGTAAAGACAGGCTTCCCGAAGTCTCTATAGCTGTGTACATGTGAGTGCATGGGTAACATAAGAGAAAAAAGTAGCAGTTTGGAAAGACTGAACACTGTCTGAGACCTTCTAAGAGCTAGGAATGCAAATTTACTGGATTGTGTAAATGAGAGTGTACACATGCACACGTGCATTGCAACACACATAAAAGTACTTTCCCTGCAGCACTTTCTATATCTGTGTAAGTACCATGGGCATATTACATCAGAAGCCAACCTTTAGAATGCTCCCAAGATCTTATAAAGGTTTGTTTATCAGATGCCGCCCATGTGTCAGTCAGTCAGGAAGATCCACCTGGGAACTCCAGACAACGGCTCATCTAATTCTCACACTCACCCAGTTCAGGAACAGTAACCAAAATTTGTAGAAAGGAATCTTGAGGCTAACAGAAACACAGTCAAGCCTATTTTCATTTAGAGAGTGAGCAAAGGTCATATATATATCCTGATTTGTCTGGCTTTAAGCTTTTACATTTCCTTTCACAAAAGTGGTCTTTAAAAAATATGAAGAATGCAAATCACCATAACACCCTCCTTATTTTACCTAAAGAAGGAAATGGTTTTGAGTCTATCTTTAACAATTAGACTGAATTCCACTATAACCTACCACGTATCACTAGGATTTGATGAACTTTTTGATATTAACTTGTAACCATTCAACTTGCACTTTCTCCTTGCTATATAAAAACATGCAAGGCAAAGGAATCTTCTCATTTCCTTCAGTCATAATATAAATTCTTTTCCAGAGATATGAGCTTTAATATATCATTATGATTGTGTGGTGGCTTGAATAAAATTGGCTCTCATAGACCCAAAGGAGGTGGCACTATTAGGAGGTGTGGCCTTGTTGTTGTAGGTGTGACTTTGTTGGAGGAGGTGTGTCACTAGGGCATGAGCTTTGAAGTTTCAGAAGATTGAGCTATGCCCAGTATGATAGTCTCTTTTCCTCATATCTGTGGATCCAGATGAGAACCATAGGCTCCTTCTCCAACACCATGTTGTGTGTATGCTACCTTGCTTCCTGCCACGTCTATAATGGACTAAACCTCTGAACCATAAGCCAGTCCAATTAAATGTTTTCTATTATAAGGGTTGCTGTAGTCTTGGTTTCTCTTCACAGCAATAAAATCCTAACTTAAACAGATTGCTTTCCCAGAATCATTTTCAAAAAATTCAATTGCTACTATATAAATGACAGGGGCATGTGCAATTAAGTTTCTTTTCCCCTGACTTCAGTTATTTAATATTTGTTTCATTTCTTTGCAGGTGGTAGAATTAATTCATCATTGTGTGGGCAGTTGCATTTTCAAGGTTATTACTTGATATCATGAGAAGATTCAATAAAATACTAAAGACATTTATCTCCCTTTGAAGCAGGGGTAGTGGAATAAAGACAAACTTGCAATGTCTGAGGCATCAGAGCAAAAAGCAACAGAAAATCAACCCAAGAGTTTCAGTTTTTACATAATAAATATTAATGTGTTCTGTGCGTGTTTTTGTAGTCTACCATGACAACCGACTTTCATTTTTACCTTCTTTTTGTTGTCATTTAGTATCTGTAATCTGAGGCAAGCTCAAAGCTAGTCTAACTTGGGTTCTACTTCAATGCCCAGAACCCATCTGAGCTTCTCCTACAAACAGAGGGCAGAGTCCAGGGAGTTTGTGCTTTAGCACTGGAGCTGCCGATGACTTGGGAACGGCATTTAGCTGCACTGTACTTGGCTTGTTAAAAATATAAGAAGGGCATCTCATCATACCCACTTACTGAACTGTTTGCCGGTGAAGACTTAAGGTGCGCTCCAAAGGAAACTCAGAAACGTGTTGGAGTACTGTGTCCTGTATTAGGAATAGCCCTGAACTGTCCCCTACTTTCACTGTATTTGTCAGTGCTGTGCCCTGCTAGGGAGCTTTGGTTTCTGTAGCTTGGCTTCTGAATGCCAGCATGCTATAAGATCTACAGAAGACCTTCCTGAGTTGAGTTAAAAAAAAAAACATGTCTTCAAATTGTTCTACCCCTTAGCAGAATTCCAGGTAGTCCAGTGGGCAACAACATGCTGTGGAGAAAGGCATCTTGCACCATTGTAACTCTCAGGGATCTTAAAGACTTCTGAGTTTCAGTCATACTTAATCTTATCTTTACTTCTTTAGTTTCAGTATCTTCCTAAATTTTTCATGTTTACTTCGTTCAAATGTGACATAAGTGAATGTCAGAATGGGTGGGGGCATAAGAAATGAGCAATGGATTAAAAAACAGAAAGGCAAAGAGCTACAAATCAGCAGTGCTCCCAGGAAGCTCTCCACGGCCATCCTCACAGGAAGAGCTTCCCTACTCTCATCTGATCCCTGCACAAATCCTCAAGCACACTATTTCAAGTTTGTCATTGGGCTTCCCACAGCCTTCAGCACACTGCTATGCACTTGATCTTAGGGAAGGGAATACCATTTGCCTAGCGTTTTTCACATGGAATCAATGGTGGGAATTGTCTCCCTTGGTGCATTTTACAGGTTGAGATTTTTAAGACACACTTTTTAAATTCCTACATGAAACAGTACAATATAACTTCAAAAACAAACAAATAAACAAAACAGCAAATCAAAACAACCATTGAGGAAAAATTTATTTACCTTTTATGAGACTGAAAGTTGTCGCCACTGGTATCACCCACAAATACATGCCATAAGTATGTATGTTTTTTGTGAACAAGGAATTAACCATGGTTCTACCATTTACACTTATGAGACTTAAGTTTTTGTCTGTTTCCATATGTAAAATCAGAATCTGAATACTGATTTACTAAATTCAAATAGTACTAGCTTTATAGTGAAAATAATAGAAGAATTACAATTATTTTTATTTACTCAAATGTGGCAAAAGAAGTGAGTGAATCACCATAGGGTTCTCCACCTTCCTAATGCTTTGACACTTAATACAGTTGTTCATGTTGTAGTGACCCCCCCAACCACAAAATTATTTTTAATGCCGCTTCATAATTGTATTTGGCTATGGTTAAGGATTGCAATGTAAGTACTTTTGGAGATGGAGGGATACCAAAGATGTCAAAACCCACAGATTGAGAACTACTGCATTAGAGCTACTCACCTCACCTGAAAGACTAATATGGGGAGTTTCATTTCTAGCGTGCCAGCATCTATACTGTGTGACTGTGTGACATAGACTTCAATCCAATGAAGTCAGTTGAGTCAGAATCTTCATCTGAACAATGACAGGGGAATGAGTTCAACTATCTTAACTCACTCTCTATAGGTACCGCCTCCCTATATGTCACTGGGGTTGTCCTGACCTTCTCTGGAGTCTAGCACACTTGAATTACAAATGACTTGAAATGTAAAAATCTCTCTCTCAAGAAGCATTTCAGTATCTCAGAGTATCTCCCAATTGGATGGGGTGGGGTTGTTTTATTTTTTTGTTTTTGTTTTTGTTTTTTGTTTTTCAGCAACGGATAACATAAAAACAAATAAAGAAAGCAACGGCTCAGAAAACAGAAAGAATGAGAGAACACATGTTTTATGTACTGAGAAAATAAACCCATTGCAAGTAATTCTCTTACTGCTTTCAACTTCTGAAAGCAATTTTGGTTGAAATTTTCAAGTATGTTTTGTTTGGATTTGGTGTCCATAAATATTAATATTGGGCTTTGGAGTAATAGTCAAGGCATTAATTAGAAAGGAAAACATGGGAAAGTTTGCTGTAAAATCAAATGTCATTTCCCTCTTCCGTTACCTGTACAACACTCCCCATGAAGGATGCAACCACAGCCATGGAAGTACACAAGATACCAAACAAGAGACCTGAAAGAAAGGAATCATACAATGATACACTTCCTTGAGGTCACCTTGAGCACCCAGCACTGCATCCTACTGAAGGACTGAAGAAGGAAAACCGTTTGCACAAAGCCAGCACAGTGTCTATTCAGTACGCCAGTAACTGTTCCTCGGGGCAAATGAAGTACAAGATCTAAAGATTTCTCTCTAGCATTACAGAAGTCTGTCAAGTGAAGTAATATGAATGTGGAAAGGGTTGAAGCAAATCCAAACTAATTATGTAGGTGTTAGTTCCAGTCACTCACTAGAAATAAGCTGAAGGAGAAGCTACTGAACTCTGAGATACAGAGAGATTGTCACCTTTTACATGGTGAATCAACAAAAACAAACTCGGGTTCACAGGCTCAAAAAAAAAACTTGAAATTTTTTCTGGTTTTCCCTTTGGTGTTATCCACAACATCTTTATATCCCTTAGTAATGATGATATAGTATTGTCACAGTTAACAATAGATTCAATAGATTTGCTTATACAGCAATACAGGAATGTATTTTTTTCTACATCACCACAAGGAGCTTCAGGTACCACTCTCTTCTGGTTTGACATTTAAGTCATTGTATTGTTCTAATGACTTTTAAAGTACCTATTCCCTTTTTAAAAAATTATCATTGTTTTTACACATTTCTATTTTAAAAACATGCTGAGAGTATGTTCCTATAATAACTCATTAACAAATAAAAAAGAGAAAGACACAGAGTCAGAGATAGTAGCAGATACAGTGACAGTTTTAGTTTTAGCATTCTTAATCTGTGTGATCACTGGTTTTAATAGCCAATTTGATAAAATCTAGAATCACATGGAGTCTCAATGAGGGTTAGTCTAGATCAAGTTGACCCCTAGCAAGTCTGTCGAAGATTATGCTAGCTGCATTAACTGAGGTGGGGAACCTCTTTCCACCACACACCCATACATGCACACACACACACACACACACACACACACACACACACACACACACACTATGGGTACCTCCAATCTCTGAATAGGTAATCCTAACTTACATGAAATGAAAAAATAAGCTGGTGTATATATTCATTCTCTTTGCTCTTGGCTACAGAAGTAGCTAGCTGTTTCAGGCTCCTGCCACTTTGACATCCCTGCAATGAAGGACAGTAACCTGTGAGCTAAAATGAAGCCTTTCCCTTCTAAGTTGTGTTTGTTACATAGTTTATCCCAGAAAGAGGATGACACTAAGACAACTAAAGATCTGGCCCAGCCCCTGGTGTTAATCCTGGTTCAGTTTTATTGAATTCTTACTATAGGTTGGACACTTCACCAGTCACCGGGGTTATAAAGTCAGAACTTTATTCTTGGCCCAAAGAGTTCACATCCTGAGAAGGGACTACACTAAATGAATCAAAACTTTCTCCAAAATTGATTTCTCAAGAATGGTACTTGTGGATTTTGTCAGTGCCGCATCAGATCCAATGATGAGACAACACAGTTGCAGTAGTAACTTCTTCCTCAGTCGTACTCTTCCATGAATATCTGCTAGTAGCTGGGGATTGCACTGGCAACACTATCCATTCACCCTCTGGATCTCGAATTCATGTAGTGAAAAAGATCCACAGACTTCATCTAGTCAGCCAATGTGATTAAATTCATCTAATCTTATTCAAGGATAAATAGAGGGAAAAAGTGTTAAATCATCCTACCATCTGAGCTTAAATGAGGCCACAAAGAGTAATGAATATAATGAATATTTCTGGAAATAATTTACCAAATAATCAGGAAAATATCACCTAAAAACTTTACTACCAAGAGTACATAGGTTCATTTAAACAAAGAAATATGAATATAAAGAAAAAACATATTCAACTAAAACAACTCACAGATACACACACACAAGGTCCAGGACCACTTAGTTTTTATGAAATGAATTTAGATGCAATACCAAAACATCTCAAGTAAATTTAAAACCTTGAGAGTTTACAAATAAATCTACTGAAGAATAGTGAGTACATTTCTTAAAAAGATTTTACAAGACTATTACTAATTGTCTCACACTGAGGCAGACTAGGGATATACACTGGTGAACAGCAACTGACACCCCAAATCCATGGATTTGTTTTCTTACATTCACCTAAGCATGACTAAAGTGTAGGGAAAAGAAAAATTGTACCTATACTGAACATATACAGACTTTACAAAATCTGGGTCACTGTGAGATTCCATTTATATGAAATTCTAGAAAAGTTAAAAATCTACATTAGAAAAAGAAAATCTGGCAGTTGCTTTTTTCTGGAGGAAGCTGAGAGTAGAGACTGGTGATAAAAGTAATGGGAAAATTTTCTAAGTTAGTGACCATGATGATATATCTTGATAAGTAATTGAATTTCACAGAGAGATGGATGTGTTGGCTAGTTTTATGTCAACTAAACGCAAGATAGAGTCAGTAGATAGGAGGGAACCACCATTGAGAAAATGCCTCGATAAGATTAGACTATAGATAATGTGTAGGGTATTTTCTTAATTAGTGATTGATGTCGGAGGGCCATGACCATTGTAGATTGAGCCACTATTGGGGAGGTTGGTGGTCTTAGGTTGTATAAGAATGCAGACTGAGTAAGACACAGTGAGCATGCCAGTAAGCAGTATTCTTCAACTGCTTCAGTTTCTGCTTACAGATTCCTGCCTTGTTTGATTTCCTGTCCTGAGATTCTTCTCTAATGGGCTGTGAGATGGAAGTGTAAACCAAACAAAGCTTTCCTTCCCCAATTACTACTTATCATGGTGTTTCATCACAGCAATAGTAACTCTAGCTAGGACAATACATTTGTCAAAATTCAACAAGTGTGTACATAACAGTTTGATTTTTCATCATAAGAATTTTTATATTAAAAGTCTTGAAACATATACTAAATTCTAGCTAATATGCAAGATGAAATAATTATGAAAAATGAAATGGTGTTTGCAATTTACTTTAAAGAACTGAAGAGTATAATGGATTAATGAATTCACAAAGAACTGGGTGGATATGTGAAAAAGTTTAGAAGAAATTAATGGAGAGCCATATATTTCTATGAGGGGTTGATATATTACTATGTTATTTTTTATAATAAAATGTAAGGAACAAAACATGAGACCAAAAATAAAAATAACAATTGTTAAGAGATTTTTATTTGAGGGGAGTTCAAAGTAATATTGAGAGAAACATGAATTTCAAGAATACAGAGAAAAAAAACTATGGCAAAAAGAAAAAAGAAAACTTAAAGGGAAATAAGCAGCCAAAATGAAATGAATAAACAAATGGATACTGAAACTACTATTTTATACAATAGTCACATGCCCATAAAAATAAATTTGTGAATCGATAAGAATAGCTGTGTGTGGTCCTAGTACAATAGAAATGGACAAAAAATACAGCACATTGCTATCCAACAGATTATGTGGTTTGTGGCCATACAACTCTGAATTTAAGATCTAATCTCATCTTGACAGCTAAGCAAAGTCAGGCCTGGTAAGTACTTGGATGAAAGAATATATTATGGGGAAATCACTTCATCCACAATATAAATTAAAAAAAGGGGGCAGGAAAATACCAGAGAGAAGGAGGATACGGAGAAAAGAATAGGGATTTGAAGAAGAAAATTTAATGTTACAAACCAGATAGTGCAGGGAAAGTACCTATAATTGCTAAAGAGAATTTCTTTAAAATGAAATCTCAGGTCCACACTGGGACCAATAGAAAGTTGTCCTGAGGGTAAGACTCCACCCATCAGAGGCTCTAACTCGTAAAAATGCAAATGTTTGAAAAGTTAAGATCCTGGGATGACATGCTTGCGAATAACTGCCCTGCCCAGGGAAGAGTTTCCCCCAAGGTCAACAGCTAAGACACATTAAAGGACCCTAGGGCTATGGCCAGTCAGAAAGAAGAATGAAATTTTGCCCTTTGCTAGAAGTGTATTGCTCAAAATACATTACAGATTAAAGAAAATGTCTTTATGAAGCTTATAACTATGTACAATGACTATACACTATAAAAGTAACAAGAATATAAACAAAAGTGAGCCATTGGATAATATGTTATGTAATCATTAAACTCCTGTGTTTTCAAAGCACACTTAAGAAAATGCACAATGAAGATTGTTATAGTAAAACATCCAGAAACAGAATTAGGTAGGTATCATTTAACTTACAAAATTAAATTGTTTTTCTAAATTAATAGCACTTTCTATATTAAGCATATAAGGGAAATAATTTATTTGTACTTTAAAAACAGCTAGCTGGGGGCTGGAGAGATAGATGCCTATTGGTTAAGAGTACACACTACTCATGCAGAAAACTTGAGTTAATTTCCCGAGTTGCTCACAACTGCCTGCAGCTACAGTTCCAAGAGTTCTGACACCCTCTTCTGATCTCTATGGCCACTACACTCAAGTATACAAACCACTACTCAAACATAAACATATATATGTAATAATCAGAAGTAAAAATAAAAGTGTAAAAAAGCAGCAAAGTTTGTAAAAATATAATTCAATGTGGTAGTTTCAGTGTCTGTAATATGCAGTTTTTAATAATCAAAAATCACTGAGAATATTGTTTATGTGTATAATATGTGAAATCATATTACTTTACCACTGTCTTCCTCCAACTACTCCTGGCTCCTCCCAAAACCTTCCTCCCATCTTCAAGTCCTCTTTATTATTTTTCAGGAACCTAATGAGTTCAATTAGTGCTGCCCATAAACTCATGTATGTGGGGGCATCCATTGATGCATGATCAACCTATTCTCATAGGACCACACTCCTAAAGAAAACTGAATCACCCTTACCTAACAACTATCAACTGCCAATCATCTATATCACACTCAAAGTTCAGATAACGGTTTGATAAAAGGGCAGAAATATTATTAGAACCAGAGTTTAAGGAGAATGAGAACAAAAGAGTGTCATCTGGACCTGACAGGACCTCTGCACCCATGAGTTCATAACAACTCTAGTTGGGTGCATAAGATCAAGCCAGTCAATAGAACATTCCAGCAATGATGGGTGAGGAACAAACAAGCCCATACCTTTATCTAAGTGGACAATATGCACTTTTTAATTAAACAGGGAACATTCATCCCCTTAGAGTACATTAATCAGAGTTTTGTTTCAAGAGAAAATTATTAGATAAAGTGGTCAGGCATACTGAACAGCACACCTCCTCATGTAAAATGTCTGGTAATGTAAATGTCAATTCAGCATTATCAATAGACATTGATGTGAAGATATTAGAGCATGAGATACCTGAAAAGTAAGACCAGAACAATGTGAACTAGCTAGTCATTCCTTCCTGGTACCTTCTGGTAAGATCTTCAGAAGTATGAGAATCTACACGTCTGTGTCTCAGCATGCATTTATGTCTATTCATGCATCCTGAACAGCAATGCAATATTTTGCTATTTGGCCCATTTAAAATTCACAATAAATAGCAGAAGTTCTACCAACTATACCTACATAAGCCTTTACTGATCCAGGTGCCCTTCTTGTCGGAGAGATGTGGAAAAAAGCTCTTGACAAAATCCTCAAAGGTCACTGTTGCTAAGGCATTGATACTGGCAGCCACTGTGCTATGGAAAGAAAAACAAATAAGCAAATAAGAAAATAGTCTGAATTAAGAAGGATGAGTTATATGTCAGCCTTATCATCCAGGAGAGGTAGAAACACAGAGCCTTGTAAAATACACATATTAGCATATGTCCACATTCTAGAACTCAGCAAAATGTATGGCAGTTAACTCACCCTTCCAATCATTATCTATGCAAATATTCTCTGGAAGAAGATAATTTTTCACATTGTGACTCCCACTAATTTCCCTTGACATTATGGCAACAATAATGGAAGGATTTTTCACGCGTCTGTCAATGTGTGAGCATGTGTATATGATGGGAGTGTCCCTCTAAGCTTGAGTGGAAGCAGCAAAGTAGTGACTAACCTAACCCAGAAGTAAGTGAAATTTTCTATTAAGAATAAAGTCTTTATCTGTGTATCCATTTATTCACACATAAGTAATGAACTTGAATATCATAGTCCTAAACATAAAGCAAAGAAAACCAGCCTACAAACCACAATCCCAGAGAATTTAGACAACAATGAGAACCTTAAGAGAGACATACATAGATCTAATCTACATGGGAAGTTGATAAAGACAAGATCTCGAGTAAATTGAAAGCATGAGGACCTTGAGGGAGGGTTGAAGGCGAGGGGAGAGGCAGGTAGGAGAGCAGAGAAAAATGTAAAGCTCAATAAAAATCAAAATTGAAAAACAAAGAAAGTCATAGTCCTTGCAATCTACCTGGGAATACAGACATTCAACAACCAATTATATAATTTACTACAGTTGTAGGGTTACTATGAAGAGCAGTAGTAAGGTGCTGTGAAACTGATAAGAGATGATCTCCTCATAAATAATGGTTAAGAAAGATGGGTAAAGAATTCAAGAAAAGTAGGTGAAAGCCCTTGAAGAATAAAGGGGAAATCACATACATACACATTGAGGTGCGAAGATGTTTCCTGCTTTCTACAGCCTGAAGCTTCCAGAGAGGCTGGAATGTAACTAGTAAAGGAGAAAGGTGAGAAAATCTCAGAAAGAAACAAAGAGCATAACCAGATAGCAGCACTGCTTTCTCTCCAACTTCACAGAGTTGTCTTGCTAGACCATTGGAGGATCAGAAAGCTGGTGTTCTCTTTGTGAAAAACAGTGAAAGCTTATTTAAACTCCTCACATAGAGCAACAATATTCTAGTTAGTTCAATAGCTGAATTAAATTCAAAAGGTGAAAATTTCTCATCCAAGAATGGTTCCTTCTAAAGAATAAAGTAATGATTTCTGCTTCAGTTGTTAGTCATTGTTCACAGCACATAGTTACATAAGAAGACAGGCAAAAGAATGTAACTCGTAGAAAAGAAGGAAAACTCAAAAATAGCCCTCCCCCCTCAGCTTCTGCGGCAGGGTCTTCGGTGTTCCACTGGGCCCCTCCCTCCCCCCACTGCTGCTGGCCCTTTGTCTCCCGGGTCCTGGGAAGACCAGCTAGCCCTGTTGCACTGCTGAGGAGTCCTACCCAGAGAGTGCTGAGGAGCTCTATCCAGAGAGTGCTGAGAAGTCCTACCCAGAGAGTGTTGAGGAGTTCTATCCAGAAAGTGCTGAGGAGCTTCATCCAGAGTGGACGAGATGGGCAGGCGCCAATGCAAGAATTCCTCCAACAACCTGAAAGGCAACATGACATCTCCAGAATCCAGGGAGCTCGAAACTAGAAGAATTGAACACCCTACTCCAGAAGAAATAGAAGAAATCGACTCTAAGCGGATCTTTATGAAAATAATAGAGGAACTTAAACAGGAGGTGAAAATCTGCCATAAAGAAATGGAAGATAAGTATAACAAAAAGATTGAGGAAATGAATAAAGAAATGGAAGAGAAATATACCAAAAAGTTTGAAGAAATGAGTAAATCCGTAAATGAAATTCTAGGAAACCAAGAAAAAACAATTAAACAGGTAATAGAAACAGTTCAAGATTTGAAAACTGAAATGGAGTCAATGAAGAAATCACAAACCGAGGGCCCGCTGGCTATGGAAAATCTAGGTAAACGAACAGAGACTTCAGAAACAAGCATAACCAACAGAATACAAGAGATAGAAGAAAGAATCTCAGACTCTGAGGACACCATAGAGAAATTAAACGTTCTGACCAAAGAAAACAGCAAATCCAACAAATTCTCATCACAAAACATTCAGGAAATGTGGGACACACACACAAAAAAACCAAATCTAAGAATAATAGGAGTAGAAGAAGGAGAAGAATTGCAGATCAAAGGTCCAGAAAATATACTCAACAAAATTATAGAAGAAAACGTTCCCATCCTAAAGAACGATATTCCTATGAAGGTTCAAGAAGCATACAGAACACCGAATAGACTGGATCAAAAAAAAAAAACATCCCCTCGCCATATAATAATCAAAACACAAAGCATTCAGACTAAAGAAAGGATATTGAGAGCTGCAAAGGAAAAAGGTCAAGTAACTTATAAAGGTAAACCTATCAGACTTACACCAGACTTCTCTATGGAAACCATGAAAGCCAGAAGGTCCTGGATAGAGGTACTGCAGAAACTAAGAGACCATGGATGCAAGCCCGGACTACTATACCCAGCCAAGCTATTGTTCACTATCAACGGAGAAAACAAAATATTCCAGGATAAAAACAAATTTAAACAATACGTAGCTACTAATCCAGCCTTACAGAGAATATTAGAAGGAAAATCACAACCCAAGGAATCCAACATTCCCAACACTGCCTACACTAACTCAGACATCTAGCGACCCTTCACAAGCACAACTCAAAGAAGGAAAACACATACACTCTACTACCCAAAAAAATGACCGGAGTCATCAATCACTGGTCATTAATATCACTTAATATTAATGGACTCAACTCACCTATAAAGAGGCACAGACTTAGAGATTGGATACGGAAACAGGATCCAACATTCTGCTGTTTACAAGAAACACACCTCAACCACAAAGACAGACACCTACTCAGAGTAAAGGGTTGGGAAAAGGTTTTCCAAGCAAATGGACCTAAGAAACAAGCAGGTGTGGCCATTCTAATATCTAACAAAATGGACTTCAAACTAAAATCAATCAGAAGAGATGGAGATGGACATTTCATACTCATAACAGGAACAATTCATCAGGAAGAAGTCTCAATCTTGAATATCTATGCCCCTAATATAAAGGCACCCACATATGTAAAAGAAACACTTCTAGAACTCAAGGCAGTCATCAAACCACACACACTAATAGTAGGAGACTTCAACACTCCTCTCTCACAAATGGACAGGTCAATCAGACAGAAACCTAACAAAGAAATAAGAGATTTATTGGAAGTACTGAATCAAATAGACTTAACAGACATCTATAGAACACTCCACCCAAATAGGAAAGAATATACCTTCTTCTCTGCAGCTCATGGAACCTTCTCAAAAATTGACCAAATACTCGGTAACAAAGCAAACTTCCACAGATACAAAAAAATATTAGTAACCACCTGTGTCTTGTCAGATCACCATGGATTAAAATTGGAATTCAACAACAATGGTACCCCCAGGAAGCCAACAAACTCATGGAAGTTGAACAATCAACTACTAAATCACCCCTGGGTCAAGGAAGAAATAAAGAAAGAAATTAAACTCTTCCTTGAATTTAATGAAAACAAAGACACAACGTATTCAAACCTATGGGACACTATGAAAGCAGTGCTAAGAGGAAAGTTCATAGCACTAAGTGCCCAATTAAAGAAAACGGAGAAAGCACACAATGGAGACTTAACAGCACACTTGAAAGCTCTAGAAAAAAAAGAAGCAGATTTACCCAGGAGGAGTAGAAGACTGGAAATAATCAAACTGAGGGCTGAAATCAACAAAATAGAAACACAGAAAACAATCCAAAGAATCAATGAATCAAAAAGCTGGTTCTTGGAGAAAATCAACAAGATTGACAAACCCCTATCCAAACTAATCAAACGGCAGAGAGAGAACTTGCAAATTAATAGGATCAGAAATGAAAAGGGGGACATAACCACAGACACAGAGGAAATTCAGAGAATCATTAGATCTTACTACAAAAGTTTATATGCCACAAAGTTGGAAAATGTAAAAGAAATGGACACTTTTTTAGATAAGTACCATATACCAAAGTTTAACCAAGAACAGGTGAACAATCTAAATAGACCTGTTAGTCGTAAAGAATTAGAAGCTGTTATCAAAAATCTCCCTACCAAAAAAAGCCCAGGACCAGATGGTTTCAATGCAGAATTCTACCAGAACTTCCAAAAAGAGCTGATACCTATACTCCTTAATGTATTCCACAATATAGAAACAGAAGAGTCACTGCCAAACTCCTTTTATGAAGCTACAGTCACCCTAATACCAAAACCACACAAAGACACAACCAAGAAAGAGAATTACAGGCCAATCTCACTAATGAACATCGATGTGAAAATTCTCAATAAAATACTGGCAAACCGAATCCAAGAACACATTAGAAAAATTATCCATTATGATCAGGTAGGCTTCATCCCAGAGTTGCAGGGATGGTTCAACATACGCAAATCTATCAATGTAATCCATCATATAAATAAACTGAAAGAAAAAAACCATATGATCATTTCATTGGATGCTGAAAAAGCATTTGACAAAATTCAACACCCATTTATGATAAAGGTGTTGGAGAGACTGGGGATACAAGGATCATACCTAAATATAATAAAAGCAATATACAGTAAGCAGACAGCTAACATCAAATTGAATGAAGAGAAACTCAAAGCCTTTCCACTAAAATCAGGAACATGACAAGGCTGTCCACTCTCTCCATACCTCTTCAATATAGTGCTTGAAGTTCTAGCAATAGCAATAAGACAACATAAGGAGATCAAGGGGATTCAAATTGGAAAGGATGAAGTTAAACTTTCGTTATTTGCTGACGATATGATAGTGTACATAAGAGACTCCAAAAACTCTACGAAAGAACTCCTACAGCTGATAAACACCTTTAGTAACGTGGCAGGATATAAGATCAAGTCCAAAAAATCAGTGGCCCTCCTATACACAAAGGATAAAGAAGCGGAGAGGGAAATCAGAGAAACATCACCTTTCACAATAGCCACAAATAGCATAAAATATCTTGGGGTTACTCTAACCAAGGAAGTGAAAGACCTATTTGACAAGAATTTTAAGCTTTTGAAGAAAGAAATTGAGGAGGATACCAGAAAATGGAAAGACCTCCCCTGCTCTTGGATTGGGAGAATCAACATAGAAAAAATGGCAATTCTACCAAAAGCAATCTATAGATTCAATGCAATCCCCATCAAACTTCTTCACAGACCTTGAGAGAACAATAATCAAGTTTATATGGCAAAACAAAAAACCCAGGATAGCCAAAACAATCTTATACAATAAAGGAACTTCTGGAGGCATTACCATCCCTGACTTCAAACTCTATTACAGAGCTACAGTATTGAAAACGGCTTGGTATTGGCATAAGAACAGAGAAGTCGACCTATGGAATCGAATAGAAGACCCAGATACTAACCCACAAACCTATGAACACCTAATTTTCGACAAGGGAGCTAAAGGTATACAATGGAAGAAGGAAAGCATCTTTAACAAATGGTGCTGGCATAACTGGATGTCAACCTGTAGAAGAATGAAAGTAGATCCATATCTATTACCATGCACAAAACTCAAGTCCAAATGGATTAAAGACATCAACATCAATCTGTCCACTTTGAACCTGATAGAAGAGAAAGTGGGAAGTAGTCTACAAGATATAGGCACAGGAGGCCACTTCCTAAGTAGGACCCCAGTAGCACAGACAATAAGAGAAACAATGAATAAATGGGACTTGCTGAAACTGAGAAGCTTCTGTAAAGCAAAGGACACTGTCAGTAAGACAAAAAGGCTACCTTCTGATTAGGAGAAGATCTTCACCAACCACTCATCAGACAAAGGTCTGATCTCCAAAATATACAAGGAACTCAAGAAACTAGACACTAAAACTCTAATTAACCCAATTAAAAAATGGGGTACTGATCTGAACAGAGAATTCACAACAGATGAACTTCGAATGGCCAGAAGACACTTAAGGTCATGCTCAACCTCCTTAGCGATCAGGGAAATGCAAATCAAAACCACTTTGAGATACCATCTTACACCTGTCAGAATAGCTAAAGTCAAAAACACCAATGATAGCCTATGCTGGAGAGGATGTGGAATGAGGGGAACACTCATCCATTGTTGATGGGAATGCAAACTTGTGCAGCTACTTTGGAAATCAGTGTGGTGGTTTCTCAGGAAACTGGGAGTCAACCTCCCTCAGGACCCAGCAATTCCACTCTTGGGAATATACCCAAGAGATGCCCTATCATACTACAAAAGTATTTGTTCAACTATGTTCACAGCTGCACTATTTGTAATAGCCAGAACCTGGAAACAACCTAGGTGCCCCTCAATAGAAGAATGGTTAAAGAAGGTGTGGAACATAAATACATTAGAGTTTTACTCAGCGGTAAAGAACAATGACAACTTGAATTTTCCATGCAAATGGATGGAAATAGAAAACGCTTTACTGAGTGAGGTAACCCAGACCCAAAAAGAGGAATATGGTATGTACTCACTCATAAGTGGATTCTAGCCATAGTTAAAGGTCTTTGAGTCTATAATTTGTTATCCTAGAGAAGCTAGATAAGAAGGTGAACCTGAAGAAAATTTATATAGTTATCCTCCTGGATAATAGAACTAGGCAAGATTGCCAAGCAAACTCGGGTGCATGGGGGGTGGGGGGAGTGGACGTATGGGAAGTTGGTTAGGGAGAGGGGAGAGGGCGAGAATTGGGGACGGCTTGGGGGAATGGGAAGGGGGGAGGGAGGAAGGATGGTTATGGGAGCAGGGAAGTTTATATCGCAACTAAGAGAGCCATTCTATGGTTTGCAAGAGACTTGATTCTGGAGGGGTTCCCAGTAAAAATTAAATAAAAATAAGTAAATAAATAAATAAAAAGAAAAAGAAAAAAAAAGAAAAAGGAAACGCTTTACTGAGTCAGGTAAGCCAGACCCAAAAAGAGGAATAAGGTATGTATTCACTCATAAGTGGATTCTAGCCATAATTAAAGATCTTTGAGCCTATTATTCGTGATCCTAGAGAAGCTAAATAAGAAGGTGAACCTGAAGAAAATTCAGGTAGTTTTCCTCCTGGAGATTGGAAATAGACAAGAGTTCCAGGTAACCACGGGTGCATGGGGGGTTGGGAGGGTAGTTGGAAGGGGAGAGAGTTAGAGAGAAGGGAGCAGGGGAGGAATGGGGAATGCTCGGGGGACTGGGAGGGGGGGAGGGAGGAAGGATAGATATGGGTTCAGGGAAGAATATATCTCAACTATGGAAATCAGTTTAGGGTTTACTAGAGACTTGACTGTAAATGGGATCCCAGGTCCAAGGAGAGATTTCCAGATTGTTCTCTGGACAGAGGAGAGGGTGCCTGAACTGGCCTTGGCCCATAACCATACTGATGAAGATTTTGCTTATCACCATAGATCCTTCATCTGGCAATGGATGGTGGTAGGGACGGGAACCCACGTTGGAACACTGGACTTAACTCCCTAGGTCCAAGCGAGAAGCAGAAGGAAGAAGAACGTGAGCAGGGAGGGCAAGATCAGAGGGAAACTTCATCCGGCGATGGATGGCGATGCAGACGGAGACCCACATTGGAGCACGGAGACCCACATTGGAGCACCGGACTGAGCCCCCCAAGGTCCAAAGGAGGAGCAGAAGGAGGAAGAACATGAAAAAGAAAATCAGAACCGCAAGGGGAGCGATCACCCACTGATACAAGGGGACTAATCTAATGAGAGTTCACCAAGGCTAGTTGACTGGGACTGAAGGAGCGCTTGATCCAACCAGATTCTCTGGAGGAGGCTGGATTCCCTGAATGTGGCTGGCCCGAAGTCTTTCTAAAAAGCCATTGACAATGACTCTGGGACTTGTTTCCTCTGCATATTCTGGATTTTTGGAGATCCAGTGTGTTTGGATACTCACCTTCCTGGACCTGGAGGGAGCGGGGAGGAACCTGAACTACCCACATGGCAGGAAACCCTGACTGCTCTTAGGGATGGAGAGGGAAGAGGAGAGGGAGTGGGGGGAGTGGGAGGGTGTTGGGAGGAGGGGCGAAAATGGAAACTTTTATATTTTAATAAAAAAAAGAAAACTCAAAAATAAACACTGTAGCCTTAATAATTTGACATAGAAATATTCCAGAAAATCAAGTAGAAATAGTTGAGATAAAAACACAATGTACAGAAAATTATGTAATACTAATAACCAGCCTCAGCCCTAACACACAACATTATATGTTACAGTCATTAAAAGCACTAACATCATTACAGCTATAGACCATGAGCAGAATACAAAGGAGAGGTTATAAGATATTTAAAATCAATAGAAGAATTAAGATTAAATAAAAGCAGTAATTCAAGGCATTACTTGAGAGGAAAGATGGCGTATTTACTAGAAAATAAGACAAATGGTTGATCATTTTGAAAGGAAACATAACATGTGCTCTACTTGAATTTAACATCACATATATAGGGTAAATGATTCAATAACTTCATTAGTTAATATAATAAATATACTATGAAATCTTCATAATCATATAATAGATTTCCTTACTGAACATAGTATGAACCAAAAGAAGTAATATCAAACATGATTTATAATTTCAATATTTCAAGGATTGCTGGGTAATGAGGCAGCATAATGCAGGGCCATGTTACTGGAATCAACTCTTTATCAGACAATGTAATGAAGTCATAAAAAATCAAGTTGAAGCTGCAATGGAGACTCAAGGAAGATAGTAAAAAAACAGCAACATGCATTGGTCATTGGAATGAGCTATGGGCAGATGGAAAATCCAGCTTGAGGTATTGACCATGTGAGCTGCAACATCAAGGACACAGAGTCAGAATGGCTCAAACACTATGGAGCCCATGTTTCACTATGATGTTCCCCAGATACAATACACTGAACATTAGGGTTTAATGCATGCAGTTCTGAATCCTAATCTCATCTTTGGCCAGTCACCCTTTTTTATACTACCAGAATTTCAAAGTATGGAATTTTCTTGATTTTTTTCAGATGCCTACTACTGAGTTTACCTTGACTGTAATGGTGAGACTTTAGTCTTTTGTTCAATGCTGGAACAATAAAAACCCTTGGGTCTTTTGTGATGGAATGAATACAAAGTAGAAACAATAACCAGGAAGTTTTAAAGTAGAGGTTAAGAAAATACCTGCATCAGGCCTCCACATAGGTTAGTTGCCTCCCTCATCCTTATTAAATCTGTTTCCTTATCTACAAACTGATGAGAGTGTGAGTAAAGATTCTTCTTCACATGCTGTGTGATACCAATGATCAAATAGAAATACAACATTGCAGTAGGCCAATTGACATGCAGCAAGTGCTCAGTAGACAGGTGACCATGACCGTTATCATTCCAGTCCTTACCACTGCCACCACAACCATTGCCATCTTCAGTTTGTCAGTATACTAACCTCAGAGTTCCACTAAAGGCACAAGCCACAAAAAGTCCTGGCAGTCCTGGCATAGTGTCAAAAATCTCCATTACAAAATACGGCATCAGCTGGAAAAAAAAGAAGCAGAATTCGAGGGGGAGGAGAGAGAAGTGAGAAGGAGTTGTATTGTTATTTCTGCAATATTTGAAGTGTTGGAATATAAATCCCAGTGAAAAAAGATGAGAAACTCAATTCCCAGTATCTTCAATGTGTGAATTTTACTGTTTTCTCTGTATTTATAATTAAGTTCTAAAATCCTATCCTTAACATATGTTGTTCAGGGGATCTAGGTATGCCCAGCTTGTGGGAAAGAAGACTATACTAGACAAAGTAGGGCAGTTGAATACATATGAAGAGAAAAGGGCAGGGAGTGAATGCTTCTCATGAGCTTACTGTCTCTGAGTTTTCAAAACCACACAGCATTCTATGCTTTCATGATATAATTGTCCTATGCTGAGTATATATGACAATAGGCAATATGAGAATAAAAATTGTTTGCTCAGTTCTATTTATTTAATGTTACTTTAATTTTTATGCTTTTTGAAATATGATCTCATAGACCATAGTATCTACTCAGATTCCCTATGTAACCAATGTTAACCTTAAACTCCTGATCCTTCCGGCTACACATCTAAATGCTATAATATCAGGTGCATGACACTGTGCTCATTTTTTATTCAATTAAAAACCCATTAATAAACCTCAGTCTACGTAGAAAAGGATTATAAAATATCATCAACAACCAAAGCCATGGGTTAGAAATGGCTTTCTAGTTAGCCTTATTTAGCCTGTCTTCAGACTTTGTCTTCATGAACAAAGGGAAGTGTCGTTTTTCTGCAGACTCACTTCTGCATGTTAGAAAGCACTGTGTGATGTCACCCAGGAGTTCAAATAAGAAGTCAAAGGCTTGTGCTTGGCAAGTGAGTGAAAGCCCAGGAAGAATAAAGATAACCCCACTACTACCCAACATATTCATTACATTCTGCTGTGAAATCAACAAAAGTGCGTACCTGGTCTGGTGCTGAAATAGCACCAGAAGTCCAAGGGTCACAGTCTTTGAAGTTCACATACATGATCAAACCACAGAAGACAGCACATACCGCAATCAACCAGAGACCCAACAAGTTAAAGTACAAGGCACTAGAAGATGGAACAAAGGCCAATTGGTTAGCTGTCTGCCACGCTGTCTCAGGGTAAGTTCATGACTAAAGACTGAAGGAGTTCACTCTCTCTAGCTTTCAGGAAGCATTAGACTTTATATCACACTAAATGAATCATTACACTTTTTAGGATAATTACAAATTTAAATAAATTAAAATTTTTTTCTTTGAAAAAAAGAGGGTTTTGACAAAATTGCAATATGTGTTGATATATGACCTATTTTCTTTTATAATATTTCACATACTGATGATTTTTATTATATAACTTTAAATGGCTTTTCCCCCTACTCAATTAATGAAAATGTCAAAAAAGCCAACTTACGTTTTAATGACTTCTTCCAGAAAGATCATAATGAGATAATATAAAAATAGACAAGTAATGGTTACAGTTGCTTTGAGATGAAGGCAAATGAAAGTTAAAGTTGAGTATTTTAAAGATAATAGGAAAAAACTAGAGTCAAATATCTATAAAGAGAAGAATCTTTTGGTGAAATAAATAATACCTTTCTCCTTTCCTTTTAATATACTTATTTAACTTTAAAATGAGATCTCCACTTATTCCAGAAAGGTCTTAGATTTCTAGGGACAAGAATCCATACTCCTTGGCCTCCTGAATTGTAAGTACAATAGGTATTTACCATGTGCCCAATTATTACTTTCTCTTGTCATGTGTTAAATTTCTGCTTCCTAAAGATTATTAGACATAATTAGTAGATGACCTAGAAAACTTAAGGTCATAAATATCATTTGATGGAGTTCATACTACCCTACAGTGAACTAGCACAGTTACAGTTGGATCCTTTTTCAAGGTCCTTTACTTTCATACAGGCATTTGAATGCCAAGATATTACTTATATTTCTAATCTCAGGGAAGACTGAAGGTAGTCATCCCTCCATTGTGCTTATAAAATAAAATTATATTGTGGTAAAATTCAAACTGGCCATTTCTTTTAAATCAAATCATGGTTTGAAGATGAGTCAACATTCAAATGTAAGAACACACATTTCTTTCATGGCAACATGAATGTTTTGATATACATGAAAAAAAATATGCAAGTATGTATGTGTATACATGCTCACATGTTTGCACTCTTCCAATAGGTGGGCATCTGTATGTTTTTGCATATACACAAAAGAATGGTCCTCCTTGAGGATAATAATATTTAATAAATGACAAATATTTAATAAACACAATGTTTTATTCTTGGTGTTTTATGGAAGTAATAGATGACAAAGGTATAGTTCCTAATGTACACCTACTAATCTTTTGGGTGGCAGAAATTTAAAATATCACAAGAGAAAGTAATAACTGCGCACATTAAAAATACCTATTGTACTAACAACTCAGGAGTCTGAGGATAAAGGATCTTGTCCCTAGAAGTCTAGGACTGTTCTGTAATAAATGGAGATCTCATTTCAAGACTAAATAAGTGTATTAAAAGAAAGCAGAAAGGTGTTATTTATTTCACCAAAAACTCCTTCTCTTTATAGATACTTGACTCTAGTTAACCTAAAAGCAGATTTTTACTTGAATTTTTTGGATTTTAATATCAAAATCACAAGCACTTTTAGTACTTCAGCTATTACTTGATAAAGTGTGGAAGATTGATTTAATATCACTTATTTTAGTGGGATTTTTATGCATCATCAGTAGTTTGATAGGCAGCTAGATAATGTATCTAGTCTCTTCATTTTGCATTACAAAATATACATATGGTGACATGACAGTTCCCAACTTACTTAATGGTTCAACATACAAAATGGTTGATTATTTCAAGACAATTTTATATCTCATTTAATGAAAATAAGAAATTATGCATTGAAATATTTTTAAATTGTGTGAAGAAATAGTTATAGCTACTAGGCTTGGGCCAGGAACCACGAGAAGCTTCCCTAGGGGTGTAATTCCATTTTTTGTAAAATTGGGAACTTTTAGTGTGACCCAGACAATCTTGCTGTGCTTATTCTCATGTCTCTGTGAGAACTAGAGCAAACACAGACACATAACTTTACATTTTAGAGTTCTTACATCTCTCCTTAGAAATGTTAATGTTAGCTGCATCAGTTAAATCAAATCAAAATGGAAACCACACCTGAAGAATCTTAAAGCAGAGAGATAGATGTAGAGGGAATTTAACTTTGATGGGTTTGCAAGTGTAAGTGAAGCCTGGTTTGTTCCATTTTCTGAGTGTTTACATTTTGAAAACTTGAAGCTTAAGGGAAACCTATGGGAAGACTGCAAACAACTTAAGGAACTAGGGCTTCTCATAAAGATGAGCAAATATGGTGATTATATAGCTGTAATCAGTAGTGTGCATTCTCTGCTTTACTACTGTGTCCACACGGTAAAAGTGCCATCCCTGTATTCCTCCAATGGTGCCATGGACCATATTTGAGTAGAAGCTGGCTGACTTACCTGTTGTCATTTTTTTGCAAATAAACATTTTAAAGTATCAAAATGTGTCACAGTTTACCTCGTAACCCACAAAAATTAAACTACAACTGAAGACAGCACACAATGAATGAAAAATGACCAGGGCCATCTCGTCCTGGAGACTATAAGCAGGAACCATGATTTGTACCTTATCCCTACTCAGTGCACCTAATCTAATCTATTGCTCGGTCAATGGAGACAGATATCAATTAAGGAAAAAGCCAAGCAGGGTATGCTGAGATGGAAGTTGTCATGTTTGGGTGAAATAGTTGTTGAAAGGGCTGGAAGGATGTGGAAGAGTAACTGCTACACAAGTACGTAGACTTATGTTTGGATCTAGCCCTCTGGACATGGACTGTACATGTAACACAAAGCTGTAAAAGGCAGAGAGACTAGACTGCTAGGCTAGCTTCAACTACAGGAAAAGATCATGTCTCAAAGCATTAATACCTAGAGGGACCTGATGGCACACACCTTTAACCCAGCATTCAGGAAGCAGAAGCAGGAAGATCTCTGTGAGTTCAAGACCAGTCTGGTCTACATAGTGAGCTTTAAGACAGTGAGGGCTATGTAGAAAAACCCTGTCTCAAATAAATAATTAAACTGAGATAGGGAGTGATAAAGCAAGGTATCCAACATCCTTCTCTAGCTTCTATATGTATGCACTTACCTCCCAAACACATACTTTTACATACACCATACTCACATGCATAAACACAAAGACTTTGAACAGGATAAACAAGTCTCTTCCTTTATCTCTCTCATTCACACACATCCATACACATGTAATGACTCACCAAGGTAAGATATAACATAGAAATTGTTCTTAACCAACAACTTACAGCTTAGCGTGCTTTTCCGTTTTGCAAGAGATACATCTCTGGATGGTCGATTGGTTAACTCCATAGATTCCAAGCCAAGTAAAAGTTCCTCCTACTGCAATTGTCCAAAAAGTGTGCCGTCTGAGGGGATCTACATCAAAGCTGTGACACAGGAAGGAGGGAATAACAGGCATGTTTCTTTTTTGCCCAGCTGTTATCATTTTATGGGGTCATGTAATTAAATTTTATGAAGGGTGAAAAAGTAGTGTTGAACATACTCAACTACGTTTAGCCGGGATCCATTTCGTGCTTGCTCTAACACATTGTGGAACCCACCAGCGTGATTCGATCCTTGAATGAGAACTGTTAAGAAGCCCACAATCATGACAACCATCTGAAATGCATCTGTCCACACCACTGCTTTTAAACCTCCCTGAAAGGGAGAGAATGGTATGAGTTACTGTATATGAGGGCTGTAACCCCTACAACTCCAGACAGTCTTCCTGTTACTGAATCATATAAAACTCATCCTGACTGTAGTAACATATTTAAAGTGACAAGTTGTGAGTTAACACATGGCAACAAAATGGTAAGTGAAGGAGGCGTGTCCCCTCTGCAATTCCATGAGTTTGTAAGTTTAATGATAGAGTTGGAAATTAAGTAATAATACAAACCTTTACTTAAAAGTGTGGGAAGGAGCAATGAAGACTAGTTTTGAAAACTACAGGAATGTTGTGACCTGGTCTGAGGAAGTGACAGTTAAGGTAAGTTCTGAGATATGAATAAAAATCTATGAGGTTCAGTATACAAATTGAGAATCTGTTTGGAGAGTATGAACAAAAAAAGAAGTGCAAGTCTCTGAGGGAATGAGAGAATCCTGGGAACTGCAGATGGAAGGTGCAGATAGACCAAAAGGAGCAGATACATTCAGATAAGACCACTTAAATTGTTCCCTAAGAACAAAGAGAGTTATATGATGACATTTGTTTCACTGTAGCCATTGGTCAGCTACTGTGAACGGCAAGACTGCAGTAGAACATAAATTTCTAAATTTATTCTTGTTTTCCATGCCCAAGATGATCAATGATTGAAGCAGGGCAGAGATGGAAATAACTCCATGGCTTTGAGAGATAGTTGAGAGAATAAGATTCTCATACCACATGTTTCATTAAATACAGGTAAGGAAACACTGAAAGAATTGGGCAATCACACAGGTCCAGCTGGACAACCTTAGGATTTTTATGAAACTAGTGATAGCATGCAATAAAAAATAAAGAGAAAGAGAGAGAGAGCGAGAGCAAGAGAGAGAGAGAGAGAGAGAGAGAGAGAGAGAGAGAGAGAGAGAACTAAGAAGAAATAAATATCAGTTTCTACACATAAGTGAAGAAAGGTGTTTTGAGAGCAACATGGTGATTAGACAATCAGGCAAATACACCAGAGTTTCAGAAAGACTAATTTAACGGTTAAGTTTAGTATAGTTACTGTCAAGAGGTTAAAGTAGTGATTATACCAAGCCTGCCTCCCTTTTAGTGAAGGAGGCAAGGAGAAACAGTGCCCATATTCCTCCCCAAGGATATTGAATTATCTAGGCTAGAGGTGGGTTCTCTTATTCCTGGTATTTCAAAGTTTCCCAAATGATTCTAATGCAGAATTCTTGTTGAAATTATGTGCACAGAAGGGAAAGAGAGAAATGAGAGCTCACTGTAGCAATTCATAACTTGAATCTCCTAGGATCATATTGAACATGACAAAGGCAATTAGGGAAAGATCAAATGAAGTTGCATATAAAATGTGCTTTTTCAAGTGAATAAGTGCCAGTAAAATGAAATGAGGTGATATTTTTAACACTGAAAAATAGAATTATCATTGTATTACTCCTCCACAGTGTCAGTAACTTCTGTGAAAAGTTGACACACTTATCTTTAGCTTGAGCAGAAAGAAGACACTGGAGTAACCCATCATTCATTTGGTAATTAAAGTGAAAACATAATTTAAAACAAATATTGAAGTCCCTGCTATAAGCATTGTATTTTCAAATCATATTTTGAGGGATGATAAACGTCCCTCTCCCCCTCCTTATCCACATACACATCATCAGGACAACACTATTCTGATTTTCTTTAAAGTAGTTAAAGACATCAGGTATGCTCATACCGGCTGGCTGGTTGGTTGGCCTTGGACATCTGCCTCTCTTTCTCAATCATTCTCTCTCTCATTCTTTCTTCTCTTGAGCCAGTATTCCTACTACTACTTTTTCTCTTGTGGCCTACCAGAAAGGTTCTAGTGCATCTGTCTCTAGCAGCAGCAACATGGCTTCTTCCTGGCTCTGCCTTCTTTCTCCCAGCATTCACTTTAGGTTTCCTGCTTAGCTCTACTCTGTCCTATCAGGCCAAAGCAGGTCTTTATTCATTAACCAAGAAAAGCAACACATATACAGAAGCACTTCCCACATCACCAATGTAAAAATTTGTGGTTAATATTGTCTTTCTATCCTAAATTCCTATATCCCCCCTAAATGATGACAAACATTCATAACCCACCAAATGACAAAAACCACCCACCATAACTCTTAGGAATGTGGGTATTGTGTTCTCTAGACTGATTCCTGTTGTCTAAAGGCAACAGCACCTTTAGGGGTCCCTGATAATACTGTGATAATAGTCAAGTCCTCAGAAAACTTTTCTAACATTTGTTGTCCTGTCTCGGGACTCTTCTCATGCAGAGGAATCAGTACACATGTCACCTATCTGGTAGTCTTTCTTAGTTTATTTCTTTATGTCTATAGCCAAATCTTGTAGGAAGTCTCCTCCATCAAACTTGTTCTCTAGCAACCTTGGAGAAATCCACAGCCTTTCATTTCTTGTGGAAAGAAAAACATAACCTCTTCCCTAATGTGATATATTTTCTGAATTCCTTTTTAAAGTTAAGGCATCTGTAAAGTATCTACACTGGTTTAATCTAGCAGTCCTTTCACAATCCAATGTCTTTTAGCAACTATCATTTGTTCATCAGAATTTAAAAAATTCAAAGTCAACAAAACACCAGACTCCCTGTGCATTTCCATCTTTGCATGACTTCTATTTATAATACTTTACCTTCTCTTTAAAGATGTTGTTAATAAACTATTTACTTTTGTCTATGACTGCTTACACCCATTTTCTTTCTTAAGCCTATCATATTTTTAACACACTGTAACCTACTTCGAGATTATTTTTTTCCATCTGGAACTGTCTTTATTGAGTGACTCAAGCCTTTTCTGACCTCATGAGCTAAACCTTCAACTGCTAAGCAGCTTTGCACTGGCAGCTGACTCCATCCTACTCAGGCCCATGAGATCCGAGTCATAAGCCTGGTTAAATGTTTAACCCTTTAATAGTTTTGTTTTGATTTTGATTTTTGCCTAACAGTTTAATTAGGAGCAGCATTTAACCACCCCGGATTTAGGAAGCTGGTGCCTGCACAATAGCAGGCCTTTTGTTTAACTTGCCATTTCTTCTTAGCATGTTGGCTACTCAAGAGGTAACTATAGAGCAAAGCATCTTAAAGGAGCTGTATGCATTTCTTTCTTTCTTTTTCTTTTTCTTTTCAACTTTCTTAGACCCTATGTAGAAAACTGTGCCCCATGTCGGAACACCAAATGTATCAAGCTTACTTGGACAGTGAACCAGCTCCCAAATCGTGGTACAGAGGTTTATTCTCAATTATAAATTGTTGCCCTTAATTTAGGTTTGTCCCATTTGCTCATATAACCTAATTTAACCTGTTTTTCTTCATCTACATTTTCCCTTGGGGCCTTTGACCTCTCTCTGTATATCCTACTTGGTGTTTGGTTGGTTGGCAGCTTCCTGGCTGACTGACCCTGGGTATTTCCTTCTATTTCTTCCTTGTTCTCTCATCTCTCAAGGCAAGATGCCTCTTTCTACTTCTTCTGTCTACCCATCAGTCCCAACTATCCCTCCACTGCCTAACTATTGACTGTTTTCCTTTTTATTAGACCAGTCAGGTAACTTAGGCAAGCAAAGCAGCACATTTTTACATTGTTAAACAAGTGCAACATGAACAAATGTAACACATTTTTACATTGTTAAATAAATGCAGCAAAAAAGTAACACATTTTAACATAATTGAAATAATATTCTTCAACTTAAAATGTAACACATCTTCTACAATTGGCGAAAAAATAAGTTGTCCTTTAGGTGAGCCATTGTCAGTCACCTCTTGCCTTGCTAGACAGAGAAGAGATTCAGAAGAAGTATGTTGAGATGAGATTAGATAAAAGACTCAGACACACCTAACAAAATAATTTCAATTCCATGCTAACAAACTTGTTGCCCCACAAATCGACAAAAGTATTTGATCAGACAGTCAACATGAATACATAATAGTCTTAGGCATGCAGGTTGTGCAAGAAAGAATGGAGGTATAGAGTTGGTTAAAACATGAAATTTTGTTCTATGATTTGTGTATAATATTATGAAATTTTCTATATTATTATTTGTAATGTAAAAACTTACCAATAACATAATAATTATTGTATATAGTTTTTATAGCTTTGCATTTAATAAGAATGACCCCTTCCAGATTATAAAATAATAACATGTGAATTAGGCAGATAACTATCATATTAAAAGCTACCAAAAATCTTGGATTACGGACATTATTAAATTGTTTAAAATTTGACTTTTATGAATACATGGGAAATTTTTAAGAGGTTCTACTTAGTGAAACAGTTAAAATGAAAAAGTGGAGTTTAAATAATCTCAGTATATCTAAGGCAGAGAATAGTAAAACAAGTAATAATAAACTAGAACAAATAAAAAAATTTTATATTGCATACAATCATATTAAAATAACAATTATTGTTTTCTAAAACTTGTGAATAATTTGTATGAAATGTTGAAATGTTTAATAAAGAAGTGTTTCATGTTTCAGAGTCTTATAGTTGTGGGACAGTATGTATATATTTTATCATGGAGTTGCTAGTAACCCCAAAGTACAAAATCTGAAATGTTCAAAAGTCTAAAGCATTTTGAAGAACCTTCCCACTGAAAATAAGTACCAGATTTGAGTGGAATTTTGGACTTTCAGATTACTTTGTATTTTCTTTCTTATCAGCAAATACACTATTTAAGTCTGAAAGCTTTTCCAAAGTATTTCCTTTAGATGAATTGTTGACTGAGGTTTCTGTCCTTCCTTGTCCCACAGCTGTTCAGTCCCAAAGAAACACAGAGGTCTATATTAATCATAAAATGGTTGACCTATTAGCTCAGGCTTTTTATTAACACTTACATTCTACATTAATCCATAATTCTTGTCTGTGTCAGCCACATGGCTTGATATCTTTTATCAGTGAGGTATTCTCAACTTGCTTCCTCTGTGTCTGGGTGACAACTGCAGATTGAACCTTTCCTCTTCCTGAAATTCTCCCGTTTTGGTTGACCTACCTATTCTCCTGCCTAGTCACACAGTCTATACTTCCTGCCTGGTTCTTAGCCAATCAATGTTTTATTCAAGCAATACAAGTGACAAATCTTTACAGGGTAGAAGACCATTGTCCCACAGCACTTCCCCCCACCTTTTTTTCCAAAACAAAAAACAAAGAATCTAATCTCCTTTGTTTAGCTTTGTTTCTAACTATTATACACAGCAACTTGTAACCAATACTCTAAAGAAAGACAAATGTCTATAACCCATTTTTTTGGAAATATGAACATAGTTTTTCAGGCACTTCCTGCTGATTAAGGCTGCTGATAATCTTATGGGGACCTAAAGAAAATTTAGAATTATGATCAAGTTCTTACTGAAATATTCTGTGAGGCCTAATTATCTCAGTCAGTAGTCTTCAAACTGTTTTGGATATAGAACTCAGACATCTGAGCCATTCACTTCTATCAGAGATTTCTCAGGGGGTCTTCCTTAATCAAACCTGATTCTTCTTAATCTAGAATGTATCCACAGCCTCTCATTTCCTGTGGAAACAAAGGCAAAACCTCTTCTCTAAAGTAACATATCTTTTGACTTAAACTTTGAAGTCAAGGCATTTTTAAAATATATATGTTTAATTAATCCAACAGCATTTATTATCAAATGTCTTTTAGCAGCTGTATATTTTCTGTCTTCACATGGCTTTATTTTAAACTCTATGTTTTCTTTATAATTTTAATTTTTGTTATTTTTGAGACAGGATTTCTTTGTGTATCTGTGGCTGTCCTGGAGCTCACTGTATAGACCAGACTGTCCTTGAAATCACAGAAATCTGCTCACCACTGCCTCCCAAATGCTGGGATTAAAGATATGTGCCACCACACCCAACTTCTCTCTCTCTCTCTCTCTCTCTCTCTCTCTCTCTCTCTCTCTGTAAGGACTTTATCTTTTTTCTTTTCTCACCCAAGCCTATATATATTTTTAAACACACTCTGAACCATTTATAGGTTTTTTATCTGAATCTATCTTTACTGTATATCTCTCTTTTTTGATGACATGAGTCTTTAATTGCTAAGCAATACGGCTAGGATTAAAACCATGGCTTTGTCTATGGGATCCACCTCATTCTTTAGCTTTCTGAGAGTCTAGCCTCATGGCAGAGATACTGGCCCAGAGCCATGTTTATTGTCACAGCTCTATGGAGTTTCAAGGTACCTGCAACCACCAAGAAGCATACTGTCAGCTATTCATAAACACCATTTAAGTATTCAGTGGTGGGGCCTCTGAAAAGAGCTGCAAGGATTTGCAGCTAATTCTGAGTCCGGAAGCCTCTATTAAATGATATGAGCTTGCCTCTAGCAAACAGAGCCCACCTGAGAAAATGCTGCTACTAAGAAGCTGAGCTTAACTTTGTTCTTTTGTGTCTAAAATTACTTCCCAAGCTCTCTCAGGTTTTATATGGATGTAGTTGTCCACATTGGTGCCATTTGTTGACAGAAGTTTCTGTAGCACTTGGTCCTGTAGCCATTCAGTCACAAAGAAACACACAGAGGTCTACATTAATCATAAAATGGTTGGCCTATTAGCTCAGGCTTTTTATTAACTCTTACATCCTACATTAACCCATAATTCTTGTCTGTGTTAGCCATATGACTTTGTACCTTTTATCAGGGAGGCATTCTCATCTTGCTTCCTCTGTGTCTGGGTGATGACTGCAGACTGAACCTTTCCTCTTCCAAGAATTCTTCTGTTCTGGTTGCCCTGCCCTTTCTTCCTGCCTGACTACTGGTCAATCAATGTCTTATTAAAGCAATACAAGTGACAGTTCTTTACAGAATAGACCATTGTCCCAAGCAATGAATCCAACAGAATGCTTTGTTTGTCATAAGTACTTGGTTAGTTGATACTCAGTTCCTCAAAGGTAACTTTGTTAGAAATATAACTGTATATAATTTGAAATTTGTTTTCCCACAATCATTGAACCTACTCTTATTCCATTGTTACCAGCTTCTATAATAAATAATAAAAATTGCTAGGAAATCTGCCAGATGAGTTCATGTATAGGCTCTTCCATATCATTGGTTCTTTCATTGTTCTTCCATATGTATACTGTTCAGTAGTTTCACTGACATATCTAGCAATGGAATTTTCTTTGTCTCCAAAGATGGTGCTTGCTAAACTTAGAGATTCCTACTCCTATCATTTCTAAAGTACTTCAAAGCATATTGTTTATAAATATTGCCTTTTATTCATTTGGGTAAATATTCCACATATCCCCCTAGTCTCCAACTGAACATAAATTGAATCTCATTTTGTCATCATTATCTTTTATTTCTCTCTCTCTCTCTCTCTCTCTCTCTCTCTTAATTTCATCATCTTTCTGAAACATGTTGTTATTTCCTCAACTGTATCTTCCAAGAAGTCAGTCATTAAACATATTCCAATTATTAGAATAGTTGTAACATGTCCATTTGTGATATACATTATTGAACTAGCTTATGCATACCACTTTATTCAACATCTTGCAATTCAGTATTCTGTATTCCTGAGAGGCTAAATCTTGTTTGAAGTTTTACTGTTCCTCAGTCATGGCACCTTGTTACATTCTGTTTCAAACGATTTGTTATTTTAGAATTTCAATTGTGTTATTTTGTCAACTTAAACAAAATTCATTCTCCAGGAATATTTTGTACTTTTTTTTACAATGCATGAATCAAAGTGATTTACTAAACTTGAATCACATCAGATCCATCCAAAAACCCAAACTTATTGAGAAAGTGCCAAACTCAGCTGATATCCATAAGAGCCAAAAGCTCACTAATACAATAAGAACATTATTATAAGCTTGTCCTACAGATAATCTGAATCACCTTGCTCAAACAGTGTCTACAACTTCCAAATAATAGTCCTGATGATCACACATTTAAATTATCTCTGTATTGTACAGTTTTGTTATTTATATGTGTGGGGGAGCGGTGGGAGATGCTTTTGGGAGCTACAATACTCTGTGAAATCTCAGCCACAAATCTAAAAATTATGCAGAAAATATAGTTTTCTTTCTATTAGATCAACAAACCTGTCAAACATGATCAAGATAGACAGAGGAAGTGCCAGTTTTCAGGCAAAGTGTGAGAAAGTGTGTTAGAATTATAGTTGTGAGAACAAAAACAGAGAGAAATAACTATAAATGTTTCAGCATTGAGAAATAATAGTGTCTGTAATATGGAAAAGAGAGATAAAAGCATTTTGAATTGGATATTATCATGATATATGTCACAAAGGGTATGTGATATTAACATAATGTCAAATACTTGGAAAGTCAGTTATATGTCAATTTGTTTATTATTCTTTGCTGTGGCAGATAGATAGGTGCTAACAATGAGAAAAGTATAACCAGATAGACAATGTGCCTACCATCTAATAACTAGTAAGGTATAATCACAAAATTATATGATGATTCAGAAGAATAAAAGATTTCAATTGTATGAGTTGGGTAGGAAATAAATACACATTAACTATATACTGATCTAAATTAATTGTCAGAACTATTTGAATTCTATCAATATTCTATCAATACTACATAGCCTGCTTGAAAATCGAGAGTTCAGACGATCAAAATAATATATGTTGTTTTATATAAGTAAAGGACAAAATAATCACAGATTCCTCCAATTTATTTATGCCAACTGTCCTCGATCATTCATGTACATGTATTTTGTCATTTTTCTTAGAATATCCAGAGAAATATAAATGTTATGTTTTTTGGAAGTTACAAAGGGTCACTTATCCTCTGATTAAGGAGATATTTTTAACTAAATTATTTCTCTTTAAACATGGTTTTCTTGATGATTTATTTCTCTGAATAAAGCTTTATTATTTTAGGATAGTCATTGGATTATTTTATAGTCGTAAATTGTATTTCTTCTCTGGAAAGGCTTTACACTTTTTTACATTACATGAACCAAAGAGATTTACAAAACTGAAATCAGTTAAGACCTCTACAATGATCCAACCTAGTGAAATAGTTGCCCACTCAGGCACTAGCACAGGGACCCCACAATAATAAAACTTTATTCTTCTGAATAAGCTCAGAACCCAAATACTCTTTATAAAACTGCTAAGACTTTTAAAGAAAGCAATAGTGTCTTCCTCAAGAAATTATGTTAGATAAAGCAACATATTTTCATTTAGTATTGTAATAACTAGTTCGTCCATAATTAGATGCCCTCATGTTGGAGATTTACCCTTATCCCATATTAGAAAATAGTGCATAATATTGTTTATAGCTCTGTACATACCAAACTACAGTAGAATGTGCATACGATTCCTGTTGCAAACACGGAGCCCCAGAGATTAAACCCAGTTACTACGAAAGAAAAAAAAAATTAAAGCAACTATCTCTGTGAAAAGCAAAACAACAAACTTGACCTCCCTTGATTCTTTTGCTTCAGTCTTTTGTTCAGCTTTGTTGTTGCTTCTTAACCATGTCTACTGAGAAGCCTGAAGCCACCTGTACTGATTTCAAAGCTTTTATTCTGTCATTTATTTGTAAAGCAATATTCATAACATTGCTTGGAGGAAAAGCATGAATTTCATACTTGCTGCCAATTTTTAATATTAAGTGTATACTTGATATACTTCTAGGCAAGACAGAAAACAATCTTGAAGCTAAGTTTTTGAGAAACTAGTACTTCCCAATGTAACTACCCAGATTAATTAATTTGATTAACAAGTTCTTTCAATATAGGAGATGTCACTGAGAAAACAAAATTCTGTTTTTGTTATTATTTGTTATTTTTTCTTTATTTTTATTTCCAGGATTCTATAATCATGAAAGGATCAACTATACATCTCAATGTAATTATAAACACCTTTTACTCTTGTAGTCCGATTTTCTATTTTATGAAGTGGTCTTCAATACCAAAGGCCTTACATAGTACTTAGAACTTATGAATGTACAATACCTAATCTGCCATCATTTCAAAGATTGGAAAACAAACCTAAAACACCCAAACAAACAACATGCAATTGAGCTGTCTGTTTGCAATCAAGCAATTTTGTAAAGCGAAATGCAGTAAGTAATAATTTATATTTCTTTCAGTTTTCAGGACATTTTTAGAGCTTCACACATGTGACTGCTACAGTCATTCCAAGCCCATAACCACTAGAACATCTCTCCCATACAGTATCAAATATAAGCATTTCTTCAAAGCTGAGGATTCACAAATCTTGAGGTGACATATGTCAATAACTCACCTTGATTGAGAGCCAGAGCAGGTGCATATACCACAACTCCAGTGTAGAGAATCTGGTGTAGACCCAGGAAGAGAGAGAAAGTGGCATGAGACAGACGGCTGCTCAGAAAGTTCTTTATTGATCTTAGTCTGAATAACTTACTTCCTTCAGCTTGCTCACCAAACATTTTATTCTCACATACTCCTATTTTAAGATGGCTTACTCTGTAACTATTTGTAGAGGGAATTCACCTAAAAGATTAAGAAAAATGGTTGGATTTTAAAGGTTCCTTCTCATTTTAATGGGGGATGACTACCTCAGGCAAGAGGACGGGGTTTGGGTCTGCAAAATCCACACAAATACTTACTAGGATTGGCAGCTTCCCTGTAATTGCAGCTGCAGAAGGTAGAGGAATTCTTGGAACAAATTGGCTAGAGAGGCTGGCTGTATTGGTGAGTCTGGGATTGATTAATAGACACTGCCTTAAAGAACAATATGAAAAAGCAATCCAGGAAGTCACCTGACATCAGTTTTGGTCCTATACACAAACACCTGTACACTTGTACACATGTAAATGTGCACATATACACACATACACGGGACACATATAAACACATAAAAAGAGGAAATTAAAATAATTTTTAGTTTAAAGCTTGAAAGCAATTTAGAAAATAGATTCAAAACTCCCTATCCTGGATCCTTTAATGCACATACACAATGTGCTCTCTGCTGGCCTCATGAGAAGCTTTACTACAGAATGAAGCTCATTTCAGTAATTTGCTACAAATCAAAAACAAACAAATAGAAAACCTGAGCTAAAAATAGAGACGGGAAAGTTTCTGAGAAGAAACGATTCAAGGAAGACTGATACCAAATGTAGCCTCCATTATCAGAGCTTGCTCTAATTCACGTAATTGCAATTGTTTCACTGGTGCAAATTAGCTAACTTCTATTTATTTTAAGCTGAATTTCATTATCTAAACCATGTGACTACGCATCCCATGTGAATGCCATGGCTTTAAAATGCAAATGTGCGCTATTAAAGAAGCATCACTTCTTTACTAATTGCTTATTCAGTGTCAAATGGTCGGTCCTGAAAACATACATACAATAGCATTGTATGGACTAGGAGGGTTATAGTTGTGAACACGTGTATACATACACCTGTATATATGCATGCAATAGCAATTAGTGAAAAAAGGGGACCATGAATTTGAAGGCGAGTAGGGTAGGTTTTATGGAATCGTTTGGAGGGAAGAAAAGGAAAGGAGAATATATTTAAATTAAAATATAAAAAACTGATTAGGATAGGAGCCTTATAGTGTGTACTCTGATGCACTCACTATTTCATTAAATATTGCTAACCGCTGTAAAAGAAATATTACTTGCCTCTATTTTAGATAAACCCTTCAGGCAGAGTCAGATTTTAAGAGGACAGGAAGTTATCTGTAGCAGACGGCAGCAGGAAGCAGTTTTTGTGTGCACAGATGAGCTTGGGAAGCTTAAAGAATCCTAAAGCCCATGTGGGGAAAGATTCCAAAAGAAGGAAGTAGGTATATTAATGAAAATCGCTGTTGTAGAGCAATTAGGCTTTTCTGGTGTGACTCAGTTTATCAGTTTAGAAACCTAAGCCAGGTATAGTCACAATAGTCACACATAACTGATCCTAGGACTTGAGATACAGAGGCAGGAGAATTTGCAGCCTGGTTATATTGGGAGATCTTGTCTCCAAACAGAATAGTGACAAAATAACTTACCAGACCATTCCATAAGTAAATCGTTTAAAAAGTAGAAAGGATGAAATAAATTTGAAGAAATTTTTTTCTCTGTGGTTTCTGACACAATTTGTTTTTCAAATATACATATATATATTTATGATAAATGCACAATTTGTACATATATGTGTATATAACTATGTTTTGTATGTGTGCTTACTTTTGAAACAAGGTCTCTCATACACAATTTGTATATATCTGTGTATATATGTATGTTGTGTGTGTGTGTTTACTTTTGAGGCAAAGTCTCTCTCATAGCCCTGGTTAACATCACTATGTAAACCAGAGTGTCCACGAACTCAGGGAGACCCTCCTGCATCTGCTTCACTGTGCTGAGATTAAAAGCCTGGGTTTCCATGCCCAGTTAACTGTTAGTTGTTAGCCTGGAAAGAAGAATCTATGCTGAGTGGATTCATCTAAAGATAATTACACATGTTAAAAGTGCTATCTTTAGAAAATGATAGCAACTCTTAGTATCAAAGCTGCCCTTATATGAGAGCACCCCCCTCCAATAAACATAACTGAAGCTTTTTCTTGTTACCCTCAGTTCTCAAACCTGTCACAGCCCTTCTTACCGTCTGCACAATGTAGATGACTGTTGCTGCATAGCGAACTGGCTTGTTGAATCGTAACTGTAAGTACTGAAAAATAGAGAAAGGCATGCAGTTTTAAGCAAAAGATGTGCCTTAGTTGTCCATGCTGTGAAGAGACACTGTGACCATAGGAAATATTTAATTGGGGCTCGCTTACAGTTTCAGAGGTTTAGTCCATTGTCATCACGATGAGGAGCATGGTGGTACGCAGGCAAACATGATGTTCGAGAGGTAGCTGAGAGTTCTAGATCCTGATCCTCAGGCAGTCGGAAGAGAAAGCCACTAAGCCTGTCTTGGGTTTTTGAAACCTTAAAAGCCACCCCCAGTTGCATACTTCCTCTACCAAAATCATATCTTTTAAGCCTTCTCAAGTAGTGGCAATCTATGATGACTAGGCATTCATATATATATGCTTGTGGGATCCATTCTTGTTCCAAACACCACAAGCAGCAAACAATTCTTTTTTATTTTCTTGGTATTCCCCTGAATATAGGATTTGGGTTGATGATGCCATTTTATGGTATATATTCTTGGAAGCAGCAGGAGGGAAAAAAAGCATGGATTGCTGAAAGTCAAACATATTAAAATATAGTTCTTCTCATAATAATTATGGAAGGCAATTGGGATGCTCGCATCAAAATTTGGGTTGTTATCATATTTTATTCAGGAGACTTCCTGTTTAACTCCCCCAATAGAAGTTTATCCTTTATATCCCATCTGCCTACAGCTTAGCTTAATTCTTTATTTCTTCTTAATACTGTAACACACTCATTGGTCCCTATAAAACTAAGGCTTGGAGTGTTCTATGAGCTCATGTCCCCCACATTGTATCTCTTAAGACGGTTCTGATCATACCACTCTCAAAATATCCTGCGATTCTCTATTGATGCTAAAACAATGTGTGCCTCTCCTACTTGGTCTGCACTGTTGCCTGGCCACACCTGTCTATCTCATGCTATAACTGTACCTTCTTATTATTTATTCTCCATATTAAATCATATTCATTGCTAAACTGGTAATTATTGTTTTTATATTCTTAATATTTTAATTGTATCACTTTTTTCTTCCATTTTTATGCTCTTGTCCCTTCCAGCTCCCTTCAAATCCCTTTTATGTCCCCATCAAATTGATAGCCTCTTTTTCTTTGACTATTATTGTTACAAACATATGTGCATGTATATGCATATGTCTCTGTATGTACAAATATCTATAAGTAACCTGCTGAATCTTTTGTTCTTGGTGCTGTTTATGCATAAGCTTTCAAAGCTGAGCATTCTATACTTGACATCCAATAAGGGGACAGTTTCTACTCAGCAGCAACACCTATGAACCACAAGAAATGTCATCATGACAAGATATTTGTAACCAACGCTCTTTAGTTTCTTTTTCTACTTTCCTATATTAATTAAAAATGAGAGAAACATTCTGCTCAAATTTAGTTTGAAACTTGCTTCCAACTCTTTTAGTTATCTCTCAGGAAGATTACTCCAATTGGCATCCCTATTTTTATGCATATGCTATCTTCTGAGCTCTGTAGCTCAGATACACTGAATATTTTTAAAGCCATCAGTCTATCTGGTTATGCCTGGGTATGAGTGGCTTAAAATAGTAGAAATTTATAACCTTTCATTTCTGAAGATCAAAAATTCAAAATTAAGTTCCCCAAGACCAATCATTGTTTCGATGTCACATTCCCACAGAGATGTCTAACAATAAATCTGCTTTGAGCTTCTCTGAACTCTTGTTGTCTGTTGGCAGGCCTTTGCTTCTCACTCCATCACCCTGGACTCTTGTGTCTCCTTCTGTGGCTTAAGACTATTTTCTCATTCATGATGCAATATAATTCTACAGCTGATTATATTTTCTCTCCCTTTCAATTTATTTTTCACTCACCTATTGGTTGTCTTTGTTGGATATATAAGCTTTTTAAATCCATTTTACATACCAACCATAGTTCCCCATTCCCCCTCCAACTCACCCCCATCTACTCCTCAGAAAGGATAAGGCCTCCCATGGGGAGTCAACAAAGCTTAACACATTCAGTTGAGGAAGGACCAAGCCCCCCACTGACTCCCTGCATCAAGACTGAGCAAGGAAAGAGATATATCAATATAATCTTGTCTCCTAATCAGCTTTCAGGACCCACATCCAATTCATGAAAGGAACCTAAAACCTATACCACACTTTCAAATACAGACACCCACTGTATCTCTTTTGATATCTTTTGATACTGGTTTAAAAATATCTTTCCTCTATATTTTGGTGATAGACTCGTAGTTAGCCCAATTGTTTCAGAAGTCAAAACCCTGAAATCATTCTTAGACTATGTCCCTAAACCATAAACCACATAAAACATGTCATTCCTCATTCAAGAAGCATAATGACCTATCTAGAAAGATTAAAAGCTAATTCATCCATAGATAGAATGAAAATCCTCATAAGATTTTATTAGATATTAAATATCCATTTTTAAGGTAATTAGTTTATATTACTTTGCTAAAGTAATATTCCATAATATTTAAGTATACTACTATCAAAATAATTCCACAGACTCTAATACAGAGGAACCATAAGTGTTCAGAGATCACTGTTCAAGACGTTATAACCTATGACCTTTATTATGAAAACTTAAGAGTAAGAAGTTTAAGGGTCATCCAATATAAGAAACTGGGAATAATGATATAATATGGAGTGTACTTTAAAAAAATTAAGAATAAATAATAAGCTGGGCTTATTAGCACAAAAAAAGAAAAAAGTTAAACTAATTGAAGATATCATGAAAAGTCTAATTATAAACCATCAAACTGGAGATAATAAAAATGTATACTATTGAAATTGAGCTAATTCTAATGTATAACATAGGAGCAAAAATAATTTCTGTGCTTTCACGTGGGATGAAATAGTAATTAAGTTTACAGATGCAGAGTTTCATCTTGAAATCCTACTGTGTATCAAAGCCTCCACCTCACTGGCTATTAAAATATACATAATATGTATATACATATATGTAAATACATACATATGTATTGCTATATTGTACCATATTGAAAAATAGACCCCATCCAGTCTATGGGGCATTTTGTTGACTAATGATTGATGAGGGAGGACTAGACCCCTAGAGACAGTGCCACCCTTGGAAAGGTGGTCCTGGGTTGAATGAAAAAGCAGCCTTCAAAAGTCTTGTAACTAACTAGAATTTCTTCATGATCTCTGCTTCAGTTCCTACCTCAGGTTCCTGCCTGGAGTTCCAGCTTGAACTTCCTTCTATGATGAATAGTGACACAAGATAAAATGAACACTTTCCTTTCCAAGTTACTTTTGGACAGTGTTTTATCACAGCAACTGAAAGCAAACTAGAATACCCATCCCAAAACTGATGGGTTCAAATCTCAAGAATAATTATCCTTCATCACTCTGAGGATAATGTGGAGGTGGGCAGTCAGTTAGCTTACCCCTGTTCTTTTTTAGGCCACTCATGTTACAGAGCTAGACCAGCATTCCAGCTTGCTTGCTCGCTTGCTTGCATAGCAATATAATGGCAGTTTTCCCAGGGGCAAAACACAGAAGATGTAAATTTCATGATAATCCAAACCCACTAATTGTTTGAAATTTTTAATTGTCACTGAAAGACTATGGCCAGTTTGAGAGTGGTGGGCATTACTCTGGCAGACCTTCTTCTTCTCCCCAATTCCCTTTGCCTTGATAAAAAAACAACTTTTAGATTGCATTTCTTAAGCTAGTCCCCAAGGTCCATTCCCTTATTTAGCCACTTTGTCCTTCTGAGTCTGACTACCGAGGTCCAGCTAACAAAGTGCTAAAGTTCACCAATGAAAGGCTCTGAAGAAGGACACTGAAAAGAAATTCCACACTAGCTCAGAATTGAGAAATAGATGGTTATTTATTTAGGGGTAGACTCACAAATCAGAATCCTCTGCTGGAACGGATATCAGAAACGAAATCCTGCAGTGAGTAGCTACTGATTATAGGACTTCCTACAGCAAGGCTCCCTTTGGCTCATTTTCCTATGTGTCATCTCTGTCTTTCCAGAGGCAGTCCTTTGCCCTCCGGGACAAATACCCCTCTGCCCTTTCCCTGGCTTCCTTTTCCTTCTCCATCTTCTTCTATATCCTGTGTTTGTCTCTTATTCCCTGCCCTCTGTTCCTCTAAAGCCAATAAATCTCCTTTATGTTGAGAATTTGGTCCTGGGTGTCCTGAGCCAACATTTTTCCTTTCAGTTAAAGCAAATGACAAAGCAAAGTGATGTTCAAGGAGTGGAATGCATTGTCCACTTATTTTAGTCTTTCATACCTGAAAAAAATCCTTAAAGTAATATATTTTACTGTATAATGGGATATAAACAAAGACATCCCAAATACCACAGTGCTAAAAGTAGGGGACAATGAAAAAATTAAGAATGTTAATATAGCATTCTAGTCCAGATCTATAAAAAAAATTCCACATAAAATCTCATCCATCTCATCCACTGTAGAAGTCCTTCAAGACAGAAGTTATTACAATACAATGCAAAGTACTTAAGAAATTTTCCTGTCACACAGCTAACTAGCATTGGCAGAACTAGCATTCAAAGCCAAGTAGGCTTATATTAGAGTTTGCGGTATTACCTCTAGACCATACCGCCAATTCTTGTGAAGCACAGTCCAATCCCAAAATAACCTCATGGGTATTTAAATAATCTTCATGTTCTCCTGTACAAGGGTTTTAAAGCATCCTAGACTAACAGTAGTACTTTTAAAACAGGTTTGTATCTGAATTTAACATGGAAATTTGAAAGGAGTCTGAAATCTCTTAAGTTATGTGTTTGCGGTTTGTTTAATTGCCTTTTCAATATCTTATCTCATCACTTTACCAAACTTAGTTACAAGTTACAGGGATTAGAGAAGACAGGTTGCTTCATATGAGTACATTGTTTAATCATTTTAAAGTAAGCACAGAACCTTTGGTATTATAACTCTGTGGTACCATGGCTGCATATACTCAAATTTGGCTCCAAAACAAGTTATCTCTTATTCCCTGAGGTGAGTGCTATGGTTTTTGTGCCAACAAAGACTAAATGTGTTAATACAAGTAAAACACTTCCAATAGTACTTAACTCACACTAAATACTCTACATACAATCCTGTGTTATACATTTTTATGTATTTATTGTTTGTCTCATTTGTATGAAATTGGCCCCATGGGGGCAGGCAATTTGTTTAACACATGTCCTCAAAGCCTGTAGATGTACACAAGATGAGCAAATACTTTATGAGTATTTCTGGAAAGAATGGCTGGTCATAACACTTATTCCAAGAAGAAACAAGGACATAAGAGCTGAGAATGTCAAAAATATTTCTAGAACAAAACTAGAAAATCCCAGCTACATCTTCTTAAGCCAAATGTTCACATATGGATGGGAAAATGCATTTTCAAATATATATTAGTATTTAATGGCATATGTGCACAGTTTTAGAGCTTATCATAAATTTATCTATTATCTTTTGAATTTGTGGCTTATACTGTGCCTGTTGAATTGTTCAACTATGATTAATTTCTCAGCATCAGGATAATTAATGTTGAACATTTGGGATATGATGGGCTCTCTGTATGTTTTAAGGCCTTCTTTAAAGTATTCATTTGCCTAAATGGCTTTGGAAAGCTAAAGAAACTCTTTACAATAATTTATCTCACTGATTTTCTTTAAATAAATTTTTTTTATAAGTCTTCCATTGTAACTTTCAGAGTTTTCATTGACAATGAAGTTCTATGTTGTGGTTGTTGTTTTTATTTTTAACAAAACAAAAATTATTATTAACCTTTATTATTAACCTTAAATACTATGCATGAAAATTCAATTTTGAATATGTTGATCTTCTTGAGAATTGCTTCAAAACCAAAATCCCATAATCTTATTTCCCACTCATTACAATTATTTACATATTTTTATCATTAAGGAAGTCCTTCCTACAAAAATATTTCTCACTTTTCCAAAATATTCCTAATTGACTCTTAAAACTTAAGTGCAGTAATAATTACCATTAGTGATCTACTATTGGAAAGAAACCCATAAAAAAGAATATAAACAAATTAGCTTCTCAGTAGACTTTTGTCTAGTATTAAAAAATACCTAACTTACCCATCTAGTTCTCAGTTTTCTCAGCTGACAAATTATAATGCTAATAGCATTGTTCTATTTGTCTTTCAGAACAATCAAGCTAATGATAATAAAGATAATGTCTTTTCATTATCTCTCACTAACTAAATATAAGCATTATAAATATAAGTATTTCTCACTTTTCCAGAACATATTTTCCATTTTTGTCCTCATTAAATCATGGAAACAGCCAGTGGGAGTAACATTATTAGCTTCCTTCTACAGAGTAACAAAACACATTACTCCTACCCATAGTTCACATTATTTTTTTAGCAATGTGGAGTTGCCTTGAAAATATCTCATTATTGATATCAGGATAATATGCATTTATTAAACAACAAAAAGCTAAGGAAAAGGAAAACCCTTCAAGTGGAAGTGGCATCTCCGAAGGCACTGGAGGGGGACGAAATGAGGTCTCTTACCTCATAGGTGCTTGTGATGCCAGATCTGTAGAACACGGGAAGAAAGAGTTCAGATGTGAAGAGGACCACAAATGCATATGAAATGATGAAAAGGAGGAAGGATGCCCCAAAGCGGTAGACCTCAGCAGGAGTCCCCAGGACAGTGACAGCTGACATGAAGCTGGCTGTCAGAGACAAAGCTACTGGGCCAAAGCTCATTTGCCTCCCTCCAACCAAGAATTCCCGAGATGTTGCTTTTTTTCTCTCCTTTATGGCAAAAAACACACCAATTCCAGAGGAAATGACGAAGAGGCCTGCAAACACAACATAATCCCAAGCTTCAAAGTTCTTCACCTCCATGCTTGGAAGCAGAAGACGATAGTCTCTTGCAAGCAGGTCTCAGGGAGATGTTTCCAACCGCAGATGCTCTTTTGAGAGGGAAGAATGTGATTCTCTGAAGGGTTTAAGGCTCATCGACACATGTGTAAATTTTCAGATACCAAATTATCCTCAAAGTTCTCAAAAGCTGACTGTAAAAAATAACCGGTGGAGGCACTGGTACCACCAGGGGGAAAACGAGAACTACAAATGTGGCTGATCCCAAGCTGGCTGCTGCTACACTCCTGCAACATATGCCAGAGAAGGACTTCAGATGTATTCTGAAGTTAACAGCTGGGGGTAGAGGGAGTTGGTTTGCCAGCTAGCATGCTTTTTTATCTCCTAGATATTTTCAAATAAAAGTTAAATATTATTAGGGAACAGGGAAGTGATAAAATGCGACTACTTCAGCATTTCTCGTTCCTGAAGTGGAATCGGAAAATGCAGACGCCACTGTCCGTGGCATCTGCCTCCTGACTAAGGGAGTGCAGAGTGTCCATAACTGTAACTACCTGTGCAGTGGGGTGGAGGGTAAAGAGCAGAAACTGGCAATCCAGAGACCTTTGCTCACATCGTGGCTCAATCACAACTGAGTCACTGTTAACAAAGTATTTCATTTCCCTGGGCTTTCCCTGGAATACCGGGATAAGACAAACTGAGACCTTGAATCTCCAACTTCCTGACTTTGGCACTTACAATGGAAAACTTCTAAATATAATCCCTTAATTTTTTTTAGATAAATTAGATAAAAAAATTCTCACTTGATTTTCAGAGTGAAAATCAGGAACTTACCAGTAATTGATTTTCACCAGAGTGAAAAAATGAGCTTACCAGTAATTGATTAAGTTGCTATCACTTAATTTTCTCCATCACTCCTCCATTTTCACTTGTTTACTATACTTGTATCCAAAGGCTAGAGTTAGGACCAAGAGAGGACAAGAAAGAATTAGGAGATTCCTGCTTTTACTCTGTGTAGACTCACGAGCAACTGGAAGCATCTCTAGTAGGATGTTTGAGAGATTCTCTGTTTGTTCACACATCTTCTCTGTACCTATCCCTACAAAGCTTCTCTGATACACAAGATCTAATTCTGTCTCCTCAGGTTTGTAGCCTCACTAACCCCTCTGGTTCAATTCTGTGGAACTTCCTTAGTTCTTCCTTCATACCCCGATATTTCTAATCTACTTTCAGCCATTTCTGCCCACCCCAGTCTGATTGTGTGTGCCAAGACGTTTGATGCTACAAATGACTGTCTTCCTGGAGATTGACTCCTTTAACTACAAGACATTATAGAAAGTAGTCAAAGACCAAAAGGAGAAATTTTAAATTATCTATGATGTTCAAAGACACTTTCAATCAAACAGAAGAAACTCTTTTTTCTTGGTTGGTTGCTTGGTTTGTTAGATGGTTTTTGAGACAGAGTTTCTCTGAGTAGCCCCAACTGTCCTGGAACTCGCTTTGTTGACCGGGTTGGACTCGAACTTGGAGATCCGCCTGCCTTTTCCTCTGAAGATGTGGGATTAAAAGCATGTACCACTACCATTGTGCCAGAAGAAATTCTCAACTTGCTTTTGGATGACTGAGCAAGTCTTTATTATTGATTATGATTATTAGTTATAGGTAGATGGTATTCTCATTTCCTAATTCTCTTTTGGAACCTCTATTAGATATGAGAATATTCTGATAGCAGTTACAAGAAATATGAAGACCTCCTAACACACATTAGCCTCTTTGGGTTCAATTATATAAACTTTCCCCCTCTATTTGTATGGTTGATGGCATTGTTATAAACAGGACACCGTGGCACAGCCATATCTGATGGGAACTGCAAAAGTTCTGAAGCCAGCACAGCTGCTTGGCAAAGATCCCGCAAAGCTGAGTCACATGACGATCATCGTGCAACTTGTTTTTTGTCTCCATGTAATGTATGGTTGGAGGGCTTTTAATATTTATACAACTTGGGTATATTGAATTGATAGAAAATTTTTAAGAATCATGGATACCTTCTCTGGGAAGAACTGCTTCTAAGCTTCCCTGGGAAAATCCTGAGCATACTCCTCCTGCTTTTAGGGAGATATCTTTATCTACTTGGAAGTCTTATGCCTTGGAAGTTGTGACATACACAAAGAAAATGGAGATCTCTTTATGAGGCGGCCCTGAGATATTCTTAAAAGCATCTTTCCCTACACTTACTCAGAAACAAGATAATCAATACAAAGTAAACTTTAAAAGGTCAGCACTGTTTGGTGGGCTGGAGAAGTTGGTCACAGATCAGATTGCAAACCTTTTCCCACTATATACTCAGGCGAATACATGGCATATACAGCAACAAAGTTAGATTAGTTGAAATTACCTCAGACCTACAAAGATATTTATTTATATTGGTGGGCAAAGAACAGTATAGAAAGACAAAAAAAGAAGAGTAAGGTGTCAGGTCGTCCCTTTTTTCGAAAATTTCACTCATAGAGAGCCACTGTGCTTTAATATGACCAACAAGCAAAACAGTGCCAGGATTACACATTTAAACAAATTACAGAAAGACATACAATGTAAAACATTATATTATACCTGGAGTTAAATAATTACTGCAGCAATTAGCTTGAGGACTCTACTTGGGCACTCTAACCATTAAGAGTTAATAATACACTGCTTGGGGAATGGCAATCTGCCCTGGCTGGCTTGGAGATTTTCTTTTTATCTAAGCCACAAGAACTGCCAGCCTGAGAAGAAGCTATCATATACCTCTAGACTCTGAAAAATTGGGTTATGAGGTTAGTGAGTAAAAATGATTATAAAATATAATGCTGTTTAACAATGATGACTAAACTTAAGGGGAAATGATTGTATAAGATAATTCTGTTCTGTCACAATTCATCAATGATGACTAAATTTATAATCCCAGATGTTCAAGAAAAAAGATTAGATGATCTGCGTTTGATAACAACATGACTCTATTCCTGTTTACTGAATTCTACATAAATAAAGAAGCATTCTGACTATTAGTCAATTAGGTTGCTAGATTCTCATCATCTCTTCTTCCTTTACCTACTCCTTGCCTCCTTGCTGGAACCTGTCAATCACCAGTGCCTGCCCCCAGAAACACTGACTCTTTATTATATTTACCTTGATCTACACTTTTAATTATGTGTATCATGAAGTCCAGGCATTCCTTTCTCATTTTCTTTAATTTATTCAGCTTTGCAGATACTGTACATTTACAACCTGAAGGTTTGTGGTAATCCCGTCTCAAGCACTGTGAATTTGGTTTTTATCCATAAAAAATTTTAAAATAATTAGTTCACTATTTGAAGCTGTTGTAATCATGACACCCACTGTGGTGATCTGTGATCAGGAAGCTTTACATTATTGCTGTAATTACTTCTGTGCCACGCACAGTGAACATAGTAATTGCACATGCTGTGGCTGAGCCTCTCTATAGCAATACGTTACAATGACTCATAAGTGTTCCACTAAGAGAAAGATTCACATAGCTTTCACATTAAATCATTATTGCAAGGAGAAACTCTTAAGGAAAATTAAAATTCCTATGAACATGAACATTAGGAATAAAAGCAACCTTCATGCTCAAATAGAGAAAGCTGTAGTGGTATGGATAGGCAAACTAGCCACAACATTCCCTTAATCTTAACCTTAATTTAGAAGAGATTCTGTTCTTTTTACTTCTATGAGGCCTGGGAGTAGTACAGAAACTATAGAAGAAAAATTCGAATGCAGCTAAGATTATTTTATAGAGTTTAAGAAAGAAAGTCATTTCAACACATAAATCTCATGATTACACCAGCAACTGGTCATGTAGAAGTTGCAGTAAATTATTCAGAAGATCTATTCAAATTAATGGAGGATGATGGCTCCACTAGATAATAGATTTTTCAGGGCAGATGAGTAACTTACTATTACATTAAGAAATTACCCACAACATTAATGCCCAGAGAATAAAGACAGATGCTAGGCATCAAAAGAAAACCTAAGTCTCTTGTCAAGTGTTAGTGTAGCTGTATCTGGCTTTAAGTGGAAATCAGGGCCAATTTACCATTCTGAATACCCCTAGGCATCCAAGTATGCCCTATATGAAATAATAATACTTTGATAAGTACACATCTATGTTATAGCATGATTCACTGACTTTAAACCAACTGTTAAGCAAATGATTCTTATATAAATATTACTATACATTCACAGTATACCTGGCCACCCAAGATGTTGACAATGGTAAATATGCCATTGTCAAATGGTAAAAATGCTGATAATAACCATCATTCTTCATCCCACGAATCAAGGAATAATTTTCATTTTCAAGTCATATTATTTAATAAGCACTTTTGATAAGGCTAGCTTCCACACATAGTGACAGATGTGGACCAAAAAAAATGAAAACTTTAAAAATTCACTCTTCCAAATGCTAAGAATATTAATGATTACTGGGACAGAGTCAAATATGAAAATGAACAAAAGTTCAGAAAAAGTTGATCCCAAATGATTTTGACTATTCAAGATTTCAATGGATAAATTAACTGCAACTTTGGTAGAAATGGCATAAAAACCATAGTTAGAAATGGAGTAAGGGGATATAACTCAATTGTTGAAATTGCATGGCAAAACCTGAACTCATGATGCTTTCTGTAGATGGAGAAATATACTGCTTATTTTTTTGTTTAGTTGGTTTTAGGTAAAATCTACTACCAGTAAAGGTGATGTTAATGCTATTAATGCAAGAAAAATATTTACAATAAATTTATAATATTATAACCTTTGTTACCAAACTTGTATGAATGTGTGATGACATTGGCTCCAATTTTGAAAATTCTACTGTGAAAAAAATAAAATACTACCAAGCACTATGGTGTACAGAAGAAAAGTCTTTCCTGAAAATGGGAATTGGTCTACTTAGCAATATTCACTGTTCTCTTATCTTAAACTGTTGCCACAGTCACCCCAACCTTCAGCAAGCACCACTGACTATAGCCATTAATATTAAGGCAAGATGGTGCTTCACAAGTAAAAGTTTATGATTTTCTCAGGGCTTTGATAATCTGTTAGCATTTTATCAATTGTCCTGGCTAGTTTGTTTCAGCTTGATTCAAGCTGAAGTCATCTGAGAGGAGGGAACTTCAATTGAGAAAATACTTCCGTAAGATGAGACTGTATACAGCAAACTTGTAGGACATTTTCTTAATTAGTTATTGATGGGACAAAGCCCATCACACTGTGGGTAAGGACACCCCTGGGCTGATGGTCCTGAGTTCTATAAGAAAGCAAGCTTAAAAAGCCAGTAAGCAGCTCACCACAATGGCCTCAGCATC